TATGTCAACTGTTTGTTTGTCTACGTGTAGCACCTTATCTCCAAAGCAAATTCCTTGTGCGTGTAAAAAACTACTTGACAATAAAGCTCTTTCTGATTCTGATTCTGATCTAATCTATTGCAAATCTCAAAAGAATAGGCATTTATGTGAGGGCAATGCTTGTGTGACAGAAGACATTATAGTACCTATGATCTAAACACATACAGTATGTGGATAATAGGGGAGAACTGTCTATAATACTGTATGACCATTGCTATTCCTCATATTACATGAAGCCACGGTGACAAAGTCCACTGGTGATAGGACAACAAACAACAGCAAGGCACACCACTCTTTGACCTATTAATCATCGCACACACTCCAGCCACAAACTTTGTTATCCATAAACTGAGATAAGGCTGTCTTGATACTCTGTTCTCACTTCATTACTGCACCGTGTCGTGGTACTGTGTTGGTCTGTGTGGATGTGAGTGCATGCACATTTGTCATTCACTATTTAGTGAATGCAGATTGAATGTGATTACATTTCAGAGTGGATTGCAACAAGTCACTATCTTCTATTTGCTCTTGTTTGTGTCTCTTGGCAGCACTGTAAACAATGTGGCTTTCCTGTCCTACACACTCTTAGGTTATGTAGGGGAAATGTTAACAATTTGTATGTAGCCTTTTTAACTTCCATACCTATTTGCTTGTCTGCCATCTTATTGTCCTTCTTTCCACCAATTTTCTCTCCTTCCAGCTTACCTGACCCTCTACTTTTAGCTTGATATCATTAAAAAAAACCTAAATGTTCTGGTTTGTCACTCGCTCCCCTTTTCATCATTTTCACACTTCCATCCTAATTTAACAAGCTTCACGGCTCCGTCTTCACACAGAGGTCCCTTTTGTTTATGTCAGCCTTTCATGTCTTCTACACAACAAGAACGGTGTGGCCACATGACAAATGAGAAAGGTCCTTATCAAGCAGGGGGAAAATGCTTATAGCCTTTTGATGTAACAGAAGCATCATAATATCCTGTTGCCCTAAAAATGTGGTCAATTTAGAGGACACTAAGAAGTGTTTATACTTCTGTATAACTGTATGTTGGATGTATGATAATGTATAGTGATTCTGTGAGTGTGTGCTGAGTGTGTGCTGAGTGATCTCCTCCAAGCAGGTGACCATTGAACTCTCAATCCAGTTCCCTGCTGAGGGAGATGGCAGGGGGTGTGAGGTCCACCTCCACGGAGACACACAGTCCACACACCTCCACCAGCGCCCCTCCTCCCCACATGAACTCATCCCTCACCCGGCGCTATAAAAAGTCTGCTCTTGTTGAAGTTGTTCAGTCTCGTCAAGAACTCCACCAGGTAAGACAAGCAACTGCTATGGCTCTAACTGGGACTTGGGCTGTAGAAGTGGGGGTCCAAAAAAACAGTGGGGAACTTTTTTGTCTGCGACCGAGCTTTCTGCAAACTGTTAACTTTGATGAAGTTGTGAACTGGTGCCTAAAATAAGTTTCTCTAGAAGGAAGGGACTAACCTTTTGGTTATTTTTTAGCAGTTATATTCATTTCAAGCAGATGAAGAAATCCCTAAATTTAAGTGCTTCTGGATTGAGACTGTCTTTGAGATCAGAGAGATGACCTGCTAATTCTGTGACTGTGACCTACTGCAAAGCCTGGATCAGGATTACGCTGTGGTCCAGAGCTAATCTGAATTAGCTGTCTCTCTAATTTGTAGCCATCCCTAATCTACCCAGATTACAGTTTCTTTTAATAGGCAGCCATAGGAGTGTGTAACCTTTAACGGTGTGTTAAAGCATTCTTACTTTTAAGCCTGTTCATCTGGCCTACACATTGCTTTAGGTTGGGGATTTATGTTTAATTGGACTAATGGGTTTCTATTTTGAAATTATTTTATTCTATGTGTAATTTGAACATGTTGTATTAAAACTCCTTTAACAGTGATACTGTGAGTGTGACGTGTGCACTGAATCATTAACCGTGCACATTTTTTTGCAATTTTTTTTTTTTACTCTAGACCACCATCATGAAATTCGTGGCTCTCGCTCTTGCCCTTCTGGCTGTCGGTGAGTCCTGAATGTGCCATTCCTTACTTAAGGGAAACACTATGCCTGAATGTACAGCCTAATTTAGTCAGTGGATCAATTTTACATGACATTTAAACTGTTGCTTGAACCCCCCTCTGTCCCTTTCACTCTCTTTCTGCTCATTTCTCCTCCCCACCTTTCCTTTCCTCTTCAGGCTCTCACGCCGCTTTTCTCCAGGCTGATGCACCCTCCCAGCTGGACCAAATCAGGTCTGCTGTCGATCTCTACCTGACTCAGGTGAAGGACGGTGCCACCAAAGCCCTGGACAACCTCGATGGAGCTGAGTACAGTGCAATCAAGTAAGACCATGTCATTCCCCCAGTCAGGCCCACTTTCAGTCACTGATACTAATCACTGGCTTGTTCACCATTTTCTAGTCACCATTTACTCGTTGATGTGTTTATTGAACTTTCGCTAAAATGGTTTTGCTCCCCCATCTCTGTTCTCTCCCAGGACCACCCTAACTGAGCGCATTGACCAACTGTACACTCAGATCAAGGAACTGCAGAAGACTGTCTCTCCCATCACTGACAACGTCGTCGCCACCATCTCTGACGCCACCGCTGACTTCCGTACCGCTGTCACAGAGGATATCGAGGCCCTGAAAGCCAAGTATGAGCCCGAACGTGCCAAGCTGAGGGAGGTCATTGAAAAACACATTGCTGACTACCGCGAGCAGATTGAGCCCATCGTCACAGAGTACCAAACCAAGCACGCCGCTGAGATGGAAAGTCTGAAGGCCAAGGTGGAGCCCTTGTGGAGCAGCTGAAGGCCAAGGTAGCTGTCAACGTGGAGGAGACCAAGACCGCCATGATGCCCATTGTGGAGGGTGTGCGTGAGAAGCTCTCTGAGCGTCTGGAGAATCTGAAGACACTGGCTGCTCCCTACGTCGAGGAATACAAGGACAAGCTGACACAGTCCTACAACCAGGCGCAGACCATCAACATGGAAGAGCTCACTGCCCTGCAGGAGAAGATTGCACCTTTAGCTGCTGACATCAAGGATAAGTTCCATGCTATCTTCGAGGCCATCGCTGCTACCGTCACCAAGAGCTAAATCCTCTCCACCCTGTCCCTGTAATTAACCTCCCCTACCTGTCCGTCCTAGATCCATTCCACCTTTCTCTCCATTCCTTCCTTCCTCACATGTGCGTAAACACCACCTCCCAAAAAGAAGCCAATGCCTAAGTGATGCCCTTCTTTGCAACAAAATGGCGGGACTCTTGCTCTCTCTCTCCCATGCAAACACCTTACTTCATGCACACATGCTCAAGCACATGCAAGCAAAGACATACACAGACACGTACATACTCAGCACACACATGCTTTACTCTTTGCATGCCATGGCCAACTGCTTACATTTTGTGTAGAGATTGTTTGTGAATTACCACAAGTGCCTGAACCTCTGTCTAATGATGCTTGTCTGATGAAAAACTGTGCTTTGACGAATTACAGCTCAATAAACATCTGACTGTTTATACTACTTTGCTCTCTGACTCTGCTTTGCTCGTGGCTCTGATAAAACTTGAACAGTTGTATATGTTGGTTCGGAATTGGAATGTTGAAATTTTCTATAATAAAACCAAATATCGTGATAACAATCTCTAACACACTGCAATTAATGTTGTTATAACTTCCATGTAATATGCATGTCCCACCTAAAGCCTACATTACAAAATTTATTATTTTATCTAAACTATTAAAATATATAATGCAGGCTAATCACGAAAAAATCCTTCCAGGAATATAAAAATACACATTTAGCTTTATTTGTGTGTCTTGGACCTCAGTGAACCTTTAAGGTCGTATCACACAGACAGCATGTTGAGGGGGTCATCATTGATCATAAGGTCCATTGGAAAAGAACAATATTAATACAATCACTTCTACTTAAGAGAGACATCCAATAACAACAATAACAATAAGATATTTGTGCCTGTGGTCCTGAAAGCTGTGATTAATGAGCTGATCGGGGGTGTGAACTGGCCTATTGACAAACTTAGGTCTTGTTGTGCTTTATTGGGGAAAAGTCTGCTTTTCTGCTTTGCGTCCCTCAGGCTGGAACCTTTCAACACTGTCCCATCATAGAGCCACATGAGGCAACACACACACACACACACACACACACACACACACACATCACAACCATACCACTAAACACTTCCACTCACATTTGAAATCAACTTTGATTTAGCAAGAGCATGTCATATCATGTCATCTGTTACTTTGAGTGTTATGAGAGACACTTGAACGGAAATGAGTCCAGGACTTTATCAATGTATCCCCGATGCAGTCTGATGTATTTTATTTTTTATTATTATATCTATTTTGCAATTAAACCCAACCACAAATATCGACATACATCAGTTGTAGGGAATAAGTGACTCTCTAATTAGTATGGTGTTGAAACTCTGCTCCAAGAAAATAGTCAATGAATAATATAAGCAGTTTGTTGCTGTCTTCATCTGTCCACACCCAGTAACACTCAGCTGATTAGGATGTTATTAATGTCCTACTGGTTGGTCAAGGCAAGCTCCACTTAAAGCTTTAGGCTATGGGAAATAATAGGAGATGCAAGCAGGGATTTCTAGACGCCCCCAAAATGTTGTGTGTGTGTGTGTGTGTGCACGAACATTTCTGTATTAACAATTCTTGGGACATGCATGCAGCTGTGATTAGTGCATGTCAGTAGCACTGTGAGTATTGTAATGGATGAGGCAGGCATGGAGGTCCCCAGTGAGAGTCTCATGGTGTATAAAACCAGCTTTTTCCTGGATGCAAACAGTCACTCGTAATGCTTGGATCTACCACTGCACGTGGCACGGGACTGGGCTAAAGATTATTGCCTTCAGTTTTATGTTATAGTCTATGCATAGCAAAGTTGTGGGTTTGGTTTTCCACAGATCTTGGTGTAATAACAGGAGTTGCTACTTGTGGTCAGACGTGGAAGAACACATTAGAGTGACCAGAAATATCAAAGGAAGAAACAAACCTGGAAAATTCATTCATATTATTTACCTTGCAGATCTTCTAACTATGGATGGTAAGTGTTTGTTTTAGGAAACTATCTGAGCTCAGTGGATAAAATATACATTCATGTGGGAATGATTAGACACAAAATCTGTGATCCAAATGTAATCAAAAGTTCACCACACATCTTTCCCCTCCTCTCCTCTCCTTAGGTCCTCAGCTGTCTCAGAGCTGTGAACTATCTCTACCCTGCTGTGCAGACGGGGGGCCACTGTCGAGCGCCAAGGCCCCCCAAGTCAGTGGGGTCAGAGTTCAGCTGGAGATGCATGCACTTTGGCAGCAGTTTGACCAGCTGGGCACAGAGATGATTGTTACCAAAGCTGGGAGGTAACAATAACACTCATATTATGTTCCTCGATACCTTGCCTCGCACTCTATTTTTCCTTCTCTTTTTCTGATGTCTCTTAATGCATTATGTTTATTTACATGTCCACAAATTGCAGGAGGATGTTTCCAACATTCCAGGTGCAAATCTCAGGGATGGATCCTGCTGCTGAATATGTCTTGCTCATGGACTTTATCCCTGTTGACGATAAAAGATACAGGTTAGGCACACATACAGAGGGTGGTGTGCAGTGCTTAGTCTGTAGTGTGTAACAAAGATTGATACTTTTATTTTACTAACTTTATTTAAGTCCATCCATTGCCCACTTACAGATCTGTGCTAATTGCCCCTCTGCAAGCTTCATATTACCTTAGAAATTTGAAACATGTGTGTGCATTTCAGATATGCGTTCCACAGCTCATCCTGGCTGGTGGCAGGGCGAGCGGATGTTATTGCCCCAAGCAGGATGCATTTCCACCCAGACTCACCTGCCTGTGGAGCCCAGTGGATGAAGCAGACTGTTTCTTTCGATACTCTCAAGCTCACCAACAACCTGCTGGATGACAACGGACATGTCAGTCAATGCCTTTGATGTAACCTCTACATGCTTTTAATTTTGGGAACAAAATGTTTTGACTTATTTCCATTTCATCATGAAAGAAATTTCTCTTCTTTGACTTGCTTATCGTGTGTTTTCTCCTACTTCCTCCTTTCCAGATGATACTGAACTCCATGCATCGCTACCAGCCACGCTTCCATGTGGTGTATGTGGATCCAACTCCCAACAGTCACTTAAACGCATACAGGAACTTCTGCTCTTTTTCCTTCCCCGAGACACGCTTTATGGCCGTCACTGCCTATCAGAACCACCGGGTAGGAAACCCATCAGACATCTGTTTGACACACTTGTATCAAGCAGGTGCCTGACAGCTTTCTGCTAATTACAGAAACATTTCATTGTGCATACCTGACAGAATTAATATAAGATTAGGGAGCAACTTCTTGGCTTTTAATTGTATTTATTTGAACCTTCCTCGCCTTCTCTCTCAGATCACCCAGCTAAAAATTGCAAGCAACCCGTTTGCTAAAGGCTTCAGGACTACAGACCCCCAGGACCAGTGAGTACAGTTTCCTGGAAAGGCCTGTTGAAATCACGACTGGATCACAGTGTATCTTTATGGCTGTTATCAGCTGGTACATAGTGATACGGCAGCAGTCCCGATGATAGCTAATCTTTGACCTTTGTATGCAAAGGAGGTTCACACGTGGCAGGCTGTTGGCCATGTATGGTAAAATTGTGAGGGACATGATTATGGTGATGTATAGGAATGTGCATATATATATGTGTGTGTGTATATGGCCATGTATCACTCTGTCTACCTTGCTTGTGTGACTATACACTGTCTGTACAGTTCTGTGTGCGCTGAATACTTTAGTGTGTGTGTGTATGTGTGTGTAGGGTGGGTAACTCCGGACCCTTGGCACTGTGGTGTCCACCAGAGGGCAGAGCTGAGCCCCTCATCATCAAACCTGGAGCACAGAGAAGCTGGGGCTCAAAGACTTCAACCAGTGAGCATCTCTCTGTGTTTTACAAAGATATAACAACTTTGGTGTAAGTGCTGATCAAAACCCATCCGACTATATTCTCCTCGCCCCTCAGGACAGGAGGACCCAGCCCCGTTGTTGGCGGAGCAGTGTGGACTGTTCCACCCATGTAAAGACTCTGTGGGACTCACCATGGAGAGGAAAGATGGGGACAGTGTATTAGAACCGGCTTCCTTCCTCGCTATTCCCTCCTACTGGGACTGGCCAGGATCATCTCAAGAGAGAGGCAATCTGTCACAGGGGAAGAGAAGCAAACTGACTGAGCTTTGAATTAAATTTGACCTACAGCAAAGCACTCATTTAATACCATACAACTTTAATGTGTGTTTTATAATAAATCTATATGAGAGGCCTTTTAGGGTGAAAACAGTGAAATACAGACACACACACACCAACAATGTGCACGCACACACACACACACACTGAAACCAGGCACACACACACACACACACAAAATGTTCACACCACACCAACTTCACACAGAGTAGGATACAGGCTACTTGTGTGTGTGTATCTAAGTGTGTGCGTGTGAAGTTATTTCAGTGTGTCCAGAAGTTGTTGCATTGTAACAGGAAGTCACTGATGCAGCTAACTAAATATCCATGGTCAAAATACATGTATAATGAGTATAATAAAGTCAGCAAATCATTGCATATTGTAGATCATAAAGCAAAGTGTTGTAGGTTTCATGTGAATAAGAAGACGTAGAGATGAAGTTTATAAAATATCTGCAGGTGAGGAGCAAAAATTGAATGTGACATGCAATAAATATCTCTCCCCGTAGGTTTAGGGATGTTGAACTAAATATTGTTCCTAAATCTGTGACCAAATGATTAATTGTTCATATAACGCTTAGATACAGTGCAAGTAATATCACTCGAACTCAAATCCACGTTTCATCATGTTCGCTATGCTTTTATTTTGAAAGTTAGGACAGGAATCTAAGACTTCTTGTTACACTACAACAGCTTCCAGGCACACTGAAATAATTTTACACACACACACACAGACACAGACACACACACACACACACACTCAGATAGGCCCGTAAGTCAGTGTTTTCACTGTGTGTTTAAGCATACATAGTCAGTGGTGTGTGACCGTTTTCAGTGCGTGTACGCACATTGTCAGTGTGTGTGTCTGTTTTTCAATTGTTTTCACCCTAAACGGCTTTTCATAAAAGAATTTACAGACGCATGCAAGTGTTCCATCAAAACCACAATAGAGTAATATGATAGAGGTACTGAAATGACACCAGCACCACAGAGTTCAGTAAAGCACTAGATTATACTAACACCACCGTGATATCCCCACAAACTCACAGCTGAGAACAACAAACACACGATAGTAAGTCTAGTAATATTATTTAAAAAATCATGTGGTTATTTCTTGTTATAACATTTGTGCAACTGCAATGCAGCCATCTGTTTTCTGAGATAATAAAATGATGTTCAGAAATCTTGGTCTCTGATTTTTCTATCTATAATAAGTGTTTAAAAGTGTTCTGCATGAACCTGAACAGGCAGCTGCAGTGCCTCAAATGCAAATGCTATATGGTAATATAAACCTGTGGGAAAGCAATCACGGTGAAAACGTCATTACCCAGAAGGCTGAGTGTCCCAGGGTTATTTAGTGAAGAAGCAAAGAGAGCCATGAGGCCAGTGCAATTTTGCCTTCAAACTAAAATACTTCATATGTGCTGTGCATCTGTAACCAGAATCATGTAAAACAAGAAGCTAAATGTATCTTCAATTAATCCACATTTAGGTTTCCTTTAAAAACAGCTCCAAACTACATCATCATGATCATATATAACCTCTCTGAGTTTGTATGTATTGAGGCCTACTGCACTGCCTTGTGTTATACTACAGCTGTTATGTCCTCTGACTGTAAATAACTAGCGCTACCAAATGTGGGCAGCTCATTGTGGTAAAGCCAATTTCTATTACAGTTTTTAATAGTCACTACTGGAGTGGTTGCATTAAATAACCCTGCATCATGTAAGCCTCCTATTGCCTGATGAAACATACTGTATTTCTTTACATAAATCAAGGGCATCACTTTGTGTTGAAAAGTGGTGGGGACATAAGGGCTCAGATATGGGGCATGATGTATATGAAATATATAAGCGGGGGTCTGGGGGTCACCCCCATAAAATATTGAGCATTAAACACTTAATTTCCTGCATTCTGGAGACATTTTCTGCTCCAATTTATGGTGAAAATGTGTTTATTTATATAAAGGGAAACAAAAATTCAGCTGGCAGGTGATAATTCATATCAATATAATGCAGTAATAAGCATTTGTTTAGCTTAAGTTACTTTTTTGGGCACATTTGTGACTTCTAAATTAAATTTTCATTGCATGTTTTCTTGTTGTTCAAATAACCTATCTCAAAGCATTTTATTTGTTAACATTTCTTGGTACAAGCTATTTTCCAGAACATTTTTAACAAAAGCTTTCAAAAAGTGGTGGGGACAAAATCAGCCATTTCAAAATGTGGTGGGGACATGTCATGTAAATGACACCTATGGCATTAATAAATATGAATATGAAAGTAGGGGTTCCACTAAAGGTAAACTATACCTTCATGTTCCAGATTGGTTTGGCAGTTCACCTCTACCTGGGGTGCTATGCTTCTTGCTCAGTCGGGGTATTATTGCCGTCTTATTTAGAAAAAGCGTACAGGAAGTCGTGTGGTTTTTCTATTTTAACTTGACAGTGGTGCTGCTCGCGCGCTCTCAGCTCTGAGGGATGCAGCGGGGTGGATGGAGGAGGAGGAGGAGGAGGTGAAAGACTGGAAGGCGGATAACAGCATGAACGGGTCTGGACAGGGGAAGGATGCGGAATACGGTAGCCCGCCGACCAGCCTGCCTTCCGATGGTTTCAGTCGTTTGACGTGAGGATGTGCGGAGAAAACGAGACAGGCCTGCGGTTTGTTGATACACCGAGCACGGAGGAAGAGCCTGTAATTCACCCGTCGCCTCAAATTATCTGTGACACCGAGGGTCGCTTGGTTTAATTGTGTAGGTGATTAGATTTCCAGCGTAGGTTTTTTTTTTACAAGGCTACTTTGTCGCTTTTTATTAGCCTAACGTCGAGAAAACCAGAGTATAAGTTAACACAGACCCGCTTCATATTTTCTACTGCCATCATGGTTTTAGCCGTCACTTTAGCATCATCGCCACCTGATCTCTCCCCCTGTGCCGCTGCAGACTGGATGTCAAATTGAACGGAGCGCCGTCAAGTCAAACCCAAACACACCAAAAACACGAGTTTACCGAGTTTCAACATGGAGGCGTCGACGTTACAGCCTTGCTGGTTGACATGTCTGTTTATATGGACCTCGTTGTGTCTGCTCAGCAGCGGTCAATCCGCGCCGGGCTCCTCGGGCCTTCCTCTAGCCATCCGCGTGCCACTGCGGCAAGGAGCTCGCGCCGAACAGACACCGCCACTGCCACCTGCCGCCACCGCGAACCGCGAGCGCGGCAACACGGCGAAGCACGCCGCGCGCAGGCGGAGAGGAGCGGCAGCGGGCGGTATCAGCTTCGTGGACATGATTGATAACCTGCGTGGGAAGTCCGGTCAGGGGTACTACGTGGAGATGGCCGTGGGCTCTCCTCCGCAGAAGGTAAAGGTTTTATTTAGCCTACAAGGCGTGAGATTAAGATGATGTCTAAGCACTCCTGAATGTAGGCTACAGCCTATATAAATATATTCATGCATGTTTGAGATCTATCGTAACAAACGAATTAAAACCAGGTATACAAATTAATAAATATTTCCTAATGTCATTCAGTGTGACTGGTCAGTAATTTTCTTTGCAACTCTGTATAGAGTCTGGGTCTTCTTGCAAAATGTGATTTTCATCTTTGGTCTCCCTTTAGCTGTCTCTCTCTCAAATTTAATTTGATCTGCTTCATTGGTCTTGACCTGGTATTTAGTGTTGCATTAAATACCAGGTACACTTAACATTATGTGGTACCTCCTCAAAATAATCTAAAATCCACTGTTCTCTATTTATATAACAGTATAAAAAGTGGAAAAAAAAAACATTAAAGACCTACCATTTTACATTTGTTACACTTTTACCTCAGTGTAACTGTGTCTACACGTGTCTCTCACTTGGTCTAGTTTTGACCATAAAAACAACAAATTTAACTAATCTTTACTGTAAACAGCGCACACACACACACACACACACACACACACACACACAGGTCTACATTATAATACTATAGTAGATACTATTCAACTCAATGAGAGCTGACATCATTATAAACACCTTGATGACACATTTAAAGTGTGTTAATGTCCTCCATCCTTCCCTAATGTAGATTTCTGCAACTGAATACGGAATGCAAAATTAAAGTCAGCGGACAAAAAAGTACTTCAAATATACTGTTGATGGCCCTGCAGGGACAGATGGCCTGTGTGTGTGTGTGTGTGTGTGTGTGTGTGTGTGTGTGTGTGTGTGTGTGTGTGTGTGAAAGAAAGTTAGGGGAAAGGCCTGAATGATACAGACACATAATGGAGCCATTAATTCTGCAGAGTGAGGAGTGCCAGCTGGGTGCAGCTGCGGTGGACAGGCTGGCACACAGAGGGCGACGGATAGCGGCAGGGGGAGAAAGTGATGAGCTGGTAGAAGAGGAGAAGGAGGAGCGGGAGAAGGTGATAGAGGGAGGGAAAAAGAGAAATAAATAAGGAATGAGAGAGAGAGGTGCAGAGGCACAAGGAGCGAATGAGAACGAGAGAAGGAGTGAGAGAGGGAGGGAGTTTGAGAGAAAAAGAGAGAGACTGAAACCAAGTGTGTTTGCTAAAAGGGTGAACAAAAGGAGAGAAGGAGACAAGAGGGTGATGATGAGGAGGACATGGGGGGGCATCAGACGAGATGCCACTGAGAGAAGCAGATGTTTTCTATATCAGAGTGAGCTGCCTGGTTGGGGCATTATGGTGGCTACAGTGGCTACCGTCGGTCAGTTGTGGCCAATCAGACAACACAGGGTTTTGGTGGGTAATCCTATATTATATGAGACAATGCTGTTTTTTTCTCTTCTTTTTAGAAACACATAAATATTATCCCTAACATGTGTTATGTGCAAGACCTCAAGAAGATAACATGACATAATGCAGTTTTTGTAATTAAGTAGTTTTTTGTTGTTATATTGTTAAAAATAGTACTTTGAACCATTGGGTCAGCTGATTGCTGTAATTTGTGGAGGATTTGCTGCGTTCCAAAAACGCGTGTTGCCTCCATTTCTTTTTTTAATTGTCATTTATTGGCTGTTAAATAATAAACGGTGATTCCGACCTATCTGCAATTAGTAGGAGTAACCACAAGCTATTATTTAAAGGTGCAGTAAACGATTCTGGAGAGATCCAACACCATGCCAGAAATCACGATATAGAGTGAACAACCACACAGCAAGTAATGTAACTAACATTAGCTAAGTTGTGGGTTAGCAAGCTGATGCTAGCAAAGACGAGACGGTAACGTTACCAGAGCCAGCACACCAGCTCCACTCACAGCTCTACTATAGCCAACATCACAACGACGGTATGTCTTGGCAGCTGAATGTCTGTGGGCGAGTAATTTAACATTACTTGATGCACGGGCAGAAAGTAGGGCTGAACGATTTGGGGGGGGAATCCAATTGCGATTTTTCTGCCACATATTGCGATTTACGATTCGATTTGCAATTTTTTATTTTATTTTTTGAAGTTCAATATTCACTGCCAGACTAGCACAGAGCAGATGAACCAGGCAGGAAGTCAGACACAGAACGGCATAGAGAATCCGGTTGATTTCCAATATAAAATACCCTTTGCACGCCCGATCGTACATCAACAACACAGATAAAACAAGACAAAAAAAGAAATAATTTAACTATGTAGCCTACTTAACCATGGTAGAAGCACAAAAAGCAAGGACAACTGAACAAATAAGCAAAATCTGAACAAGTCAGCAAAATCCGACAGGTAAAATGCTCTTATTCTGAAATGCTCCATGTGGATATGTAACGTTAGCCTGCACAGAGCGAAACGGGTTCACAGACAGCTGTTATCAGTAGTTGAAGCACACAAAATGACAAATTAACATGTTAACGTGTAGGCTAAACGCTTCATTATCCCTCAGTTTCATTTGTTGTTGCAAAATGTACACGCCCCATGCCTGCTGTGATTGGTGAGTAGGACCATAACAGAAGGCGCATGGAACTTTTGATTGGCGAGCATATCTGTGACACAAGGATGACAACGGAATTAATTTTAAAACAGGTCAGATGTGCTGTGTAATTACCTAAATTTTAATTGTTGTCTTCACGATTAATCGTGTTCTTTCAAATTGCAATTTTGATTTGAAAAGGATGAAAAGGAAACCATTTTGTTTGTTTGCCATTTACAGAGCCAGTGTAGACTATTTTAGATTAGAATCACTTACTCCACCTTTCAAATTCGATACCAGAGTTTTGATACAGCTATTAAACCAATGCGGTTTTTAAACTCCTTACTTTGAGAAATATAAACATTTTCCCACAAAGTTAAAGTTCTCAAATGCAAAGTGGTGTCTGAACACAATGCATGGTTTTGCAGGCTCCAGCCTCCTCTTGCTGAATGCTGGGCCTATGAACAGACTGCAAGTCAGTCCAGTTTAAACCTGTATGATGCTCAGGGCATTTTCGTCCCAGCTGTACATCCTCTTTTTGTAATGGATGCGCATGTCATAAAGTCCTTATGGGTCAGAGGGTGTCTCTGATAACTGCACTGTATATGGGAGCTCCATGAACTCTTAACTAAAGATTTTAATTTTAAGAATCAGGTGGTTACCACATTAATTTAGTTATCTACCATTTTGGAGCTCATGTCCAGGATTTTATTCAGTGGATATCAAAGGTTTAATTTCTTTATTTCCCTTAGGCCTGAAATAAAAACATATAATCTTTTTTTTTCTTTAGTGACATTTAATGATATTTTAAGCCCCAAAAATAAAGGTGAAAACAAAGCGGCTCCTTATGTCTGACAGCATATTTAAAGCCTATGAAAACTTGGTTTCCCGTCTTACCTATTTCTGACTAACTAACTCATACACTAACCAGCAATCAAAAATATCCATATGTATTATTTATTAAGAGATTAACACTCAAAAACTCAACTGCTCTGTCGGGACTGTGTGGGTGTGGTTTGATTAGATTTGAGCAACAATGCTGGCAACATCAGTCACAACTTTTCTCACACGTGGATTTGAATATTGCTCAGTTGCCGTCAGTGCATGGCAGCATGTGACGTCACTTGTTTTTCAACTGAGACCTGCCCACAATTCTGTGAAAAAAGCAAGGACAAGAACACAAATCTCTTACTGACGTTTAGCAACCAAAACTGTTACTGTTGTACTTTAGTAAAAGATGTGCTCATGTAGGGTGCCATTGCTCAAGGTATAAAGCTAATTAGGAAAATAAGTTGTCTGGGCCTTTAAAAGGGCAAAAGACAATAGACAACAGGCATTACAAAAGAATTAGACCATAACAAAGGCTGTGAGGATTTCTAGTAATAAATACTTTATTACTTAGGAGTTCAGAAAAAGCCTTAAGATGATGATACACAGAGCAACTTTTAGAACAATCGTGCAGGGCAATGTTGCCGTCAATGGTAATGAGTAAAGATTACTACCGTAATGCCCCCACCACTCTGCCACCTGCCCCGCACCACCGCTATCTGTTCAAAACATAGTCGGACTTGCCACCAGCAAGATTGCCCAGCAACATTGCTCAAAAAGTTGCCCTGTGTATCATCAGCTTTACTCTTGAAATAACAAGCACACTGATGCTCAGGGACTTCGGGGAAAGCAGAAAAGTGCTGGCCCTGGGTCAGTTAAAATGACCAGTCAGGTTATCCAAATCCATAACCACACTAGCCAACTTCAACTTAATGAACTTTAAGATATCTAGAATCAAATTATCTGAATATATTTAAAGCTTTAAAAGCCCTTGCAAGCTTTATATTAATAAATGAATGAGCCTGTACATGAAATGAATTTAAAGTGGCACTGTGATTCAGTGGTTCAGCAAAGGTGAATTGTCTTGAAGTCAAACGATAATGATAGCAGAAGTGATAAAAATGCATTTAACTTGAGAGGCTTGGTAGATTTATAGTAACTTTCAGATACTTTGTGGGCTATTGTGGTAGGTGATTTCTCCTGGATAGAGAGGAGGGGGAAGGGCAAATATAATGGCAGGAACAGAGAGGCACTCTGCCAGGGAGGACAGGAAGACAGAGAGAGAGAGAGAGAGAGAGGAGGGAAAGACGTGTCAGGATGCAGCCTTTAGTGTGTGTGAGTGTTTGTGTTTGAAAGAAACAGATCTATCCTGAGCAGTCACCAACTCTCTGGCCAAGAGAGGAAGACTGGAAGAGTGTGTACAGTTGTGTTTGCAGAGACAGTGCATGCAGACATAGATGTACTGTATGTGTGCGATAGAAAAAAGTGAGGTGGACAGAGTCAGTATTTATTCTGGGCTTTCAGACCAAGCCCTTGAGACAGTAGCCCTTCTCTGGATATTTTAAGAGCCAATCCATTATTGAACAGCTTGTTGTGGCTCTGTGGCTGCCTGTCTCTTTGGGTCTGTGCCACACTGTCTATCTATATTCTCCAGCAAGGAGTTGTTCTTTCTCCTTATTTGCAAATCAGTAAAATAGTACACTTTCAGTGTATGCTTATACTTCACTGTAACAAAGGAACATTTAATTGTAAATTAAAAGAACAGCAGTTTTATTTCTGTGTAAAGTATCATTTATAATGTATAACATGATACATATACAGGAAGTATTATATAGTCTGTCTTCCATTGCCATCTGCCATTGTGCTCCATTCACACATTCACTAACTGTTTTGACTGATTGCGCAAAATATGATACTGAGCTAGAGATGCAGACAGAAGAAGGAGACAGTGGGAGAGAGAGGGAGTAGAACGGGCAAGCTGAGAGGAGTGGGGGCTTGGAGTGGAGACAGAGAGGGCACAGAGAAGGACATTAAGGGCAACAGGAAACAGCACAGGACACCATAAGGAAAGAGAAATGGATACAGAGCTTGACTGTGAGACGAAAAATCAAAATCTGTGACAAATGAGGCTGACTGCATTCTGTAATAGAGACATTTAGCTAAAGAAATAGCCTGTAAGACCATTAGGAGTAAAAACAAAAAAGATATCAAATGCTGACATGAAAAACCCTGCACAGAAATCTGTTTTAAGAATGGGTATGTCTGTCTCCACCGTAGCAAAGATAAAGATTAATTTGCCCTTCAAAGATTGAACATAATCAATTTCAGAGTGTAACCCAAGTTTCAGTTTTACAAATCTATTGATTTTTGCAAAATGCTATTTAATCAATCTCTCTCTCTCTCTCTCAGTTGAACATCCTGGTGGATACAGGAAGCAGTAACTTTGCTGTCGGAGCAGCTGCTCATCCCTTCCTGCGCAGATACTACCATCGTTCACTGTGAGTAGAAACAATTCTGTTTTTCTTCCCTGGATTATGTTTTTGGGAAAGTTAAAAAAAAGATTTTGCTTACTCGAATGCAGCTTGCTAATAACCGCTATGGCAGATTCACTTTCTGTGTACTACCATGATTTAGCATGCAATACTTGTTGACTTTTTTGCAATGACTTTTTTCTTTTTTCTTTCATTATTGAGGTACTATGTGATCTACGTCCTACTACAGTAGAGAGTATAAAACTGACTTAAATTAAGATTTATTTATTAGATTTATTCATATTCATCTTATGATCCCTGACTGGGAAGCATATTGTAATTGAAGCCTTTTCAATATTTTACTGTAATACCACTACAGTGGAACTCCTCCAGGAACCAACCCCCTCTTCTTTCTCCTCCACCTTTTCTCCCACTCTGATGTCTTACCATCCATTCACAGCTCCAGCTCATACCGTGACCAGGGTAGGAGCGTGTATGTTCCCTACACCCAGGGTCGCTGGGAGGGGGAGCTGGGCACAGACCTAGTTTCTGTTCCTCATGGCCCTAACGCCACCCTGCGCGCCAATATCGCTGCGATCATCCAGTCAGATCGCTTCTTCATCAACGGATCCAACTGGGAGGGAATCCTGGGACTGGCCTACGCCGATATAGCTCGGGTAAGAGCAGCGAATCGCTTGGTCTCTCAAAATTTGAATACAATTCTGATAAATGATCTCAATTTCAAGCTCCACAGTGGCACCTCAGTTGGCAAATCATTAGATGTCAATACCCAGAAATCATCTCTCTTATAATATCATTAAACTCATGGGCATGTATTTTTACATTAAATGACATCTTGCCTGCTGCATTATTGAGGGCCATAAAGTTATATTTGTGAATATGTATTTACAGTTGCATGGTGTGAAATAATTAAAATTATACAGTATATAAAGAAGAAAGAGGGAGATTGAGGAGAGGAGGAGGAGAGCGAAATATCACATTTTAGATCAATATTTAGCTGTAAGGGAAACAACGCTTCAGCAAATGATCAATGGACACACCATCGACGGCTGGTGGGGAAATGTACTATATAGTTACTCACTGCAAGTGTTAAAAGAAATATTACTTACAATTTCTCAGGAGAAGTAATTTGTTACACTCCATGCTTGTTACATCACTTTTCTCTGGCACCTGCAACACTGGAAGTTCCACTCGTTCCTGTGAACAATCAGGAAAGCCAAAGAGGCACATGTCTGATGTATTCTTGTGAGCGTTGAGTTCATTAAAAGACTGAGAATGTTCTGTTTTTGTCCTTTTATTAGCTTTCTGAATTCCTAATGTGTTATAACTATGATGACACTGGTTCTCGGGATGAATGTGGGATATATCTTTTGGATAATTGACATTGAACCTAACATTTGGAGGCCGTGATAAGAGAAGCAACACCATATTTTTTATTATTATTGTTGAAATTGTGATAGTAATCTACTATAATATTCACTTCTAGGAAAAGTATTAGCACTTTCACTGGGTAGGAGTTATGGGGAAAAGAGAGGCAGACTGAAAGATGATTTGACAACAGGTCGCTGATAGGTTAGGAAAAGAATGAGGTTTGTTTATTCTTCTGGAAATGAAAAGCTACTCTCTGTCTCTCTCCTCAGCCTGACGAGACATTGGAGCCTTTCTTTGACTCTCTGGTTCGCCAGACTCCTGTCCCAAACCTCTTCTCTCTCCAATTGTGCGGAGCTGGCTTCACCCAAAACTACTCCCTGGGCAGCGCTACTGTCGGCGGCAGCATGGTGAGACACACAAAAATAATCTAATATTATATTTGAAACCAGTACTGGATTTTCTTTTTCCCTCTGCTCTTAGATCATTGGAGGAGTGGATCCATCACTCTACGTGGGAGAGCTCTGGTACACTCCCATCCGCAGGGAGTGGTACTATGAGGTCATTATTGTACGTATTGAGGTGAATGGACAGGACCTCAACATGGACTGTAAAGAGGTAAGATCTGACAGATGAATATATGCAAAAACCAAAGATGGCCAGTCCCTCATGCTATGTGCTATGTGAGAGATCTGTAATCGGTGACAGTTTATCTCGTCTTTTACAGTACAACTATGATAAGAGCATCGTGGACAGTGGCACCACCAACCTTCGGCTGCCCAGAAAGGTCTTCCAGGCAGCAGTCAAGGCGATTGAAGCAGCCTCTTCGGTCTGTCCTTACCATGCTATAAATACACTTATATCACTCTTCTGTGTCTCATTTACCTCCTCTGTTACTTGAGGAGGAGTTACTGGAGTTTTACACAAAATAATACTCTAGCGTCTATCCAGCCACCACAGTACAGATTAGATCTACAAACGTTGATACACTTGTCTGAGTTGCCTTCAGTTACCACAGTGTGCTCAGAGAAATAAGAGTGGAGGAGCAGTGTGGAAAGCATTATTATGGAAAGCACAATGACCAATTTAATTGTTCACTCATGTAACTGAAATGCTGAAAACACTGAAATGCAATATGAAACATAACAGCTAAGCTAACTGGTCTTGAAGGTTTCTGACTAATGAACAGAAAAGGCATAGAAAGGTTTGAGGGATTATGGCGCTTTTTATTTAAAAATAACTGTAGTAATTTAGAAGAAGTAACATCCTTCTGTCTGTGATTAACGAAAACAAATTTGGTCTGCGTGAACTGGAGTGAGGGGAAAACATTTTTATGACATTTTTAAGACGTCAGCCTCTCTGCTATAACAATAATAACAGAGAAAAAACAGCACGCAAACAGGCACAGGTCTTTGAAATGAAACAGACTAAGATATTTTGTTTGCCTGCTTTTTCCCCCGAAGTACTAAAGCTGGTGTTGTGTTGTGCTGCCTCTTTTACTTGTGGAGTTCAGTGCTCCACTGTGCTAACGTGAGTCCGTAGGCACCCACACCTGTTGGATAAGCTCCAGCCTCCCCTCATGACCCTGATTTATAATGAGCGTATTTGGGAAAGGAAAGAATGAATGTCCTCCTGACCTTGTTTTTCAGACAGAACAGTTTCCCTCTGGGTTCTGGCTCGGGGAGCAGCTGGTATGTTGGCAGGCCGGCACAACACCCTGGCACATCTTCCCAGTCATCTCCCTCTACCTGATGAGTGAAAACCACAACCAGTCCTTCCGAATCTCCATCCTACCGCAGGTAATACACAGTATCTCGTACTGGAGCTGAATATGGTTGCATAAAGAAGAAGCACTCACGTTTTCAGAGGTCTGTACTACAAAGCAAGTTTAACATAGCCAGGATGTCTCTTTCTTATCTGGCCCCACAAACCCTAACAATCGTGATCGGGCTCATGTCACTGGATATCAACTCGGTAAGTCAATCCAGGGTTAAACCAATCCAACTATGAGTGAGTTTACATTAGGGCTGGGCAATTAAACAATAATGATAATTATAGCAATATAATTTTCCTCATTAATAATATAATAAATGTTAAATAAATGTTTGATTTAACTCAAATAAATCACAAATGAATAAGCAATTTTTCTATTAAGATATTTATTTTGTTGAGGAAAATGGACTGATTTTTACCTGCTTTTACTCATGCATACTTTAAAAAAAGATTTTATCATAATTGTTTGGAATAAGTGGAATCACTTTGTTAAGTGATTCACTATTTGGCATCAAGTGTTTGTCGTGTTCTGACCATAAAGAATAGTTTAAAACCACAGTTAACCATCTGGTTTCTTTAACTCTCACAGCAAAAATCAGCCTTTAAACTGGAAATAAATAATGATTTAATGTTTATCATGATAATTATCTATATTTTTTTTTATTGTGATAATATTTTTGGCCATATCGCCCAGCACTAGTTCACATACGCACGTAACTCTACTTTCATCGGAGCATCATTTTTTACAAACGAAGAGCAAACTATAATTGTGTGTTCCATTAAATTCAGGTGTTTTACATGTAGATGTATTTTTATGGTGTGGATGGCCATTCTTTCTGCGCAGGGGCTGTGTCTCAGTGTATAGATATTAAAAGCTGCAGGGCACTGAATAAGTAGTCGTTGATCATCGATCATTGATTAAACACTCAAAAATGTTCCAAATATTGTTCTAATTTAACTTCGCAAAGCAATAAAGTGATAAATCTATGCCATTAATGCTATAAAAAGTGTTAAAATAGTGATGTTAGATTTTATCTCAACCACAACTTCAGTTCCTAACACTGACTGAAAACTAACTAAATAGCAAAAGGTGGGCGCTACCTAAATAAATGCATCCTAAAGTTATAATAAAGAATTCATATTATGCTTAACTTGAGTACCAAAATGTATGCCCATAATATTTAATAATAATTTATTTTAATGGTTGTGACAGAACGGGCGGCACGGTGGTACAGTGGTTAGCACCGTCGCCTCACAGCAAGAAGATCGTGGGTTCAAACCCTGGTTGCCTTGGCCTTTCTGTGTGGAGTTTGCATGTTCTCCCCGTGTCTGTGTGGTGGGTTCTCTCCGGGTGCTCTGGCTTCCTCCCCTCCCTTAATTGGTGACCCTAAATTGTCCTTAGGTGTGAGTGTGAGCATGAGTGGTTGTTTGTCTATGTGTGGCCCTGCGATGGACTGGTGACCTGTCCAGGGTGTACCCTGCCTTTTGCCCGATGCCAGCTGGGATTGGCTCCAGCCCCCCGCGACCCTGTACACAGGATAAGCAGTTGATGATGGATGGATGGGTTGTGACAGAATGTATAAAACGGACATGGGAGCAAATAAACAGTAAATATGCAAAAATGAATTCAAAGGTGTAGTTAGGCTTACTGTCAAATAAAATAAAACAACAAGCACAAGGCTTTAGTGCTTCAATCAGCCTCTTTAAAGACGGTGCTTTTATAGAGTTGATCTCTTATCTCGAACATAACCTGCTCCGGAGCAGGTTAGCCGTGAGCATAAGTTACCATAGCGTTGTACCCGCCAGAAGTGAACCATTGTCGAATGACTGAAAACCCAGGGTTAAACCTGAAGTTACTTCACTAACCTCAAATCCTGCTTCTTAGTACAGCTCCCAGGTCAAGGATCGACTTTGTTTTAACATTTGCCCCATGGGACCGTATGAAGTAATATCACTTAAGCCTTAAATTCTGTCCGAATGATCAGTAGTTGCTATGTCTTACTTTACCTGGTTCCATGAAGGGAAAATTAAATCTGTCAGCCAATAGAAAGTTTTGACATTCCTATGAGTCATGTACATCCTCTGTAATTTTGAGGTCACTTTGTTTCCCTGTGCATGTCTACAGAAAATCTGGTCACAGTAGGTACTCATAAAGTTCCATAAAAGAAAGCCTCGCTAGGTACCATGAGGAAAATAATGACCACATTCCAAAGAGGATCCCCTTTGAATATATTTTCTAAAGCTATTCATAAAGCTCTGTAAAGTCATTAAATGTTTTTTATTCATAGCCACTCAGAAAGGCCTTGATGGCGGTGGAGTGAATAGGATCTGTCAGTGAGATTTAGAAGCGAGGTTCAGTGGCGTAAGTCTGTGGGAGGTTTGTGCCCTTGATGCTGACGGCAAAAAGAAATACTTGAGGAAAGTTTTAACTTTCTGTGCCTTCCGTTCTAATTTCTTTAGCGGGTATAAGAGTAAATCACCACGTACAGGATATACACTGACCCTGCGTTTGTCACTGTGGGCATAAACGGGGGAACAGGAATACAGGGGATGTATCCAAATGCAGATGAACAGGGCAGAGCTGATGCAGTTCAGTGATTTTATTACACAAATGGAGGAACAAAGGATTACTGCATGGGAAAGGTCAAAAAGGCAAACAAATCAGACACAAATTAGGCAGAAAACCTAAAGTCCAAAACAGGAACACTAGGCAATGTACACAAGACAAGCTCGCAAGGAGTAAAAGAAACTGGCCGGTATACAGGTGCTGGTCATATAATTAGAATATCATCAAAAAGTTGATTTATTTCAGTAATTCCATTCAAAAAGTGAAACTTGGATATTATATTCATTCATTACACACAGACTGACATATTTCAAATGTTTATTTCATTTAATTGTGATGATTAAAACTGACAACTAATGAAAATCCCAAATTCAGTTTCTCCGAAAATTAGAATATTACTTAAGACCAATACAAAAAAAGGATTTTTAGAAATGTTGGCCAACTGAAAAGTATGAACATCAAAAGTATGAGCATGTACAGCACTCAATACTTAGCTGGGGCTCATTTTGCCTGAATTACTGCAGCAATGCGGCGTGGCATGGAGTCGGTCAGTCTGTGGCACTGCTCAGGTGTTATGAGAGCCCAGGTTGCTCTGATAGTGGCCTTCAGCTCTTCTGCATTGTTGGGTCTGTCGTAACGCATCTTCCTCTTCACAATACCCCATAGATTTTCTATAGGGTTAAGGTCAGGCGAGTTTGCTTGCCAATTAAGAACGGGGATACCATGGTCCTTAAACCAAGTACTGGTAGCTTTGGCACTGTGTGCAGGTGCCAAGTCCTGTTGGAAAATGAAATCTGCACCTCCATAAAGTTGGTCAGCAGCAGGAAGCATGAAGTGCTCTAAAACTTCCTGGTAGACGGCTGCGTTGACCTTGGACCTCAGAAAACACAGTGGACCAACACCAGCAGATGACATGGCAACCCAAACCATCACTGACTGTGGAAACTTTACACTGGACTTCAAGCAACGTGGATTCCAAAGGAAATGCAAAATTTACTATTCATCAGAGAACATAACTTTGGACCACTCAGCAGCAGTCCAGTTCTTTTTGTCTTTAGCCCGGGCGAGACGCTTTTGACGCTGTGTCTTGTTCAAGAGTGGCTTGACACAAGGAATGCGACAGCTGAAACCCATGTCTTGCATACGTCTGTGCGTGGTGGTTCTTGAAGCACTGACTCCAGCTGCAGTCCACTCTTTGTGAATCTCCCCCACATTTTTGAATGGCTTTTGTTTCACAATCCTCTCCAGGGTGCGGTTATCCCTATTGCTTGTACACTTCATTTCTACCACATCTTTTCCTTCCCTTCGCCTCTCTATTGATGTGCTTGGACACAGAGCTCTGTGAACAGCCAGCCTCTTTAGCAATGACCTTTTTGACGTCTTGCCCTCCTTGTGCAAGGTGTCAATGGTCGTCTTTTGGACAGCTGTCAAGTCAGCAGTCTTCCCCATGATTGTGTAGCCTACAGAACTAGACTGAGAGACCATTTAAAGGCCTTTGCAGGTGTTTTCAGTTAATTAGCTGATTAGAGTGTGGCACCAGGTGTCTTTTCATTAGTTGTCAGTTATAATCATCAAAATTAAAAGGAATGAACACTTATCAACATATCAGTATGTGTGGAATGAATGTATACATTATACAAGTTGCACTTTTTGAATGGAATTACTGAAATAAATCAAGATTTTGATGATATTCTAATTATATGACCAGCACCTGTATATGGTGAGCGGCTGATGTGAGAATGAGATGCTGGTGGGGAGATGGGTGGGGACACTCAGGTGACTGCAGGGCTGATGAGAAGCGGGAACACTTGTGTGAATGGGTGGGGCAGTCAGATGATGAGGAAAGGAGGGAGAGTCTGAGGACATCTGGTGGACAGCAAAAGGATGGCAGGTCTGGGGATTGAAGGAAAAAAGCCTGAGGGACAGACAGGGCCTTTCCGAAACTAAACCCTCGCCACTTCCACGCCAACACGGAGTGACCCTCGCAGCCAAATCGGGCCCCTTAACGTAGGGTTTAAATGCAGAGGCCAACTCAGACGAACTACCCTTTCCCCCCAGCGTAAAAAGGATCTGACGTTACCGCTGCACTTACTGCTATAATATGTGAATCAAATAAACAACATTTGTATTAAGATTCAGAATTGATGTTGAGGAAAAGTGTTTTTTGCAATAACGAAACTGAAAGCATTTGTTATTCATTTTCTGTTTGTGTCGAATATTTTTTTTAAGAACATGACTTTAGATATTTACGAAAAAGAAACATTATATTATTATGAAAAGATTGATATTCATTGTAAAAGAAAAGCCTATATTTTTGAATCTCTTTATCTTATATGAAAAATATTACATTCACAAATCCATCATTTCAATGTAAATCATACATTATATTGAAGCATTATATAGTCTGAAGAATTTAAAACAGTTAAAATTAAAAAGACTTAGCTTTTTCTCTTTAATGCCTTTGTTGCTTGTTACATGATCCCCTTGTGTACCCAGTTGTGCCATGTTCTATTATTCTGTCGTTTGATATAGGCTATTGTGTTTTGGCTGAAGATTTTCGTATAAGATGAATACAATTTAATAAAAACAACAGTTGTATTGTCTGTCACAGTGTTTCTCAAAGTGGGGTCCGGGGACCCCCTGGGGTCCTTGAGTGGGTTCCAGGGGAAAAGGTAAATCATTTATTTTTACTGTATTTCCACCGATGACTAAAAGAGTGTCAGAATGAATGACTATCTTGGGTTACATACACCTCCTGTAATAAAACCTCTAAATCAGACGGGGGTCCGTGGTCTAATTTGTGTCAGTTTAGGGGTCCTTGATGTGAAAAGGTTTGAGAACCAGCGGCCTATCAGACAAGCACATTTTTTTATTAAACCTTTGGGCTACATTGTTAACCTGTAAATGGTGATATGAAATGTTAGTGTAGTTTCGGAATTTAAAAATCCTACATTAACTGGCGAAGTCACATGGAACTCACATTTGAAAGAAATGTCCCCCATCGTGCAGCAATGGGTTTTACACACCTTCAGCAAGCCAGCATCGGTGCTGACTCGCCATTGGAGGGTTTAACAACCCACTACCACTTCGCCCTCATTGGTTTCGGATGGCACTCAGTGTGGCGGACCCTCCGCATGAACGTGCAAACAGAGCGGAAGTAAGTAGGGAGAGGGAGGAGCAAGCAGTTTCGGAAAGGCTCAAAGAGAGAGTAATGCAGAGGGCTGGGAATGAGAGTGTGTATCTTACCATGTAAAGGTCCAATATGTGTATTTCTAAATGAAAGAAATTACACATTATTTTTGTAAGATACAGCATGCATAAACCCACATGTTGTAGAGAAGCAGAGCATTCAGTGTCTTGTGCACAAATGATGTGCCTGTGTAATACCATGAACAGAGTCACTGAATGCTCTACACAGTCCAACATGGTCACAACAGTACACTCTAGTGTTGCAAGCTACATAGCAGCCTTGCTGCTCACATGCCTTCACAGACTTCTCTTCTGATTATCAATATGTATATATGAAAATACATAGAACTTTAGCTTAAAAATATATAAATACATCCACTTTATACTAAATTTAGCTTCATATATATATGTATATATATATATATACATATATATATGCCTGTTAATAAGTTAGTGCAACATACACACTACTACATAAACTCAGAGTGAGAGCCATGTATTCTAGGCATTTCACACAAGAGTGTGTGTTTGCCCCTTTCTTGTTAGTGATGCTCGCTGTCTCCACTCCTTTTGTTTTATGTTCTTTCTTTGTTCATTTTTGTCTATGCAGCAATACCTGCGACCAGTAGAGGATGTGGCTTCTGCCCAGGAGGACTGCTACAAGTTTGCCGTGTCCCAGTCTAGCACCGGTACAGTGATGGGGGCCGTCATCATGGAAGGCTTCTATGTGGTCTTTGACCGAGAAAAGAAACGCATTGGCTTTGCTGTTAGCACCTGCCATGGTGAGGAGAAGGAGGAGAGGGAGAAGGAGAGTCAGAACGGTTTATGATAGAAAATGGAAAAGAAATATGGATACTCATAGAAAGTACTAGAACCAATAATTCTATATGGTAGCGAAATCTGGGGGCCAAAACTTAATGAATTTGACAAATGGGACAAAACAATCATAGAATCTTTCCATATTGAGTTCTGTAAGAGCATCCAAATAACCAAATAACCTGAGCAGAGCAGAGCTCGGCCAATACCCCCTCTTATTAAAAATACAGAAAAGATCAATTAATATCAGTTAAGATCACTTAAAATCAGTTAACCCCCAGACATATCATCACAAAGCCCTAACATACCAGGAGCTGAAACCAGAGAAGAGTCCCCTCAGCCAGCTGGTCCTGAGGCTCTCTGCAGTAACAAGTCCCCAACAGCCTCAGGGCAGCAACACCAACTCAAGCAGACCAAACCAAATTATCTATTATTATTATTTATTTTTTTAACATACACAAACACACACACACTTACTGTTTAAATTTTTTTTTTAACACAAATAACACATACACTTTGATTACTTTACGCTTTAATTACTTATTTAATGAAAGGTAGGGGCTTGATTGTTCTTGTGTAGAATGTATGATGCTTTGGCAATATTGTTACACATTCATGCCAATAAAGCTAATTTGAATTGAATTGAAAGTAATGGAATGGAGGGACAACATCCTAAAAGGCAGGAAAATATAATGTAAACAATGCAAGATATATCTTAAAGATATCTCACTTAAGACCTTAACTTTTTTATACAGTAATAGCAACAAACAGTATCTGTTATCCTAATCTGTGTGTTGTGATGTTCAAATACCTACAATCCTGTTCTCCCATTTGTAGTGCATGATGAGTTTCGCACAGCCTCTGTGGATGGCCCCTTCCATGGCGTCGACCTGGAGGACTGCGGCTACAACATTCCTCAGACAGACGAATCGACACTAATGACCATCGCCTACATCATGGCGGGAATCTGCGCTCTCTTCATGCTGCCGCTGTGTCTCATGGTGTGCCAGTGGCGCTTCGCCCGCTGCCTCCACCCACACGGGGACTTTGCTGACGACATATCACTCCTCAAGTGAAGGAGGAGAAGAAGGGGGACACAAAAAAAGAGTCGTAGAGACCTATAGTTTAAACACAGGACAGGGACGGATTGTGGTAAAAGAGATGTACATTGTTACAGAATGTTGGTGCTGTTGAAAGAGAGCTTTACAACGGCTCTTTAGGAATATAGTATGTGAAGTATAAAAAGCTGACACACGGTGAATACACAGTGAACTGTGCTGCCCTCAAATTTGGGTGCACTTGAGGAAAACTTGGGCAATTACTAACCTGAAGGACAAACAAGAGAAAAGACAAAAGTTGGTGTCATCAGTGTCAACTTTGCCTGTTTAAGCTACCTATGCAGATCAGCATGGCTAGAAGAGCTGAAGTGGGGAAAACAAAAAAAATCTGTTCTTTGTTATAAATAGTGTATAAATAGATCACAGAGGTGGGTCGGATTTAGAATTTTGAAAAATTTGTCTCTTAAGAAGTTTGGGGAAATTGAAAGAGGAAACAGACCGTTTACAAACATGGATCAATGAAGAAACTCACAACCTGGATGTGAAGCCACCATGTAGTCGGACATGGTTTGCTAAATGATTTGGACACGTGAGAGTGAGGTTACACGTGTGTTTATAGATCTCCTGTTTGTGGCTTATGAGTGAATGAAACAAGGTTTACACATGTGAGCATGTCTGTATGTGTGAAAAGCTGTATTGTAAGTGAAGAGTATACAGAAAGATTTAATGAAAATTATACTAAGTATGAATAGCATCTATGAAATCACACTATTTTGCAAATGCCAGCAAAGAATTCTGCAAGCCAAGTTAAGTAAGCATAAAGAGGCTAATTAAATATCAGATTGTAACAGCATTTACTGCATAAAATCAGTTATGCTTAGTGTCAAACTGAGAGAACTGAACAGTCAGTATCAGATGTCACTTTTTTCTCTTATATTGATAGCTTAAATATATCTATTGTACATAAAATGTGTGCATTCCAGATGCTCTATTTGTGCAGGAACACACACACAGAAGATACACTGCTTACACTACTGCTGCACCATCTGATTATTTGCACATGTAACAACACAACATGTTAACAAACCAATACTTAATAGGGCTTCTTTCACAGTCACACAGAAACAGCCTAACTCACCATCTTTCAATGGGGACCATATATGCTTAGACAAGGAAACCAGCCCAAAGTATGTTACACACTAAAGGACACTATGTATGTGTACAAGGGACACTTTGTATTGTCTCTCAGCAAGCTGTAAATAGATAAACTCAGAACTGTATATTTATCTGTCAGGCTCTGGCAGCACTGTTGAATCAATAAAGTACTTGTAACTGTAACCTGTGATTTTTATTTCTTCGCACAATACATTTACCACTAAAAGTAACTCATCCAACTCACTGACATCCAAAAGATTTGAATTGTACAATTTCAGTGTTGAAAAATCAGGAAACATTTACAAGGACTCTCTTGTCATCTCCTATAAATTTCATGCAGCGATGGGAAGTAATTTAGAAAATGCAAATACATCGCCTGAATACCAAATAAAGCACCTTCAAATGAAATCCTTGGGATATTTGAAATTTTGTTTGAAAATATGTACAATTCAGTTACAATATCAAGTGAAAGTATATGCATGTTAGGTAGTTGTGTTGTTGTTAATAACTATTAGTCTATACCTTTTATGTTCAAAAAGCTAAAAAGAAACACAAAGTAGTAGCAATGACCGCAGTAGCAGTAGCATTAGTGCAGTTTAAATAAATCAGTGTTCTTCAAAATAATGAGGATGACTACTAATTTGAAGACAAGAAAGACAAGTGAGGATTTATAAATCAGTGTTATAATTTTACAGAAAGTGTACAGGTGTCCATGTACAGATCAATAGATCCAATAACAGACAACACTGGTTCTGCAGTTGCGGTTCCCAGCCACAGAGTTGCAATATGCGAACGGATATCAAACTGTGTATACAGTTGAGCAAGCCAAACGCAACAGAGTTCTGATCCTCTAAAAACATTTCTTCAGTGGATAACTGCAGCTTGCAGTTATAACACCATCACCTTCCCTGTTCAACACATGAATTCACATGAAGATTTCAAAGTAGTCCTTGGTGGAGGCATTCTGTCTGGGACAAGACTTCTCAAGGGTGTTTTGTGTTTGTGCAACTGTGGCAGGTTTGGTAGTGAAAGTAAATGTATTAATTTGCTGATGAGTATAAAAGTGATGGTTTTAATGAAATTTAAGGAACGACATTGTTCATCTGTGAATCTGTTTTCATTTCAGTAGTTCAAGTTTAATGAAATGTAATGTTAAACATTGTCATTCACTGTATCACCAATAGTTGTAAGAAGAAGAAACACTGCCACAGATGAAAAAGACATACATTTTAAAAACTTCTGCTGTGGAAGAACACCTCTGTTCTAAATTGTACAAACTTTGACCTTTTCATACATCTACATGGCACAGCAGTTCGTGTTCAGTCTTGCCAACATGGCAGCTGCCCACCAAACTATTTTGAAGACAATGGCAATAAATCTCCTGACCGTGGGAGTCGGATGGGTCTGTAGGGTCCACGGCAGCTTGAAGGTCTGTCGTATCTTGCTTATCTAGTGCCGTGGGAAATTCCAACCCCACGTTCTGGTCTGGACTCAAAAGGCACTCTCCCAATCACTGTTAGGATTCAAATATCAGTTTCAATTAGACATACATACATACATGGATGGACTCTGTCTCCCCATCTCCCTCATTTTTAACACCTCACATGCAATGTGCCAGCCTGCTTCAAAGCCTCCACCATCATCCCTGTCCCCAAGAAACCAAGGATCACAGGACTAAACGACTACAGACCCGTTGCCCTGACCTCTGTGGTTATGAAGTCCTTTGAACGCCTTGTGTTGTCCCACCTAAATTCCATCACAGACCCACTCCTGGACCCCCCTGCAGTTCGCCTACAGAGCCAACAGGTCTGTAGATGATGCAGTAAACATGGCCCTTCACTACATTCTCCAGCACCTGGACTCCCCGGGAACCTACGCCAGGATCCTGTTTGTGGATTTCAGCTCTGCTTTTAACACCATTATCCCGGCCCTGCTGCAGGACAAGCTCTCCCAGCTGAATGTGCCTGACTCCACCTGCAGGTGGGTCACTGACTTCCTGACGGACAGGAAGCAGCACGTGAAGCTGGGAAAACATGTCTCTGATTCCAGGACCATCAGCACCGGATCCCCTCAAGGCTGCGTTCTTTCCCCCCTGCTCTTCTCCCTGTACACCAACAGCTGCACCTCCAGTCACCAGTCTGTCAAGCTCCTGAAGTTTGCGGATGACACCACCCTCATTGGGCTCATCTCAGGTGGGGACGAGTCCACCTACAGGTGGGAGATCAACCACCTGGTGACCTGGTGCAGCCAGAACAGTCTGGAGCTCAACACTCTGAAGACAGTGGAGATGGTCGTGGATTTTAGAAAGAGCACAGCCCCACCCACCCCCATCATCCTGTGTGACTCCTCGGTTACCACTATGGACTCCTGCTGCTTCCTGGGCACCATCATCTCCCAGGACCTCAAGTGGGAGCTGAACGTCACCTCCCTCACCAAGAAGGCCCAGCAGAGGATGTACTTCCTGCGGCAGCTGAAGAAGTTCAGCCTGCCAAAGACAATGATTGTTCACTTCTACACCGCCATCATTGAGTCCATCCTCACCTCCTCCATCACCATCTGGTACGCTGCTGCCACTGCCAGGGACAAGAACAGGCTGCAGCGCATCTTTCGCTCTGCAGAGAAGGTGATTGGCTGCAATCTTTCTTCTCCTCTGGACCTGTACGCCTCGAAGACTCTGAGGCGAGCAGGAAAGATTGCAGATTGCAGCTGACTCCTCCCACCCCGGACACAAACTCTTTCAGACTCTGCCCTCTAGCAGGAGGCTGCGGTCCATCAGGACCAAAACCTCTCGCCACAAAAACAGTTTCTTCCCGTCTGCGACTAGCCTCATTAACAAGTCCCGGGTCCCCCACTGACACCCCCCCCTTGCAAACGCTACAAATGTCTCTGCACATGTAAATACTGTTTCATCTCGTGTCGGGCACAGACCTGGCACGTTGCACATATTTGTTGTTGATCGTTGATCTTTGTTGTTGTATATTTTTATGTACACAATATTCTCTTCTGTTGCGTTACTTCTGCACGGCACAGACCCAGAATAATATACATTTATATATATGCAACGTTGTTCTTCCAATCCATATTTATATCTTTCTACATTTATTTATGTTGACTGTATGTTAGTCTACGTGTAGCACCTTATCACCAAAGCAAATTCCTCGTATGTGTAAAACACTACTTGGCAATAAAGCTCCTTCTGATTCTAATTTACAATGCAATATTCACAAATACACTGTTTGAATCAATTCATGTTCAACAGATATAATTAGAGAGAAGTAACATTTGCAACTTGTTCAGTGATATATTGCAATATAAATCAGACATTTGCGAATTGATTCTCTGCCTGTCAGCTGAGAGAATGCCATTAAGGAATTCATCAATTGTATTTCACTCATACACTCCCACAGAACATTTGTTTCTCTTGGAGATTAACAGTTGACCTTTAATTGATATATAGGTGTCCAAATCCAGATTTGTTTTATATTTTTGTTTGGTGGCATTTCTGCCTTATTGTGATGGTGACTGCTGGAGAGAGAGGGGATAACATGCAGCAAAGATGCTGCTCCACCAGGTGAGTTACCGTGGCGCCAACGGAGGGATTTTCTTTTTTCCCCAGTCTAATAGAAATGGAGAACTCTCCACACTGCAGCATAGTAACGTTAGGTGGCGGTAATGGGCATTAAACGCTAGTTGCACTTGCCCCCAATCATTAACAAAAAGAGGAAGAGGAAGAAGAAGAAGAAAGAGGAAGAGGAAGAAGAAGAAAAGAACAGAACGTATGCGAGAAACGAATTCAGTAGAAAGGTAGGATGTAATTGTATAATCTTATTAAATTGTCACGTCTACTGATCCGCATTGTCTGAGTTCACTAAAGCACAGCGACATGAGCGTCAGGACACTAGCTGACGTGAACTTACTGTGACAACAACAATGCGGCTGGAACTCGAGTCCCACTCCCAAGTTGTTCTCACTTTATTCTGTTATTTTTTTTAGTTAATATTGGTTAATTTATTTGATCATAGCGGTAACGTCAGAGTGTCACAGTAGCAGTCATCACATTACCACCCTCAGCTGACTGCCCAAATAGCTTGCTGACCTGCCGGCTAAATAAAAACTAAGCAATCAGCAAAATTGTGAGCTTGCTAACAACATTAGCAGCAGCTAACAGGTTTGATTATCGCAATGGCAGCAAATTTGTAGCACACATCAGGGGGTTTCACTGTGTGTGACGGAAAAAAGGACGCAGAGTTTAAGCAGCGGTTGTGATTAACATCTATTGTTGGTAATGTTTGAAGGGGGGATCTGTTGATACTCCTGTCTAACATTATGTGTTTCTTTTTATTTATGGGCATCTTATCCTTTGAAAATGTGGACAGAGACAGATATTTAGGAAGCGGTGTGGTGTTTTTAGGATAATTAGACTGGGTGTTGGATGTGATGCTTGAAACCCAAGCCCATAGAAATCCTCATTCACTGTATTGTATATGTCCAAATTAAGGAAAACAGATATAGTTTGGTATAATGGGGTCCTTTTTATAATACAATTGTCACTGGAATGTCACTGGAAATACAACCGGCAAAAGCAGGCAGCTGCCCTGGGGCCCCAGCCCGCCAGGCTCACATGGTGCATATCTCAAAATAAATCTGGGGTTAATTAAATTGCCCACATTAAATGACTGACAAAAACACCTGTGATGTTACTGTGCTGTGTGTACTGTATTTGGGAGTGGTCGGATACACACACAGGTTAATCCAGCTTTTAGTTCCAAGCAGATTATTTTAAAATGTGTCATAGACCGCTTTACCAGTCATAGCTGAAGTGTACCGCATGCATGCATTCTCCACCTTTTCATGTCAAAACAAGGTAGGGAAATTAAGTGACGTTTTGATGTTACACTTGAACTCAAAGGTATTTTTTTTGTTTTAAGTTATTTAATTGTCTTTTCTATCATAGTTGACATGTCATGTCATTCATCTGTAACAGTCTCTCCACAGTAGTCAGTGCAGGAACTCTGATTTAACAACAGTTGGTTGAATGTGCTGCGGCGGCAGCTCTCTGAGGTGGCGTCCAGTTAGTGTGATGCCGTGAATTTAATAAGTGGCCTCTGAATGCAGCACACCGATGATAAGCAATCAGCCACTCATTGTCAGGTTGTCATCACTACTAACAAGACCTTTTTTTCTGTCCCGTCCAGGTTGCTGTTCAGATGAGGAGGGCTGGCCCGGTCAAACCTTCTTGTCGCCCCCCGTTGCCATGGCAACGCCCTATTTTCCCACATTCCTGCTCCTCCTTTTTCTGTCTTCCTTCACCCTATTGCTTCTGACCCTCCTGCCCTCTGTGGCCCCATCAATTCCCTTTTCTTCCTCCTCTCCTCCTTCACCACGGCGGTCACACTCCTGCGGCCTGGGTCAGTCCTGGGCTGTCCGGCTCCACGCTGGCCCACGTCATGAGAAAGAAGATGCTGAACAAAGCTCTATGCACATGGATGTGATAGCTGACAGGGTACAGTACTTAATGAACCCTTTCTGTTCTATAGAGTGCCAGTCCTTGAATTTTCCCAAAGCTCAGGCACCAATTTCTATGTTCAGACCAAAAAAGAAATTGAAGATGATTTGTGGGAATGATACATTTTTTTTAATAAACAGCTTTTTGTAATTCAGTTTTCTTTCTCTAAGTATGCCATTTAGTTTTTTTTTATTCAGTATTAGTTTTTTGCTTTATGTTTAATGCAAACATTTGTATCCGGATTTCTGCGACAGCCCCATTTCTCCACAAGGATCACTGAAGTTTCATCTAATCTGTTATAAAGTTGCCAAGGTCTGAGAAAAACCCCAACTTGCCGACTTTAAGAAGTACAGCCCCAGTTTAATTTGTAGGCTACTTATCATCAGTATTCTCTCCATCCCAGGTAGCAGAACAGGCTGGGCTGCAGAACCAAGGCCAGATTGGACAGCTGGAAGGCCACTACTTGATGTGTTCCATCAAGCCTGAAACTGGATCTGTGGCCGGTGTTTGGAGCAAGAGTGTCCAGCCTGGGGATGTCCTGGCAGCCCACCCTCATGTCCTGTGGCACTCACAGGAGAGAGTGCTTAGCCGCTCTAAGAGATCAATGGCGTTCAACGATCCCCGCTACCCTAAACAGTGGCACCTGGTGAGAATCTATTGTGTATCGTTGTTTCGATCTTGATTATTCCTTCGTTGTCTAGTAAGGTTCGTCTTAGATTAGTGCCTATATTTAATTTAACGGCTGTCTAAAAAAACTAAGATTTGCCAATGTAGTCTCTTAACATCATCATCATGTAACACCTCAATCAGGATGCAAAGTACTAGGGCATATGAGTAAGGACGATGTGGGTATATCCAGCCACATGTGCTATTTTCCTTTATTTACACACCGCATCACGTATGCATAAAGGACAAGGTGAAGTAGAATACACATGTGCGAGTTGTGGTTATTACTCATTATCTTTCCTGCCAGTCGCATTACTCATCTTAGAACTTTTTAATCAGCTGTGCCAAAAACACTGGAGCATGGTAAGAACAACAGTCTCTCTTGAGAAGTAATATTGTTGTCTAAAGTAAGACTGAGGTGCAGGTGGCAAAGCATAAATATAAGACACAAGGGCAGACGGTGTGCTTTCTTAAATTTAATGTGTATTTGTGGATATAATTGCAGTCTGATGTTGTAGAGTTTTGGTCAAGTAATTAATAAGGCCACATTCAGATTTAGAGTTGGTTACATTTACATGTCACAATAATGTCACTGCTGCCAAAATTACGCTCACATGACTGCAGGATATGACTTAGCAAACATAGTTGGTTAGTTGTTGGATGTTTGCAGAGCAAAGTGTGGTTAATGTGGTCATTTTGCAGCAGCCTGGAACTTGTTCATGATTTAGTCAAATGCTGTGGGTGATTTTGGCACTTTCGAAGCTACAGATACAGCTACAGCAAGGCAAGTATATTTATATAGCACATTCTAGTGCAGAGGCAACTCAAGTCATTGACTTGATATGGCTGTTAAAACTTAGATTTGAAATCAGTTATAATGGCCCGATTTCAATCTCAGTTTTAACAGCCATATGAAGTCAATAACAAAGTCAGCCTGTTAAGATTTCTGACTTATTTTGTTGACTGAAAACGTCAGGATGAGCCTCCACTATTATCCAATCTTCTTTAGCACCAAAGACAATGATCTCAGTTTTGTCTTTTATTTAATAGATGACATTCATCCAACCTCTTATTTGGTCAATGCCTTGAGGTAGTGAGTCTACTGGAGCGTAGTCAGTTGGCGAAAGTGCTAGATAAAATACACAGATCTATTGTGATGCCTTTATATGGCTGGTGAGGATTGTCGAGGATTATAAATACCGGAGTGCACATTGACAATAAACTGGACTGGGCCAAAAACACGCAAGCCCTCTACAGGAAGGGCCAAAGCCGTCTCTATTTTCTGAGGAGGCTGAGGTCCTTCAACATCTGCAGGACGACGCTGAGGATGTTTTAGGAGTCTGTGGTGGCCAGTGCGATCCTGTTTGCTGTTGCATGCTGGGGCAGCAGGTTGAGGGTAGCGGACGCCAACAGGCTCAACAAACTGATCCGCAAGGCCAGTGACGTTGTGGGGGTGGAGCTGGGTCTCTGTCGGTGGTGTCAGAGAGGTCATCTTGGACAATGTCTCCCACCCACTCCATGATGTGCTGCTCAAAGACTCATTCCCCCAAAATGCACCACAGAGCGCCTTTAAGTGTCTGACAGTCTGTTATTAAACTAGACCTTATTATCTATTTTCTGTCCAGTATTACCTGTTTGATAATTAACGTGCAATATTCTCTGCTGCTATTTATTCACTGGTACTTTTTGGTTAACCATAATAATTCTTAATAATGTAAATATTGTACATACCCACACTCCTTTATATTTGTGTTTATATTTATACTCTTATATCTATATACTCTTTAGCTGTCTACCTTGACAAGTGTGCAGCAATTGTGACAAAAGAATTTCCCTTCGGTGATCAATAAAGTATTTCTGATTCTGAGAGATCAACTACAGATGGAGACATTCATTCAGTCAGGGAGCACAGATACCGCTACACATCAGCCTTTAATCTTGAGCTCATTACAGTCTGCTTTATAGTCATTCTGCTTGTAGTTGCATTAGGGTGTGTTCACACCAAATCAGGTGTTGCTGCGATTAGTGCAGGGTTGTGTGGCGGTGTGGAAGCGTCACTACACAGCCCATTTGCGATCATTGTCTCTTCACAGTTGCTTGTTATACAGCAGAATGCTACATGGTGAACAAGTTTCTTTGTCATGTGGGCATTTCACCACAATGCCTGATTTGGTGTGAATACAGCCTTACACTTGTATTTAAAGCTGTACATCCTGAGACAGTACACAGTGAGAGTCCTGTGGATACAAAAACATCACACAGTGCATTTCTAAGGCACTTTTGGACACCCTAACCTCCCTTTTCTTTTCACTGTATGCTCTTTTTTTACTTCCTTGACTTGCCTTTTTTATCCTGTACCTTGTGTCCTCCTCCCCTTTATATTACCTCATCCTGTCCTTACGCTTCTTGTTCTTGCAGCACAATGACCTCATTAAGGGTATGGACATCAACGTAACAGGGGTGTGGGAGCGCAACATCACTGGCCGAGGAGTCACGGTGGTGGTGGTAGATGATGGGGTGGAACACACCCACCAGGACATCCACCTCAATTATGTAAGTCAAAACTAACAGTGGTGCCATTCTTTAATCAATGGGTTTATTAACATTTCCTGTTACTTACCTATGAACTGCGCATCTCGCTGTCAAAGCGATAAAGGAAAGAAACTGTTTGGATGTTTGCCAGCTTAGAGTTTAATGCAGCAACAACCAGGAAGAAAGTGGAGAAAGTAGTGGCAGAAAAGGTGCTTAGAACAAATCCTATTGAAATTCAGTAATGAGTTTCACGTAGTAGTGGTAGACATTTTTTCTGATAGTGTCGCTACTGCACCCAGTTTAAATAGATTAAAACAACAAACTTTACACTTTTTATAAACGTTTCCCTCTTAGAGTCCAGAGGGCAGTTACGACCTGAACTCCAATGACCCAGACCCCATGCCTCACCCAGACTTCCAGAGCGACAACCACCACGGGACACGATGTGCCGGAGAGATTGCAGCCGTTCCCAACAACAGCTTCTGTGCAGTAGGGGTGGCCTACGGCAGCAAGGTGGCAGGTACGGAGAAGGGAATTTAATTTGGAAAGAAGACAGAAGCTGAGGGCAAATGTTCTCTCTCGCTTGTTGTTTTCTCTTCAGGTATCCGAGTCCTGGACGGTCCGCTGACAGACAGCCTGGAGGCCATAGCCTTCAACAAGCACTACCAGGTCAACGACATCTACAGCTGCAGGTAACAAGCACGTGTCTTTCTGGTCCTATTAGGTATTTCCATTAGGAAAGTGGCTTTAAGAAACGGTAACATATCACAGATGTATGTGCGCACGAGTCTCTCAATTCCACAAGCCTTTGACAACCTTTGTTTGCTTGCTTGCAGTGAAATGTCTGCATTTCCTATGTAACTTTTACTTTGCAATAATGCCATATTTTGAAAGTCTTGCTTGAATTTTTATTTAGACTCTTGTCTTCTCTAGTTGGGGTCCCGATGATGACGGGCACACTGTAGATGGACCCCACCCCCTAGGCAAGGTAAGAGAAAGACTGTTTGCGTGGAGCCCTGTTTTTGTCCTGCAGGGGGCAGTACACTACAACAGATCAATTACAGTAGGCATGTAGAAAACCTGTGTACAGTGCTCATACTTTGTGGATTTTGTTTTGGTTCTTGAATGTATAAAGTATAAGACATCATTTTTTTTTTTCCTCCACAGGCAGCGCTGCAGCACGGGGTAATTGCAGGCAGACAAGGTTTCGGCAGTATCTTTGTGGTTGCGAGTGGCAATGGAGGACTATACAATGACAACTGCAACTATGACGGCTATGCCAACTCCATCTACACCATCACAGTCGGTAAGACTCACAGTCTCTCAGGGGTGTGTGTGTGTGTAAGTTTACCTGTGTTTTGGCTGTGGAGATGTGCGCCTTGGGCCGTAAATAATCGATGTGTGTATTACAGGAGCGGTTGATGAGGAAGGCAAGATGCCCTTCTACGCTGAAGAGTGTGCGTCCATGCTGGCTGTCACTTTCAGCAGTGGGGGGAGCACGATGAGGAGCATTGTAGGTCTTACCAGAAGAGAGAGAGAGAGAGAGAGACACACACACACACACACACACAAAGATGACTATACTACAGAATGGATGAATAGTGGCTAAAGGAACAACAGGAAAGCAGGAAGTCGATGACGAGCTGGAAAAAAACATTCTGGAGTTGGTCCAATCACAGCGAATTAGGGAGCCAAGAAAGTGATTTGTAGAAGAGAAGCATTTATGCAAGATCTGGTACCATGGGAGACACTGTCTGTCTCTCTATTGTTCAGCTGAACAAGAGACTCAGTCAAATTCATTGACTGAGTTTCAGAATATGGAAGAAAAAAACCTGTGAATTCTCTTTTTGGTTGGACCTTCCTCAGGTCTCTCACTGCAAACACACCGGCTTTCCCCGCCTCTCTCTGTGTTTCCCTGACTTTCTCCATCAGCAGTATGTTTTATAAAGTCATTCAAAAGACACAGAACTCGTCTTTTTTCCACTTGCGATCCGTTTTCACGGCAGCAGGTGAGCCGCATGCCGGCTTATTAATGACATAGCCTATCAAACAACCGAAACCAACATGTTCACTGTTGCTTTACCTGGACTGTGCTTGTAAAATATCCATCGTGTCCACAACTTGTAATGTTATAGGCTACCAAGTTTTTTACAGAGTGAAGGCTTTGCCAGTGAACACATGCCTTTATAGGACGCTACCCCCTCTCCCCACGGGCCACACCCGATGCCATTGTCCATCCCGATGTTTCATTGTAGACATCATCCAACCCCACTGACAAATGTTGCTGAAAGCTCGTAAAAGAGTAGCTCCACCTAAGCAGGAGCAGAGACTTATTTTTCATCTGAAAAAGATGACGGATGGTGACAGGAGTAAGGGCCCATTGAAGCCGCTGACCTCTATTTGCTGTTGTTTGCGGGTGTCGCCACGGCAACACAGTTTGGACCGGGGATGTCATCGCCTGAGGCAGAAGAGCTTAGCCAGGATTGGCTCTCTCTGGAGAAGACTGATCCACCACTGACCACAGTGTATTCACAGGCCAAGTGCTTACCCACGCTGCCCATTAATGTATTATTCTGAAGAACCCATTTATAGTGTACCACAAACAGCTGCCTTCACAGATGCATTTTTATCACAGGGCTCTGAGTCCGTAAAGCCTGGAAAGGGGTTTTGGAAATTTGATGGCATCTTGTGGATCTTAAGATTCAACGGTTCATGTCAAACGTTTCTGCTGATTGCTGATTATCTAGAGACTGATTCATCAGGGATTCTTGATAATTCATCAGTGATTTCTTGAGCCCTAAGAAAAAGCTGTGGCTAACCACACAATGACACAACATTATAGATGCTTTCTAATTAAATATAAGTTGACTTTTATTAGACACAAATGTGAAGCATGTTGAGGGGCAGAACTTGTCTCCTGATGACTCTTGTAAACTCCCCCCACGTGGACAGCTGCTCTGGGTGAGAATGACTAGCCCAGCTGAGTGCACGGCACTGCATAGTAGCTCAAAACTTTCAACATGGCTTGAACAGCTGTTGGAAAAGGCCCACATGTCATCTGCATGTAAACACAGAGGGCTGGGAATCCCTCAGCCGGCGTCGCTGTGGTCCTTCTGTCAAACAGGCTGTCACTAATGTGTGTACCAGTGGGTGGTTAACAAGGAAGAGATATGACACATGTTGGCAGGCGTGCGCCTTGCATATGGGTGGATTTGACTGTCCACTTGACTAGTGATGAGAGACGAAGCTGTAAAACCATATTATACTGGTCTGTTTTTACTTGCTCATAAAGTTAATCCTCTCTATAAATCGTTCCTCTCCTACGTCCATTTTGGTCAACCACTATCTGACAGGATTTCAAACTCCTATATCTTCATTCTGTGTTTGTATATACAGTTTTACTTTTCTACTTCATTTCATCTCTTTAAACGCTGACCCTCCCTCAGGGCCTTAAACCCCTGACACACAGTCCTCCATGTATCCCATCAACTGTACACAAATATTTTTGAACTCTGACCACCTGCAGTAAATATGTCGCTTTGTGAGTATGGCTCCATGACACTGGCGCCTGAGTAAAGTGTTCTTTGCTGCAAGTTTAGTTACAGAGCCTTCATGCTCTAGAGTTTGTACCTCACTCGTCTGTTAATGTATACGTACATATGTTAGTGGCAGTTTGTGTTTGGCCTCCTGCCAGAGCTATTACCCCCTCGACACTGTTTGTGTGTTGCTCCATGGTATTCGTATTCCCGCGCTTAACTCATCTGTCTGTCTCTGCAGGTGACATCAGACTGGTCCATGCAGAAAGGTACCGGCTGCACGGAGGGCCACACCGGCACGTCTGCCGCGGCCCCGCTGGCGGCAGGAATGGTGGCCCTCATGCTGCAGGTCCGTCCCTGTCTCAGCTGGAGGGACGTCCAGCACATCATCGCCTTCACTGCCACCAAGGTAGGTCAGAGGTGTGTTGATGCTTCATTCACCTGGATATTTGTCTCAGAACTATTCAGGGAAACTCCTCCTTTGGGTGTTGCTGCGCTGTTGATCTGATAATTATCGCCAAATTGATCAGAATGAACATTTAACATACCACAGAGTCGTCACTCGTGATATAGCAAAGGCTGCTGGTAGTTGGGGGTTCTCAGTGGCACAAGGGGAGCTCCACCTTGTATAAAAAAAAAATTCTTAAGATTTATTTGTTAGTGGACAAAGTGTGTTCTAATGTCACTAACAGTTAAATGGAAACCCTAAGCAGCCATCCATTCAAATATTTTGTCTTACTCTGTTTTCCCAATTATCTTGTGATCTCGAGATAACGGCCGTTATTTTCCAGTGATAACGGGATAATTTTCTCGTGATCTCAAGGTGCAATTCTTTAAGATAATTTTAGCAAACTTTTCAGTGTTGCTGGTTAGCTCAGTTGGTAGAGTACAGGACTCGAAATCCGAGGATTGTGTGGATCGAATCACACATTTCCCGACGGCTATTTCAAAGGTTCTGAAATAGCCATCAGGAAATGTGTGACGTTAAATGGATTCCCATGAACGAGAAGTGCAGGAATTTCCTCTGCCTGGGAATGATGGGGAAATGAAAAGTCCATAGGCTGATGGATGTGTACCAATCGCCGGGATGCTCACATTCCGGCACATGCTTTACTGTGAGCATGTGAACAGTCCTGTCATAAGAACTTTGTTGAAGAGGATTAAAAAAAAGATAATTAAAAAAAGGAGTTGGTGTTCCATGAGGATCGAACAGACAGTCCTTAGACTATGACTCCTGTGCTCTACCAACTGAGATAACCACTGACACTGAAAACCACTGTGAAAATTATCCTAAAGAAACGTTCCTGTTTTGTTATCTCGAGAAAATTATCCCATTATCACGGGAAAATGGAGTAAAAAGTATGTTTGAATCGATGGGTGCATAGGGTTTCCGTACAGTTATGTTCAGCATGTGTCCAGAAAATGTAAGAAAATAGTGAAAAATGCTAAAGGTGACATCTTGAGATAGCTTGTTTTGTCCAGCACACGGTCGAAAACCAAAAGATGTTCAATTTACAATGGGGGAAAAAAAGGGAAAAAGTAGCAAATCCTTACATTTGGTAAGATTTGAATGTTTGGCACATTTGCTTAAATAAATATCGGTTTATTTTCTGTCAATCAGCTAATCAATTAATTGACTAATTGTGTCAAGACTACTGATATCATCCGTCTGTAATGTTCAGTGTATTCTAAGGTGGTAAACTTCGCTGTGTGTGTGTGTGTGTGTGTGTGTGTTTGTTTTAACAGTGTGACGACAGTGCAGACTGGAGGGTGAATGGAGCCGGTTTCCATCACAGTCACCAGCACGGCTTCGGTCTGCTCAACGCATGGAGACTCGTCAATGCTGCAAAGGTAAATCCACACATACACACAAGTAGGGCAGCACGGACTAGCTATTTCCCAGTTCAATTAATTTACTAATTACTTTTTGAATTAATCATTTAATTACAATTACAACGTTTCATTGCTCTTCTGTCTCTGAGGTGTGGGAGTCTGTGCCGTTCCTCGTGTCCTATCAGAGTTCAGTAATAAAGGAGGAAGCATCCATCTTGATCCATCCCAGCGAGCTGATCCGCACATGGAACGGTAACTCTTGTCTGCTCCTCTCTCTCTCTCTCTGAGCTCTGAGCTCTGTATTGGACAGTTGCTTGTCGAGTTTACACACTGCACTATGTAGCTGCCTCCCTCCCTCCCTCCCTCCCTCCCTGTCTGCTCCTCAGTCAGTCTGCCTTTCCTTATTAGGTAATGTTCTCTTGTTTGTGAGTTCCTGCGTTCACAGCTTGCCTCCATTTTCTTTTTTTCTTTTTTTTTTGTTGCATCTTCATTTTTTTCCCCAATCTATCTTTGCATTTGACAACTCTTTTTCACTTCCCACCCCGTCCAATTCTCTCATACTCGTCCGTCTGTGTATGCGATCTGTCTCTCTTTTCCCTCCACACACACTTTTTCACATATGCTCATGGTGACGTCATTCCAGCAGAAACTTTTCCTTCTCGCTCGTCTCTTTCCCTCTCCTCCCTCGATCTGTGTCTTCCCTCTTTTATGGCCTCATTACAGTCAGGAGCGGGTGCGTGTGTGTGCATGTGGTCTCATGCAATAAGAGTTTTTTAGGACAAAGCAAAGAGTTGCTGACAGTGTGTCTGGGCTTTATTTCTAACAGAAATTGGATCAAATCAGACTACTATATTACACTTTTTTATCATTTAATCCTCTGTTCAATCAGTCTTGGTCAAATTCCTGACAGGCTTTTCAGGCAGGTCTGCCTGTTGCACTACTCAACAGTGTTTGTTATTGTAGTTTCTATGTGTTTTGGCTGACGGACTGCCCCTTAAGCATTTCCAACTGCTGGCTTCCCATGTGAACACTGTTGCCATGAATGTGTGTTTGTGCACATTTACGCAGTGACTGGCTAAGACCTACTAATGACCAGTCACATGCCCATGGTACTGTCAGTCCATTTCAGGTGGGAGTGGGTTAAATTGTTTTATGGAAAGATGCAGTTTGTGTGTGTGTGTGTGTGTGTGTGTGTGTGTGTGCGCGCCATGCCAGTGAAGAGCTGAACCTTTTGGATTTTTCTGAAGTGAAGAAAAGAGGAAGATTGCAAGTGAAGACAACAGTTGGTAAAAAAATATGACGTCTTCAGCATTCAGCTGGAATTTGTTCTGACAAAGGGGGAAAATGCAAATGGAAAAGACAAAGGACAAAATGTCCAGCTACAGTGAACACTAAATCTCTCATCAATAAAGCATGCTGCTCAGGGTTTATGATCACCTATAGAATTTATTTGAGTAACCCAACCTATCCCCCCAAAAGCAAATCCCTCCGCATGGCCCAAGTCCTCCCAACCGCCCACCCCCTCCCATCAAAACTGGTTCTCGTACATAGTACCCCTATGCACTGAATCGAGAACTGATCTCCCCCTTGTGGGTAACCTGTGTATGTGACATAAACAAGCAGGTTTGATTTGGGAAGCAAGTCGCTCTCAGTGTGTGAGATAAGCAAACGTTATAGAGGGTAGTTACTTGCTGTGACATGCATTGTTATTACAGCGTCCTCCTGTATTCTTCCCAGGGTTAAATCGGAACTCTGAGCTTGCTAGAAGACTGTTGCGACAGTCACAGCAAGGGTCAAAGAATTGCGGTACAGTTTTTGACAGTCATATGTTACATGCTGCGGCCAGTGTGCAGAGTCGACGCAAAACAAAATGTAGTCAGTCAACTTATGTGTTGTAGTAAAGTAGGTCTCTATCAGCAATCTGCCAATAGGAGTTCCCCCAGCACCAACCTGCCTTGCCTTTTATTAAATTCTAACTGAGAGTCATCATTGATGCGTTGCCTGTCAACTTTGGACCAAACTTACATATGGAGACTCTTTCTGCTCTCGATTATGTCAAAAGTCATAATCACGGTTATTTTGGTCAATGATCACGATTATTTAAAATGATTACTCATTGACTTAGGAAATATCATGCATTTATTGAACTTTAAAAAAAACAAAACTTTATGGCTGACCCAAATACTTAATAGCGTCTGGCCTTACCATGTGTTAAATGACGGAAGATTAAGCTAATGGCGACTAGGAGGTTATAGCAGTTATAACCCCCATCATCTTGGCTGGAGCTAAACTAAACATGTCACAGCTTGGCTGGGAGTGAGTTTGTACTTTTAGGGAGGGGTGAGAGCGCACCACTGGAAAGGAAAGGGGCTTATAACACAGGACAAAACGAGAGCATCATTGTGAGACGGAATGCAGCACAAGTAATGACAGGGTTTTGAAAACACTGGGACTGAACTGAAAAATGAAGAAGCTGGTGGTTTGTGTTCTTAGAGGAGCAGAACGTGTTTTACCACTCATTGCTCCAAGATATGTCTTCATCCTTTTGTCTCTGAGCATAGACAGGTCCTTCTGTTGCCTGGACAATAGGTTGGAATATTACATAATATATATATATATATATATATATATATATATATATATATATATATATATATATATATATATATATATATATATATATATATATATATATATATATATATATATATATATATATATATATATATATATATATATATATATATATATATATATATATAATTACAGGTACAAACCCCCTGGAGGGGAGAGAGTTTATTCAGTGGATATTGGCTGTCTTTAAAAGCTCTGGATAAAAAATGAAGCCAAAAGGGTGCGAAAAAATTAATTCATAGGAAATCACATTGAATACATGAGTGAGTTGAATTGAACTTGAGCATGATGTCCCTAAATACCACTAAAGTGGAGCTTTTTTCCATAGCACGACATCAGTGTTAGAAAATGCATCTCTACCCAATTCTTTTCTTTCCAATTCTCTACCTCTGTGTCCTCCCCCATTATATTTTCTCAATCCCCCCCTTTCGTTGTTTCCGGCCTCCACTTTACTAACTTGCCCCCTCGGTTCGTTCTCCTCAACTTGTCTCCATCTCCTGACTGTCTCTCCCCTCCCTCTTTCCCTACATCTGTCCCCTGACTCTCTCTTTCCTTTCCTTCCACACCTCTGTTTACACTCTTTGCAACCCCCCCCCACCCCCCCAGTCCCTTTGCGTCCCTCCACATCCCTCCCTGCCCTGAGGATGTGTACAGCCCTACATGGTCAGAGAGAACCACGGCTCATTAGTAGTCAGAGCCCAGGAAATGCCGGGACATTACCAGACAGGAGGGCGGGAGGTGGTCAGGAAGAAGACTGATAACAGTTTTAAGGAGAGAAAGTGTCGAAGAAATATCTGTATGCAGCTATCTTAGGCTCATCCTGATAGCAGCTAGCAGCTTGTCTTCTCTCCCTATCACATGTGCAATAAAATACAATTAATGTAATAATTTTAAAAGGAAGTGGTATTTAAAATGTATTTAAAGTGGATAAATGGATAGATAATGTAATCACATTAGTAACACATTAAGTTCTTATATTGCCATATTTTAAGTGTAAAACGTTTAAAATATGTATGAGCTTATGTATAATCTTACAATTGTTATTCCATGATCCGTGCAGTTTTATCATATTACAGCATCAGTCTGAATATAATGCTAATACAATAAAACATTTTTTAAACAGATTATCTGCAGGTCTTGAAATGTCTTAAAAAGCATTGAATTCAGCTCTTGGCACTACTGCTACCTACAGTAACTAGGAAGCATCTAATTATCTGCTCAAGCGTCAATTTTAGCAAAAACGTCAGTGAACTTAAATAAATAATTTTAAATTCCTTAATCCATATATCCATCCATTTTATGTTGCTTATTTAGGACCAGGTCATATTAACTTAACTAATTTCTTTTTAGAAACATACAGAAAAAAGTGATAATTAATAACTCTGTTCTGAATTGTCACTACTAATTTTCATACTTCTAAGCTGTATTTAAAAGGTCTTAAATTTAACTTGGTGAATCCTGCAGAAACCCTGTTAAAGTATTCAAAGTGATTGCATAATTATGTTTTCGCATATTCTAGAATATGTTTGCATTTTCTTTTGTTATAATGGAGGGTTAAATATTCCCATTAACAGGCACATGACTTCCCTCATCAATCCAGGAAATGGTGGAATGAAAACACACACAGACACACACACACACAGACACACACACACACACAGACTAAGCTGCTCTCTCCTCTCCTTCAGTCTCGGCTGCAGACCTGAAACAGTCTGGAATGAAGACTCTGGAGCATGTGGCCATTACCGTGACCATAACCCATCCTTACCGGGGCAATGTGGAGATTCTGTTGATCTGCCCCAGCGGTATGATATCAGTCATTGGGGCACGCCGTCCCGTCGACAGGTACACACTCGCACAAACCCATGCACTGTTATTGTTTTGATAAAATATGATTAAGTGAAACCAGTGCCTTAATTTACTGGAGTTAAAAGGAGGTATTCTTATGGCTACAAAAGGAAATCAGCAATAATAATATGTGACAGTACCTCAGAAAATACTTTTGACTGAAGTCCAATAAAGTAGTCTCTTTGTGTTTTGCACAGTGACCCTGCAGGGTACAAGGACTGGACTTTCTCCACTGTGCGCTGCTGGGGCGAGAAAGCTGAAGGCCAGTACACCCTCAAGATATCTGACCACGGTAAGACGCTGCTCAAGCACTGACAGAAGTGACAGACACTGTGACGTGTCAGCAATGGGATGGGAATGTCTTTTCAGGAGTGGGAAACACAAAAACACACATTTCTGTTATTGTTCATGTTGGTTCCCCCTGACCTACTGCACCTCACCTTGCCACACTGACCCCCATTTCTCTGTTCCTGTTGAAGAGCCCTCGTCTGCCGCGGTGGGAGTGTTGAAGCAGTGGGCGTTGACCCTGTATGGTTCCTCTATGACACAGAGCGAGGTCAGGAACAGACAGAGGTAAGACTTTGCAGGCTTTTCATGCTGCCATCTGGACAGTGTTGAGATGTTTGTTTTTCTTTCTTGGTGTTTTAAGCCTGTTTTCCCTGCAATGGTGTTCTGTTTTCATTGCCATTTTAATTATTTGTTGCAATGTTTTTCTTTCATCTTAGTTTCTCATTCTTAATTTATTCAAATTCTTTTAACCTGAATTCAAGTACTTTGAACTGCCTTGTTGTTGAAATATGTTGTGCATTTTAACTGACAGGCTGGTGGAGGAGGCTATGAGTGGTAATTATCTGGACAGCAACTTCTCTCTGCCCTGCCCTCCAGGCCTGGATATCCCTCCAGAGATCGTCAACCCTTTCACCTCCAACAGCCTAAAGGTAAACCGTACACGACCCGAAACCAAATTCTTTACATATTTACCATGTCTCTCTTTAACCTTTTCTATCTTCTCTTACCTCTCTCAGTCTATGAGAGGCCGGGACAGTTTACTTTTGTATTTGTCAGCCAAATTAATTCAGTAACTTACTAACTGTGGTGTTACCGCCTATAAGACCCTGTATACCTGTTCCCTGCTAAGGGACTTCTCCGAGGTACACTATATTCCCCACAGGGAATTGAGGGGATTTTATAAATTATAAATGGTTGGGATATTTTTTTTTCTTCACAGCAAACTCAATATATTGGTAACCAGACTGCTCACTCCTTCAGAAAATCAACATTGAAGGGATAGTTCCATTTGTAGGCAATTCAGAAATGTTCCTCATCACTCTGAGTAAATAAGTTAAAAGACTTTAGCTCAGGATACTTTGTTCTTGGTAGCCTAGCATTATTACTTTTTAAAAAAAAGCATATTTTCATAAGAACAAACACAATTTGAACAGCTGTTTCGGATATATTTATCCAGTTTATCTACACATTCCTGTCTTGAGTTTAGACTCACAGGCAACTGCCTATTTCACAAGGATTGGCAGGCCTAAGCCCCAGATATTTATGTATATCCATTAGGGCTGTAACAGTTCTGAAACTGTGACACAAAAGTCCACGGTCTTGTGTCGCAGTTTCCCCACACTCACACAGGCACCCACAGTTAGCCTGCACCTATGGTCTCTCACGGCAAACACGCCGGCTTGTTCTGCCTCTTTCTGTCTCTCTCTCCCTGTATGAGTCTCTGCTGACTTTCTCCATCAGCAGTACATCTCATAAAGTCACCCCGTTCAATAAACTCATCCGTGATTCAGTTTTCTGCAAAATGCTTAAGTGGGTTGCCAAATATACTTTGGCAGGTGCAAATATACCTGGCCGGCCTGCCCAAGTAATGTATGTTAGTGCAAGCTGTAGGCCTATATTTTGTAAATATTACAGCTTCAACCAATTTTATTGTCTTCCAACTGCGTGTGTGAACCGAAACCGTGGCTCAAAAATCGAGGTCTGAACTGAACCGTGGATTTGGTGTATCGTTACACCCCTAATATCCATATAACCATAACCTCTCATTTGAAGTCTGAATCTGTGGAAATGAAAGCAGGATGGTGGCTGGCAGGAATTTCTGCCTGCCAATTACTATTTGTGGTGAAAAAACTCCAAAATTCATGCATCTTTGAAGAAGTACTTATATGTAATCTTTTATTTGCTCCCATAGACATCCAGTAATAGATCCAAGCTAATCTCATCCTTCTAACTGCATGCATAAAAAAAACATTTATTTAAGTACACATCCAAGACTGCTACTGGCCTACACAACAGTGAAGGGAACTGTACAGTCTTACTGGTTATTCAGACTGGAAACAGCCCTATGTTTAAAAAAAAAAAAAAAAAAAAAAATAAAAGAGGTTGGTTGTCATGACATCTTGGTCGTATTCCTACAGAGGTTGGATGCACTTACTACTACTCTTACTACAAGTCACTTTCAACAATAATAATTCACCATCATGTTGGCACTCCCCATCCCCAGCCAGAGGAATACTAATACTAAAGTCAAAGAGTGCTTTGACTTGGTCAGCAATTTTACGTTGACGACTTCTCCTTTTCCCCTCCTTGTAGCCGTTCTTGCCTTTTGTCTTCCGCCTCATCCACACATGCATCCATTAGTGGTTTAGTGCTGTCGTGATTTACCTCCTCTATCTCTCTTTGTCCTCTCCTCCAGTTTCTGCTGTTGCTGGGCTGCTTTGCTCTTTTCTGGTCTCTCTACTACACACTGGAGGTCATATTTGCCCACCTGGACATCAGATGGGGAGGTCACCGGTCCAGGAGAGGGCACCGAGGGAGAGGATTGGTAGTGGTAGAGAACGGGGAGGATGAGGACTGGGACTCAGGGGTGGAGTTGCATGCGGTACTGGACTCTGAGGTCAAAGCATTGATTTTAAATGGAGAGCGACTGACAACAAAGCACTGAGCCAGATGATCCAGGTCTAAAACATCTCACTGTCTGTGCTCATGGGACGTCTCAGGCTTTTACCCTATCTGCAGCGGTGGAGGGGGGATCCTTGTCTGCATTCCCCAAACACGTGGCCTTGTATGAAAATTTGTGTTTGTGTTGGGACAGCACATGCAGGATTGTGTATGTGTGTTCTTGTACACTTGTCCCTTTAACAAATGTCCTCATAAGGAAAGAGGAAAAATTATCCTAATCCTCCAATGTGAGGATATTGGATCAGTCCTGGGGTTACATTTCCACATCGAGGTTATGTTTGTGTCAGAGCATGTACAACAAGCAACTCCATGTTTGCATATATGAAAGAGTGTATACAGGCTCATCTGTTTGTAAATGTGTGCTCAGAGTAATCGAGTTTACTGATTGGTGGGATACACTTGTGGGGTCATTAAACCAAGAGAAATACGTGAAGAAAAAAATGTGATTTGCACTATGGGAAGGTATGAATCTGCTGTGGTTAGGTGTGTGTGTGTGTGCTTATATGTAAAAGGTCTTCCTTGAAAAAGTGTCCTCCTTTGTGAGGTTCCTAGAGCATATTGCTGATTTTTAAAAAGATTTATTTTCTGAGGTGTTATTTAATGCATTTGATTAAGCCTGGGGTTATTATCTGTGGGTTATCAACCAACTACTGATGAAAACTTGAAGTGGGATTTTCAAGTGTGGCATTTATATATGTATTTTTTTATGAAGTGTAATATATACACAATGTGTGCCTGCGGTACAGATACATACCAACTGTTTAATGATTTATACAAAGTGTTTGAGAATGTATTAAAGTGTTCTACTTTTGTAATGGAAAGGTGTTTGGAGTGAAGATGGAAACTGTTTTGCTAAACAAGTCACAGGTGATGTGAATGATAATAAAAGACTGTTGGCATAATGTCGTCTTGGATGGTTTTTGAAACTGTTATACACGAAATCACATTCAATATCAATGAATTTTGGTTTTATCATACAATTATGCATAGACCTATGCCAATGTATGCAGTTATTTATGGGGACTATTCACAATATTAGTTGCAACAGTAGGGAATTAAATAATATTACTAGTACAAATCACAATGAATGCATTGTTGTAATACATGTAATTTGACATGTTAAATAGGCCATTACTTTATGATGATACTTTCACATGGACAACGATCGGTCTTTTAAAGCTTTTAACATCAACATTTAAGATGCCCATTTGTGCATTGAAAAGAGTTATTGGTCACTGTAGTTATTGTTGCCTTGCCCTTTATAGCACAACTCCAATAAAAGACATGCATTTTTGCACATAGACAGGACTGTGGATTATATCCAAAGATAATGTTTGCAGAAGCATTTGAAAGAATGAGCCTATCCTTAGAAATATTTGTAGTAAAGATCCGGTGTATGGTGACAACACTTTCCCAATCTTCCCATTTCCCAGAATGATCAAATTGAGGTACCCAGAATCACAAAGTCAATTCAGAGATTTATTTCAAAGTCATTATTTAATAAGACAATGTACAAAAATATTGGCGCTGATACAGCAGGCGTAGCATTGATGAAAACTTGCCAGATGAAACTGGACAGTTATCTATAATATGAGTGCTGTTTGTTAAACCTTGTAGAAAGAAGGAACAGCTTGACTTTGGCACGTGGTCATCTTGGTGTTTTTTCCCCCTCTCTTTAAGGCAACGTTTTGGTCATTTTTATGGTTAATATTTCTGCTTTAAGACTACAAACATTCAGTTGTACTGGTCCTAACTGCAGTGGGAAGGACTAAGCATGGTGAGCTCTGCGATGGTCACCAGTGAAAGCATCTACATAAGGGATTCAGGGCAAGTACCAAGACCAGGAAGTAGGGGGTACTGGAAAGTAACTAAATTGTAAAGCAGAAAACATTAAGATGAAAGGGGCGTTTTAGTGGACCGGTTAAACGCTTACAGGCTCAAAGGTGTAAGGGGCTGAAGAGGTTCTGTGGCTCAGTGATTTTACAGGATCTGTCGGGCTCTTCCGTAGCTCATGCCCTCCTGACTGGCTCCCTTATTGGACCCCATCTGAAGACCAATAACATTTTTACCCGCCTTCAGCTGGTCGTCTGTGAAGTCTCGCTTGTTTTCCATTGCTTTCCTGCAACACAACATTGAAAATGTCACTAAATAATTCCGACTAAACTCCAGTGTCCTGTGAATGCTTCTTCTAATTGGAGTCAGTTAGACTGGTTGAGATAAAGCGGTTTCCATTTCATGTATTCAACTCACTTGAAGAACCAGTTAGGATCGCCATTGTATGTGCCTTCATCCTTAGTGATGGCCAAGCTACCCAGAGCTGACAGGGTCCTCTGCACTGCCGCCAGGTCCTTACCTGTCCCCAAACACACACAGCCAGGATTAGTACAACAGTCACATTATGATGTTTCTGTACCTGTGCAATGTGTTGTCATATCCCAACTTATCCAAGCACATTTTCCCCACCACGCAAACAAAACGCTTAAACCCAAGCCAAGTCTTGTCTTCAGGGACTAAATGTTTGCAGTAACTGAGGAATGAAACCCGTGAAACCCCTGACCTTCCCAAAGGTCCACAGTCTGGAACATGTCCGTCTTCGTGACGCCATACTTCTCAGCAGCATTGAGGAACTGAGAGATCTGCTCCATCTGTTTGAAGGCCATGGGTGAGCTCTGGATCTTCTTCACGGGTTTCTCTCCGGCGAACAGACTGTTGATCAGTTCGCTCAGAACCTGGGGGGACGAGATTGAGAGAGGGAAGAAGAGAAGGTAGAGAAGCAGAAGAGAGGAAGGAGAGACATAAAAACTTTATCAAAACATCTAGAAAACAGAGGTGCATTATCAAACAGACGCTGTGCACTCACACATCCGTCTTTCAGCCAGGTCTGGAAGCCTATTTTGCCTGCCTCTGGCTTTCCCACACCAGAGCCACACTGACGGCTAATCCACTCCACCAGGATCTGCTCCAGCTCAGGGTCATACTTGCTGTCGATCTTATCCTGAACCTGCCGGCTCATGCCGTAGGATGGACCTTTGTTAGCCATGCCGACTCCCTGAGAGGCGAGCGTGAAACCGAGGAAGGGGGAAAAGATTGAGAAGCAGAGTTTGATAGAGAAGACGGACAATACAGTGGAGGGAGATGGGTGAGCAAGGCAGTGTAGGGAAGGAGACAGAGATACAACAAGAGAGAATTAAAGAAAAGCTTCAACAAAAAATGATCTCTGGAGAAAATGAATAGAAAAGTAAATGATGATCAGGGGTTGAATTTTCACCGGTGTCATCGTTTTCTCCCATCTTGACAATTTACAGCAGTGTGTATATTCATGACAAATGGATTTTATAAACTTACTGTTTTCTTGTGTGTTAGAATCCCAGTATTACTACCTTCTAGATCAAAATGTTTTTAGGCCATACAAACAAAAGCTAGCATTCACATCACATTGTAGTAAAATGTGGATGTAGACTTTATGCACAAACATGCATAGGTGTGTGAATAATCTAGATGAGGGCACATTGACTTAACACACAAACAGATAGTTCTTCCATATACATACTGTACATAATATACACCAACACTGAGGACATGCAAATAAAAAGCGTGTATATAAGCGGAAATGCTCAGCAAAATTTATATACCTTTCCCAGAAGAGTGGTATTAACATTGTTGTGTCTCCCGATGCACACCATTTAACCTTATCAAGACCTGTGTCCAAGGCAAAGTGGTGTACAATGGGAGCTCTATGTCAGCCAGCTGATTGTTTGCATATTTTCTCTTTATACACACACAGACACACACACACACACACACACTCTCTCTCTCCCCCCTCCTGGTTTCTGTCACACATCATTGCCAGCACTTTTTGTCTTATGCTTTTGTATTGCTTTTGGGCCAACAGCCAAGTGCAAAACCCATATCAAAGTGCTGTCTGCACCATCCAACCTTTGTTGCCATCTTGACGTCAGGTCACTTCAACTTCCTGTTCCTAGGGAGGTTCAAAGTTCAAATGTTAAAGGTTAAACCTAGGTGTTAAATGGAGGAGGCGCATCTCCGGCATGCGATGGGGAATGTTTTTACCAAGAGCCACAATAAACTTCTGTTTATGAACAATACACAGCCCTTTTGTGTATTGTTGAGTGTTTCCAATTGGCTGTAGTGTTCATTACATAAAGTCACAGAACGTGAAGATGGGCCAAGACTGGACTGACGTATGACTCTGTATGTTCAAGTAAGTCTATTGCCAATATTCAAGCTATAGACAACAAGAGGATATACAGACAGTTGGAAAGTAACAAGTACTGTAGCTAATACTCTATATTTCTTTTCCCTTTCTCTCTATAATGTCCTTTCCTTTTTCTTAATTTCTTTCCTTAATTGCCCTCTTGTATCCTTCCATTCTTCTTTCCATCCTTTGCTTCTTTAACTGATCTCAGGGCACACCCCCTAAAACTACACATACAAACACAATGCTTGCATATTCTAACCCTTTAAACTTTTCACCAAAACAGCTGACTGCTGCGGCTGATCTGATGAGTGAACCAAAGTAGTAAAGTTGCAGGCTGTAACAATGTTGAGCCGAAAGACGCTGAAATGCTATGTAGAGCTAAGGGGAACTCTCAGTACAACTCAGAACTATAGGTACTTAGGCTTTCACTTCTTTACTTTTAATGCAGAAATTAAATAGTGGAGTATCATTTAACCTATTGGTAATGTTAAATAAAGAATTTGTATACTTGTTCCACCACTGCATGTCTGTATATTAGAGTCTGTGTGCCTACGGCATTAATAGATTCCTGCCCTGAGTGTCCACAGAGTGTTACCACCAACCCTGTTTAATATTCTTTGCATTCCCTGTGGTGCTTGTCCATACCACAAGAAACCAAACACACATGCTGGGCAACACGCTCACTTACATACAACCACAAGTTTAGAACCTATATTTTACCCCCCCCCCCCCCTTGTTAGTCTCACTGACATGTGTCATTATATAATCATTATTACAGAGTAATGTTTGTCTGGTATGCCGTTAACTTGTCTTTTTTCCATTGGCCTCAAACTACTCTCTGAACCACAATTGCAAATCACACACGCTACACTCTCTGTAGGAAGTAAGTAGAAATAGAAGTTGTGTTCACCACATTGTGCACTCAATGGCTTCTCATGTCTTAAGAGAAGCACTATTTCTTCAAGTTCTGTCCTGCATCAGTCTGTATGTGAGCATTGCATGACAACCCTACAAAGATCACTCAATATTTTTAGAAGTTGAATAAGTCCATTAGGGCCTGGTCTCCATTTCTGGTATTTATGTGTACCCGGGGACCTGTTGTTATCCTTGGGACTCTGTCCAGGTCCGATAACTCTGGATTATCTGCTAAACAAGCTTCTGTGCTGTCTGACTACTTCTTAAAATATTTAATAGTGCTCACTTGGTGTGTCCTACAGCATGAGGTAGTATCAAGATAGATATGCTAAATTGAATTCTGCCAATTTTAATACCATTACTGCAACGGCTTCTACAATTACCCCTGCTACAAATGCTAAAAGTATTCCTGCTGCTGCTAGTACAATTGCTTCTGGTACATAAACCATATCTGCCACTGCTAATTCTGATCCAACTTTTGTAAATGCATCAACAATAGAAAACTTTTCCATGACCAAAATCTAATCTGTTTCATTCATACACTCGTTCATTCATTACTTCTGATAGTAATTAAACACTAAGCAGGAGAGAAGAATTATTTGTAAGGAAGGTTCAGGATAAAACCACAGATTTCAAATAAAAGAAAGCCTTAAATGCCTCCTTTCAAAAGTCCCAATGTGCTGTTTCCCACAAACATGACTTCATCGCCTCCCTCTATTCAACCACCTCTCTCAGTTGTGTTTTCCCTGCTCTGTTTCTCTATTACCATGGTAAATCTGCCTAATGCCAGAACAGGAAACCAGTATGAGGGATGTGGCAGTTGTGGCAGCCTGCGGGGACAAGGCGTCATGTGGCCTCGCTTTCTCTGCAGTTAACCATGACTTGGAATGAATAATCTACCAGTTATAAAGCAGCTAGATTAAGTATCTTTGGTTGAAGGGCTTCCTGTTAGCTGGTGTACTGTAGGTTTATTAAAACCTCAGCCAGAGCTCTTTTGTTACATGTCTCTGGTTTATGCCAGCTGCACAGGAATCTGCTGCTTTGACTTCAACTTGCCAGACTTTTATGAGCACTAAAACAAATTCTGAAACAGCTGCCAAGACCTTTCATGGTTCTGATTATTCTGACAGACCTTATAGCTGCTGTGTGCCTGAGTTTATGCATTTCTTCTGACTCTGATGTGTAGATAGTGCTGTCCAACTGAACTTAATGCCGGAGCCCCTGCACGGATATGGTTTGTTCCTGGCTTTATAAACTACTGTGCTCTGCTGTGTTTATGTGTTGCCACAGGATTGGCAGTGGAGATGGTTATCTGCTCCTGTTGCTGCTGCTTAGAAGCTAAGCTGCCCACTGGCACTTCCCTTCTGTTACTACTGGTCTGGTTTTACTGGAATCACTTTGTGCGCTGCCATCTTTAATTTTCCCCTAGTGATCTTCAGTCCAATCATCACAGCAAGCTTTTAGATATTGCAGACATTTTCTGTTCAGAGAATGTCTCACATGGAGGGTGTGTGTCTGCCTTTCGGAAATATATTTTATACCTGCTAGAATGTCTTATTGGCATCTCTGTCCTCATTAGGAAGTGTGGTTACCTTTCATGCCTTGTGAATTCACAGGCTTCCAAAGCCCATGGAATGCAGTGGATCATTTGCTTGTGCAAATAAAAGTATGTACACTGACAGATATATGCAACACTGTCTGGCTCAGCTCTCTGCTGCTCCTCTCCTCACTTCACATGGAGAACATAAACCCTCAAATAACATCTGAATCATATTAAGGATAAACTCAGAGTCTGTTTGAGATGAGATTATCTTCTGTTGCAAGTATTAGTAGGAATCCCAAATGAAAGCTTGTTTTCAACCAGACTCCATATCCAAACAGCAGTTTTAACAGATGATTATTATACTGAACATATGAATAGTACCTGATCAGACATTAACAAAGGTTTGAATGCAAACAACTCCAAAAACACTGCAGTCAAGTGTAGATGCATCTCATAGTTATTACATGGCTCTTATTTTGAAATGATTACAACTTCTGCTATTGTCACCTTTTATTCAAACACAGGAGATGAAACACTTTTTTTTTTTTTTTAAATAAGAAGCTAGGAATTCCTCCCAATTACTGACTAATCTATAAAGCAATGGCATCTTGACAAGCTATCTGTCCAACTCACTGTCACAAATCCAGTTCAGGAGCCTTATCTTAGGAATAAAAGAAAAGTATACTCACTGTGCGAAGGTATAGGTCAGTTCTCTGCTGGCTACAAGTGCAGTGTGTGGGGTGACTGTGGATGCTTGACTGAGTGTTTGTATATGCTTTGCAGGGACCTCCCTCTCAAAAATGCCGGCTTAAAAGGAGCAGATGAGGCACGATGACTTCACTTGTCTACCGAGAGAGTGAGAGAGGGGGAGGGAGGAAGAAGGAGGGAGTGTGACGAAGAAATAGGAGGGAGAGAGGGGAAGGAAAAAAGGAAACTTCATCCTTAAAAGGGCATGGCCTTTCAGCAGCTCCCTCTCCCTGTCTGTTCCCCTCACTTCAAGTTAAAAAGCCCAGCCTTATTTGGGTAGAGCTGCTCATGTAGAGCAGAGACAGCAGCCAGGCAGTGTTGGTTTGGTCAGCAGGAATTCTCCAAATACTTTCACCACATCCCTCCTTGTTCAAAATGGCAGCAAGATGGTGAAGGAGGGGAAGGGGATGATAGAAAGGGGGAAAGGGAGGAGTAGAGAAAGAGAGAGAAGAGATGGGACAGAAAGAGATATTGTGTGTGGAAAAGACATTCAGAGAAAGAATTAAGGTATTGGACCCATTGTTGGGAAGGAACAATGTTAACTTTTTTTTGCACAATGAGGAAGGAAGGAAGATAAGAGAATGAGAAAAAGAAAGGCGTGCATGAGAGGAGAGGACGAGGGAGAGGAGAGGAAGAAGTAGAAGATAGAACAGGAGAGGATTAAGAAGGAGAGGAGTGGATTAGATGACGGAGAAGAGGATGAAGGAGAGGAAAGGAGATGATGAAGTAGGAGGAGAGGAGAGACAGAATTGGATGAGAGTCATCATTCAGACAGAACTCCATGTAAGTCCTGGGTCCTCTTCAATAGCTGCGCTGTGTGTGTGTGTGTGTGTGTGTGTGGTGTCATTTATACCCTGCCACCACCACCACTCATGACATTTCCATAACTTCCATTCCAGTACAGACACTTTCTGGCATGGCACTCCAGCTTGAATATGAAATGTGTTGAACATATGCTTCTAACTGCAGTTGGCTTTACTCCCTCAGTGGAAAATTTGAAGTTAGATAGATCCCACTCAGGATGAGAAACCAATATGTAAACACCCTTACTTTAACACATTCATATTGACAAAGCAATAACAATATCAGAATGCATTGACTGGTTGATAAAAGCATATCAAAGTTACACTTGATTGAACTATACCGTATTCAAATATTTATCAAACATGTATCTATAAAATAATTAGCTTTGCAAGTCCAGAGAGTTCATTTATGTAATTATTCCAAATGGTTTCCTCTTGAACACAAAAATGTGTGAACTCAACATAATGAGTCTTCTATGCTTCTTGCAATGTGTACTAAACTGTGTTCACATGTGCATGAAGTAAATGATGAACCTTTGCATCATACTTGCAGAGTAATTCCTTATTAAGATATTAAGACAACACCATTGCCAATGTTGCACATTTTTTAAAATCTATTTTATCTCATCGGTCTTTCTAGTTTTGGCTCTGTAATCACACCATATGTCTGTGGTCTTCTCATTAAATGCTGCTTGGATCAGCTGGAACTAGAACAAAACCAGATGTTGTTGTGCACATTCTCATGTATTTTATTGGGTGGGTATTTATGTGTTTGATTTTCCTTTGATAATTGACTCTGATGCAACTATGGAAGACTTAAAAGGCCAAAAAAAACCAAGAAATAAAGTGGAATACAATACATGTTGTTATATGTATTCCTGTCTTGTGTAAGCCTTTCAACCCTGTTTCCTAGAAATTGTTCATACACACTTAATTTGCAACAGCAAATAAGTTTTTGAAGGAAATGTCATAGTCAGCCATAATGCTGACCCAAGAAACATAGGTTTGGGGGCTCAAATGCACAGGAGGAGGTGTAGTTAACAGGATTTATCAAACAAAAAGTGAAACTTACAGGTGACTTGAGATGTGGTTGGCAGTCCAAAAACAGAACACAGTAATCCACAACAAAACAGGTGAAAACAATCCACAACTCCAAATGCTGGTCACCAGTCATGAACAATAAACAAATAAGAGACAGACAGACAAACACTAATATACACAGGTGGGGTGAAGATAACGAGGCACAGGTGATACACATCAGACAATCAGTGAACACAGACACAGGAAATAAAAAAAAGACGACATCAGGGACAGAACAATAGGAAACATAAAAACACCCCAGAACCATGACAGGAGGGTTCTCAAATCCTAATCTGCCCTCCTGAACTTTTTTATTTTACATTTATTTGACAGCTACTGTAGTTGTGTCGTTATATAATGCACAGTTACAGAAAAAAAACCCAATATTATATAAAATAGTTAAATATTGTTGTACTTCTACATGAGTAAAATCATTGTGGCATTTAATTGATATTTTTAGTCCACCACTTTGGTCCCATTATATCTCATCAACTATTGGATGGATTGCCATTCAATTTTGTGCAGACAATTGTGCCCTCTTCAGGATGAATTTTGGCTATCCCATAATTTTTCTAAATAAATCCAACAACAATGATGACAATCCCAATGGCCTACGTTTTCTTTAGTCCTCTTTAATTAGCATCAGCTGACAGCTGAAATTAGCTTTATGGCCTATAAAAAAACAAAACAGAAATAGTTTAACATTTTGGGAAAGTAAATTTTTGGGGAATATTAATTCACTGTCTTAGCAAGAGTTTGATGAAAAGATAAATACTACTCTCATATTTGTCCATTGTAAGGCTAAAGCAAGCAGGCGCTTGGCTTATCATGTAAACTGGAAACAGAGGGAAACGGTGGGCCTGGTTCTGTCCAAAGGTAACAAAATCCACCTGCCAGCACCTGGAAGGCTCACTAATTATCACTTTGTATCCATTTTGTTAAATACATACAAAAACTGAAGCGTAAACGACAGGCTAGTGGTTTTTCCCTGTTTCCAGTCTTTTTGCTAAGCTATGCTAATGGCTCCCCACTATAAGCACTATCAATCTTATCATCTAACTCTCAGCAAAAAAGCAAATAAGCATATTTCCAAAAATGTCAAACTGTTCCTTTAAAGGAACAACACAAGCCAGTGCTTCCAGCTACCTCATCAAAGCTTCCTACTGGAATTACTGGTATGTCTAAACTGTCACAGTGTTCAGGTACCTGTGTGTGGAAGTGTGTGCAGCATGCGTGCAAGCTGCTCCTACATCATGTGTTTATTCAACTGAAGGAATTTACTTAGTCTGCCTATGGTTTATATTAATTTGTAATGAGTTTCCATGAAAGGCACTTGTTTACATTATTATACAATACTGTCATGGGCCAAGTTCTGGCAATGGCAGTGTTGCAGTGATGCAATGTTATCATTTCCAAATTGCATCAAAGCTTCTGACTGCTACCTATTTCCATTCATGGACTAGGTGTATGATTGTGTTTATGTCTGTGTGTGTGTGTGTGTGTGTGTGTGTGTGTGTGTGTGTGTTAAAATAAATACCACAAAGTAAAGGTATCACCTGTCAAATAAACGTAATGTGCAAATTAAAAAAATCACACTTCCTCTGTGGGTAGACACAGTTATTGTAGTTTATTCACATGCATGCTCAAATATTTATGTGTGATACAAATATTTCCTGACATGTGACTTTCTGTTTTCATGCTATGCAAAAATATGTGTGCCCTTCTTTGCGTTTGATCATAAATGCCTGCATACACATGCGTCAGTCTATGAGTGTACATCTTATCTTGTTTATCTCTACTGGAGGGGTTCTTAAACTATGGGGCTTGTTCCACGATAGGTCACAAACCTACTTTCAGTATGTGACAAAGAACATTAGTTTGTTTTCATGAATCAGGATTTCAGTTGAGGATAAATAGATTCACAGGCCCTGGAGTCAGAAAGTTTAAGTAGCTGGTGTATTACTCAGCAGTGTAGGGGTACAGCATGTAACCAGTAAAGATATTGTACTGCAGGTCTTTACAAAGCTTCCTCCCATACATCAGCTCCACGTAGACCTGGTCACCTCTCTGCAGCTCCAGCACAGCAACCTGAAAGCACACACAGTAAACAGTGTCATGCTTCACGGAGCAATTACAAAGTCATGTTTAGGCCACAAATTGTCCAATTTGATTAATAATATTTGATCACTTGATTTGTTTGTAGCAGCCATTTGCACAATTGTGTTACTTCTCTCTTGTTAAACAACCACATTCTTTTCACTTCCTACCTGACTTGCACTGTCTTCATTATCTTCTCGATTGTCCTCCCACACACTGACCACCAGCTTCCCATTCTTCACCAGCTGGACCTACGGATACAACAAAACACAAAATGAAGATACAAACAACTTACTAGTGCTACACAGGTAAACGTGCTCAATGTATTCTAATGTCACATATTTGTTAAGTGTGTCTGGGTTGTTTACTTTGTGGTAGAGCCGTTCATTCTTTGTCACAATTGAGTAGACTGTGAAGGAAAAGACATAAACACCAGGAAAAGGGGCAGTGAAGACACCTGGAATTGGAGGTGAAGAGTTAGTGGAACTGCAGTGATGTATGTCTTTCATGCTTTCATTTAAAATCGTGGGTAAAGCTTAAAACAAATTATTTGAGGTAATTTCTTCTGTGTGTGTTTGTGTTTTCTACCCAAGGAAGGGTTGTATCCATTGCCATCGTTAAGAGTGATGGAGGAGTAGGGGATTGGCACATTAGTGTTGAATGGACCAAAGCAGTGGTCAGTATATCCAGGAAGTATGATGGCAATATTTGGGTCGATGGTGGCTTTGAAGGCAACCTTGATGCCTTCAAAGAGATGAAGAGAGAGATTATTGTAATGTATAACTCAGTGTCCACAAAAGATTTTTGAAAAGTAATTGTTATTGTGTGAATCGCCAGATATTTTGTTTAAATCTACCATCCATCACTGTAAGTGTGTTTACCTGTGAGCGCCTGTACTCTGCTGTTCAGTGAGCTGATACCCTGCCACAAATATTTAATCTTTATGAAGGAATCCTCCTCTATTTGGTACAGATCATTGGCTGCACAGCAGCAGCCACGCTGACGATGGAAAGTACAATTGCAGTCCCACTTTTCACAGGTCAGAGTTCCCTCCCATTGGACTGGAACAGGATGGATGAACGGTGAGAAATTAAATGGAAGGGGGTGGGGGGCAGAAGGTTATGTTAGAGACACGTTCACCATGAAGAGCAGAGGTGTGTAACTGTCTGTAAAATGTTGCAGCAAATGAACATATTTGGGCTACAAAGCAGTCACTTAAAACACAGCCACACAAAATGGATAACATGGATAATGATTATGAAAAGTATATGTATACTGCGTGGATGAGTGCTGTGTGGCTTACGTGTAGCCTGTTTTAGTACATCAGATGGAGGACTGGGCCTCCACACGACCACAGAGAAATAGTGATCCCAACAGGAACAAAACTGTTAGTACAACCATCTGAAAAAAAAGTAGTATTCGGTAGAATTCAGTTCAGTACTGGATCAGTCTTGGATTAAAAACCAGAGAGACTAAATGCTCAGAGCAGTATGATGAGGTGATTTACTTGTAACACACCAACATTTGAATCTCTTACAGTTTCTGAATTCAAATTACACATGTCTGATATCACTTGTTGGACTACTCAGGGTCACATTTATTCTGGGACAGAGTTTGAAGCAGTTCCTGTAGACACGCTGCCTGTATGCCATTTTAAAATTAGAATTCAATCCAGTCTCTTGGTTCTCCAACTACAAATACACTATATGGTTGAGTGTTACTTCTCTCATTAACTGTCCAAAATGCAAATATTTAAGGGCAGCAATTTTCATCAAACAACGCTGTAAGCATGGATTTCATAATCTGAAGGTCATATGACCTCTGGTTCAACAGTGTTTCAATGATTGTATTGTGTAACTTCAGCGAGAACCTTCTTCACAATGAAATACTGTGATATGTCTAAACAATTAAAATCAATTTTTACTAGGAAGCTCAAACAAATCTGCTCCGAATTAGCCAAACAGGGCACGGTTAGCTCTCTGCCCAGCATTAAGCAACAAAACACTGTTTTAACCTGTTAAATAAATTCATACATATCGCAGTTTGGGCCAAAACAGAGCTAAAAGACGAGTGTGTAAAACACAACTCATAGTGTTATGCTCATGTTGTTATGTGGCTTTTTCTTGGTTAGTCTCATCCACTTTATGAGCGTTATTCGTTTTTTTGTAGATTTGTTTTTGACTCTTTCTGCCCTCTAATGGACAGAAATCTTTCAATGCAGGCTTAAATTATTACTTTAAATGGTAACTAATTGTGTATGTTGTAATGTAAAATAATAAAAATAATCCAAAAGTAACAGGAAGTACATATAACCCCACTGACTGAGGTATGTAATCTAACAGTAACTCCAAATGTGTTCTGATATCTGTCAAACCCAAACTGCACAAAACCAAATCACTCAATCATTAAATCCAATCATTTGTAAAAATATTTGACAGAGGAAAGACTATTAGCTATACAACTCATCACAAGTCTTTATCAAGGCAATTGCATTGGTTGGTGGTTGAAAACCATAGGACACATTTTGGATGTTTTTTTTAACAATATAATTAGTGAGCACTATGTAAGCATAGAAACATAAAACTTACTGTTTTTTGTTCCTCCCCCTCCTTGTTGTGAAACACTATGTCAAGTTCTTTTGAGTTTGTGAAACTGACAGGAAGAGTTTTAAGCAGGGGCTGGTTTTAGCGTCTTATTGATGTATTTCAGGTGATCCTCCCCTTAAGGAGGTAAGTGACAGAAGCCCCACCTCCTCACATTCACACACACAGGTTTCATAGCCAAACTCTGACATTTCAATTCCTTCCACAAAGAGAGCCACGCACGTCTCTGGCAATCTAGTTTAGTAAATTGTTTTCCTTTTGTGTGAAAGTACAAGAATTGATCTCGTTGCACTCAGCGCCTTATTGTCGGAACCATAATACCTTTTATTAGGACAGCGGTATCTGGTTGCCACCTTTCCATAGGATGCCAGCTGTTAGGATAACACTGCTTCCAGGCCCCTGAGGATATAATGATCTACAGATGAGAAGACAAAAGAAGCTGATATTTAAGTGTTATCGGTCCATTGATAAAGACCCAGATCTGAGAACAATAAACAGGATTGCCTGGATCTCATGCTGAGAGAGAACAAAGGGTTGAGATATGTGATAGTTACTTGTCTAAAGTGGACTCCGTATTCATGTGAATGAAATGATCTTGTGTCGTGGGCCAATATTTATTCATAAGTCACAAAGCCATTAAGAATGGCTAGGCGTTGCCATCCAACATCTTTTTTTTCAATGACTGATTCAAAGAGTCAGTTTCTGAAAGACATCCAAGCTGTTTGTGCCAAATGTGTTGCACGAACAAACAGCCACCTAAAGCTGGCAGCCACCTTTATCCTGATTAAGAGATTTTGCCAAACGGGTCTTTGAATGTTCTACATTCATTTGTTAGCTGACTGCTAACTAAGATCTTTTGAGATATGATTGCTGTTATTTGGAAGATGTTTGGTAATGGAGGTACTTTTAACTTTTGCCTCTACTATGGCTTATAAACCTAGAGCCAAGTGAAGTCAGAGCTACTAGAGTACCCACAGAAAAAAATAGACAAATAGATCATTGGAAATGCGATAACGATAACTAAAGATATCTTTATATGGGTTATCAAATATTTAAAGTGTAGTGCACAGTGACACATTGTTAGCCAAACTAGCTTGGCACTAGGGATGGCAATCTGTCAGTCCGTCCATCACTTTGGTCCAGACTGAAATATCTCAACAAGTATTAAATGGATTGTCATGAATTTTGTACAGACATTGATTGTAACCAGATGATTGATTTTACTTTTACTCTTTTGACAGTATAAGGTTGACATGTTTGGATTTTAGTGAAGTTTATTTTTTTTATTGGTACAGACATTCATGTTCCCCTCAGGATGACTTGTAAGCACTTTGGTGACCCCTGTCGTCTAGCTCCATTGGGTCATACTTTTAATTCGTCCAGTACTTCAGTTTATGGCCAAATGCCTGCAAAATGATTGGCATTCCCATCAGTCTCAGTATACTTTGTGTCCATTTTCAATCACATTTCAATTATATCACATGGTCATCAGCAGATGGAGTTTGAATGATGTTAGATGTTCATGTTTCTATTTTTTTCTGAGCCGTTTCACATTGGCTTAAAGGTTAAGGTCCATTTTTACATATTTATGTGGAAATCTCAAAGGTTGGGATCTGTGCTAAATGCGCAGTAAATTATGTTGGCCAGCTGGTGGTCCAGACATATTTTAAAATGTATGAATGATATACAACATATACTCTTATTTGTACCACTTTAGGTTCGCTATAGGCAGGTCAATTTTAATGAAAAACTGCTTGACATAAGTAATGTTATGTGATAAAAATGCAACCCCTTGTCTCTATAGGAGTACTGGATGTTTTCTTATGTGTGTTACTGTCTTCATATTTACAGAGCTCAAAGCAAAATGAGCTGTGTGTATAACTGCTCCTGCTGGCATTCATCTCTACTGGTTGTTTGTAACCTGAAGTTGCACAGGCATTTGTTATAATCCTTGTTGTTGCTCTAGTCCTATTAGATAACAAGGTGTTTTGTGTTTACAGTTACTTTTAAAGTTGCCTTGGCTCAGGGGACAGCGCATTGTATGTGTTGTTTTGATGGCAATCTGCGGATATGGCATCCCTAGGCCTGACCTGGTTCTTCACATCGTGTTATCTGCTAGATGGAGGCCATGATGTATCAGGTGTTTTGCATCTGCTTCGCACACATCTCTTCAAAGCAGTTCAGTCCTTAAGATGTTTTACATAACAGCATAGGATACAAGTAAAGTGAGCTGTGCCCTGACCTCAAATGTGATTTTAAATCAGAGCTTTGAATTACTGCATAATGGTGAAAATAAAAGCCTGTTTCTTGTTTGAGATTGTTTGATATGAAGGTGAAAATGAGCCAGAGTTCACTTTCCTGTGATGGAGCCATCAGCAAGTGGCCATGTCTTGTCGGGAAAATACAAAGAAACAATTTACCATTACTTTGAGGTTGAAGTTTTCTATTGATTAAAATGTACAAATAAAAAAAAAAAAAATACTATACATATAGAGTTTTTTTCTGAGCTTATTAAAACTCATAATATAAAGAAAAGTACTGAAGTAATATTCCTTGGATTTGCCACAAACTGAGAAAGGTGACAAAATACAGACATGATCATGAAGCAAATTTGTAAAATATTTCATGTTGCTTCCTTCCTTGCATGACATTATTTTTTTTTTTGGCATTTCTGGTTTACTGAGTCACTCCATCACTCAGTGACCTTCACTGGCTGCCCGGGCCTCCTGAATCAAATTACAAGTCCCTAATCCCTAGTCCCTGCTGCATACAATAGTGACTGGGTCTGCACGCATCTACCTAAATTCCATAATACAAGCTTACCTTAATACAATCTCGGCCACTGCGCTCCTCCAACAAACGTCGCCTGGCTCTGCCATTCCTAAACACAAAGCAATCTCTGTCCCGGCTATTCTCTTCTGTCACACCACAACGGTGGAACAAGCTACCACATGCCATCAGAGCAGAGGCGTCTCTCTCTAACTTCGGCGTAAAGTTTTACAGCACCACATCATGCACCATAAAAACTCTTTTTAGCAAACGAGCTACAAGAACAAATGCTATAGAAAGTACATTTACCTTCTTTGTAAGAAGCTACCTTGGTATTCTAAGTATGGATATCATGGTAGAGGCTGTGAAGAGACCAAAGAAGAAGTTGTAGAGGAACAAAGGAGGCTGAGAGAGAAGAGAAGAGAGTGACTGAGGAAGAGACCGGACAAGAGTAAATATTGGACTGGATTTTACTTGTTGGTGTAAGCTAAAAAAGCTTAACGGATGCAAGACAGATGCTGAGCTGGACTTCTTGCTGTTGGACTAGTAACTTATTAGCTAGCTTGCTGTGTCCTGTGTTGTTGCGCTTGATGTTTGCCTGTGTTAGCAAAGTTGTCGACTCGAGCAAAATCAGCCGGAGCTCACGGACAGAGGTTTAGGTGCTAGCTATAAATCTCAAGTTGATGTTAGCAAACCTACTAGATAACACACTCAGATACTGGCAATGTTACTGTAAGTGCTCTTGCATCGGTTTCTGTCTAGCTTTTCACCAGCTTGCGTCAAGCGTCAAGCCGTAGCCACGTAAGCGGGCAACATAACCTGGCTCAGCAGCCCCTGTGGACATAATGTTAGCTAATGGCAGAGGCAAAGACAGAAAAGGATGTTGATGGAGGAAGATAAGAAGAAAAAAAGAGAGTGATCAAGCAAGAGGCTCTTAGATGTTGGCGAGAGTTTCATGAAATAAAAGGCTCCAAGACAGACGCCAAGCAGGTCCTTTCTGTTCGACTGTGCTGCTATGTCTTGTGTTGTTGCACTTGCTTGGCTGTGTTAGCAAAGCTGTCAACTTGGTAGTTTTTGATGTAAGTAATCTGACATAATCATAACTAATGCATGGTTATTTACGACAATGGTGAACTACACTGAAAAGAAATTATGTTGCTTCAATATGCCAAGAAAATGTAACCAAAATCTTATGTTGGTTCATTAAAATATTACAAAGTCTATATATAGAGCTGTTGGATGCCTCATTCCCTTTTTTATGTGTCTCAGAAGTTGTGTAGACACTTAATGCTGTCACCAGTTGCTGTTTTTAATTTGTGAACAGCATTAAAGCATTAAAGGCCGTACAATTACTATCCAACTAAATGTTAACATGGGTACCTTGTTGTAGTGTATGTTTAGTATTGTAAGCTACTTATTAGGGGTTCTACTTCACCTGACTGGTGATAGGGCTTTCATTTTAATTTCACTTCACGATGGTCTGTAAGGAAGGTTCATACACAGAGTAACCAAAACTGTGAATACAGAGCTTTATTAAATGTTATCAACTAAAATTCAAATGTTTATACCAAAGATAAGTCAGTTCCATCCACAATGTTAAAACTGTATCAAAAATACACCACAGTTTAAGGGTAATATTTCAATACTTTGTCAACAATCTCTTCACTGTAGACACCACACATCTCTTCAAAACAAAATGCCAACTATAATGCCAACTGCTTTGTTTAAAATCCAGATTTATTTTCATGTAATTTTACAGGTGCAGGGGTGTTTATTGTATTTCTCTCAAACATTAAATTACATCATTTCAGCAGGAAAAAGATACTGTTACAGAACAAAGATACTCGTGATTTGAGGTTTGTAAGCTTTCAAATTGCATGGGTTGAATTCAGATGTGAGGGATTTAAAACCTGGCTTCCCTCAGAAAGAGCAGATTGAGATTAGAGGCTTCAAGGCACCACATTAAGTTTTCATCTTGCTGACTCTAACCTTGTTAGTAGGGCAAGATTTGGTACAAAAACCAGCACACAACACCTCACTAACTTATTCAGTAACATAAAGCAGAAAGGCACTGAAAGTGTTGTAATTGCTGTCATCGCAGAGGATACATCCAACGGACAGGTTGACAGTCACTTGTTTCCCAGCCTTCAGATGCAGAACCACAACAGTAGTGGCACTGTCCTCTTGGTCATTCTTATTTTGGTCTCTGATCCCGGCCACCACCTGGCCGTTAACTTGTAGACTGGCACAGGCGACCAAGGTGTTACCAGGAGCACCAGCGTCGCTGTAGACACTGAGGGCGATGCTGTAGACACCAGAGCGGGGAACGGTGAAGATACCGGTCTGCACATTGTAGTTGCCACCCAGGTTAAGGAAGACATTTTTGTAAATGATGATGGTGTTGACATCAAAGGGGCCGTAACACTTAAAGTGGGTATCATTGAATAGAGCAACAGAGAAGGCTGTGCGGCTGGCTGGAGATGCAAAGGAGAGACAACAGGTTAAAAGTGATAGTGAATAGTGCATTCTTGAAGATGCTTTTATGAACTGCACTCTGTCCTGCTTCGGGTAATTCATGGAGGTGCCCCTCACCTTCAATATAGCTGAGACTTTGCTTTGTTTGCAAGTATTCCTTCTCCAAATTATTCAGGCTCGTGTTAAAGTACGTCCTTAGCCTGTTTGTTTCTTGCAGCATCAGGCAGCAGCCACAAGAACCCTGGTCCGTAAGACACACTATACACATACACACATAAATACACCTGTAGATAAGAATATATGCAGACACACTGATTATGTAGCAACATTTTCTCACAATTCCTCACCACTGCTTGCTCTGGGGTCTGTGTTCCCAACACGGACGGGTCCGTCCCAGGAAAAGCCAGTATCCTGACCAAAGGCTGCATGCAGCAGACACAGCAATACAATAGCTGGGGGGAGAGCAGAGGCATGTAGCACCAAGAAGGAGCTTTGCATTAGCTGCCTGTTACCGTATTGCTGTATTGTTGAATTTCTGAACCACTGCTACCTCTGTAAATGTATGAAGTCTCACCTCTCATGTTGATGCTGTTAAATGACGACAGCTTCAGAAGGATGGAAGGTGTGATGGACTGACCGGTAGAGGAAGTGCTGTGGATATATATTTTCTCAGAGCCCCTCCCTTGTTACCTCTCAGTTTTATTCCTCCTCTTCTGTCATCGCTCCTCCTTGTTTTTGTGTCTTGTTTGTTTTAATTGTCGGCCCTATTTGTAATAGTATAGCCGGGGGGATGTTTGATCACTAGGTGCTCTTGCTTTATAAAATCACGAACAACTAGAGACACACCCTCCCGGGCTTTGTGTGGTTGGTTACATGCCAGGTATCATCTATCATCTGGAAAGAGGTGTCTGTGAGGTCTCATCAGCAGACAAGCATGCAGTTTGAGTTTGAGCTAGTTTAAATGATTTCTTTATTTTGTGCTTTTTCTTTAAATGTACAAAGATACACATTAGCAACATTGTCTCAGGCAGCTGCTGTCCTGCATAGATGTGTTACTGTAACCCAACGTGATATACTGATTGAGTGCAATGATCTGCTCCTGATTTCCCTTTGTGGCGCACCAGATCTTGTTGCTGTTTCAAATAATGAAGAGACTGAGTTCAAAATGGCTCTATAAAAGGTTTATGTTATATGTCACTCATCTCATTCTATCCTGTCCTTGTCTTAATGGCTGCTTTCATTACAGCTATGGTGTGTGTTCAGAATTATGCATAGAATGAGAGACCTTAAAAAAGTCCATTATATATTTTAGGTACTATTGGACAGCAAGATTTTAATAATATGGGTGTTACTGTCATTGGTTTGGTGATGTGGCATCCATTTTGATTTAAATAATATTCTGTTTTTATGAGTAACAAGGTGGCACAGTTAATCAAAACTGTAAATGCTACAATTAAATGTTTTATAATGTGGTTGTGAAAGATTTCAATCCTTAAAACATCAGATGATCTTAAAGTTTTTCACTGTTATTGACCTGTACACAATTCAACTTGAGCAACAACAAAATCTTGAATGTAGACATCATTTTTGTGTCCTTAGTTTCTTTGGTGGAAATTTAATCAAAGTAACACAGAATGCCAACAGTATGTTTAAAAGTCTGGTTTATTTTGTTGGTAAAGTACAGGTACAGCAATTTACATCATATAATTTCAGAAGGTCAAACAGCTGTTAACAACCAAGATAGCTTGACATGCAAAAATTCATAAAATGTGTTTTAAGGTGAATCAAAAACCTGGCTTCCCTCAATAGGTAATATTGATAATGATCTCAGGAAGAATAGTGAACCACGATGGAATGAAACTCACAAAATCAGGATGACAGCATTATGTTGGGTGATAGTACAAAATATCAGATAGAGATTAAGGGCTACATGTCACGACTGTCACCGCATAAAGATTTTATCTAACAGACTCAGAAACTGTCAAAGCGCAGAACGGCTTCATTTGCAAACTTAGTCAGTAGCATACAGCAGGAAACCAGTGAAAATGTTATAGTGGTTGTTGTTGTCACAGACGAAACATTCTTTGGGCATGTTAACAGCCACCTGGTCACCAGCCTTGAGTTTGATGGCCATAACAACAGTAGAACTGTCTTCAAGGTCCTGGCCATTTTGTTCGATTAGCGGATATGCCACTTGGCCGTTAACCTGCAGGTTGGCACAGGTGACCAGTTTGTTACCAGGCAAACCAGTGGCGTAGATGGTGACGGTGAGGCTGTAGACACCAGAGCGGGGAACTGTGAAGATACCGGTCTGCACATTGTAGCCATCTCCCAGGTTGATAAAAACATGTTTGTAGATGATAAGCATGTCCGTGGGGAAAGGCCCATAGCAGGTTGGACTTTTTTCATTGTTTAGAGCTACAGAGAAGGCACTGCGGCTGGCTGGAAATGCAGAGGGGAAGAAATATTCATAGAGGTATAAGAAGTATATCAGTTTTGTTCTTTAAGACACTTTGATGATGTTCTGCATTGTGTCCCTGTTTGTGTGACGCTCACCTCTCATATTGTCGAGGGCTGTCTTTGATTTTGTCAGCTCCTTCTTCATTTCGTCATAGGTGATGTTAAAGAACCACTCCATCCTATGTATTTGTCTCTGCATCAGACAGCAGCCACATGACGCCTGGTTTAGAAGACAGTCTGTACACACACACACACACACACACACACAGGCAGACACATTAATAGGTTAGCCTGCAGATAAGAGTATGTGCAGACACAATGACCATTGACAGAGTTTCTTTAACAATCTCTCACCATCGCTTGGATTGGGTTCCGCAATAGGTACGTTTACGCGACCAGGTCCATTCCAGGAAAACAATGTATCCTGACCAAAAGCTTCATGCAACAGACACAGCAATACAATAGCTGGGGGGGAAAGAGCAATGGCATGTAGTACTACACCCAGAAAAAGCTTTGCATTAGATGTTGTTGCTTTTCTCAGGTAATGACCTTTTTAAAATGTAAGCTTCAATAAAAGATCACCCATTAAACAAGTTGTACAATTCTTTTCCATAATAATGTACTTCATTCCCCAAATTGTTTTTCTTTTTTGTTTATTAATTTGTATTTATTCTTAATAAAACATACATGCTTGAACCACTTCATCTTACCACGTTATAAGCCACCTTCAGTCATGATTTTTCTAACCTGAACTACTTTCATTATGCTAGACCCAAATTGCCTGTGAAGCTCCAACCATCTTCCTCCTAAACATTATCCCACTGTAGTTGCAACTTGTCTCACCTCTCATGTTGATGCTGGTGTATGATGATGGCTTCAGGAGGATGGAAGATGTGATGGACTGACCAGTAGAGGAAGTGCTGTGGATATATATTTTCTCAGAGCCCCTCCCTTGTTAGCTCTCAGTTTTATTCCTCCTCTTTTGACATCAACGGCTCCACCTTTTTTTATTGCCCATCCTATTTGCCTTCATAACTTCATAACTGGAGATGTATTTCTCCCTCACTAGGGGCTCTCATTTTCTAAAAATCACACACAAGCAGACACACACCCTCCAGGCCTTTGTTGCTGATGCCACCCAGGTATCACCTATCAACAGAGATGAGGTGTTCTGAAGGTGGAGTTAAGTATTCCCCTCAGCAGCAAAGAAAGGCATACAAGGGTTGGCTTTACTTCTCTGTGGATGTAGAGAGAGGAGGATGAAGTCAGTTACATATCCAGTGGGTTGCTGAGGTAGGTAGGTGAACTACCGGGCTCGGCGAATGAATAGTCTAGTTCACAGGGTGGGTAGCTCACCTTGGACTGTTTTATTATTAAAACCTTCTTCTGCTATGGGGCTTTTCTACCTGACTCATGATCCATGTAAACAATTTCCAATTGCTGCACAGACACACCTGAAACTGCAGTGCTGTGTTCCCGAAAGCCTGTCTGATCCAAGCGGGAAGCTTCCGGTCAGCAAACTGAAACGAACGCGGAAGCCCCTTAAAGCAGTGGGCGACTCTTCTGGTTGCAAAAAGAAGTCTGGTTCCATTAGAAATAATCGTCAAATGACCCTTCTTCTCAGCTGGATAATTACCTCGGTAAACACTTCCCTAATGTGTTTATGTCCTCAATCACTAGTTTCAAGTCTTCTTCAATACAACATGATGTTCATTTTGTAGTGCAAAGGATGCAGGAGAAAAAAATATATTTACCATTATTGTTATTATTATGTACATGTCGGAGGTGGATGTGATATACAGGTTCACATATACATACAAGCATACATGTACGCAGTGTGATGAGTACAAAGAACGCTGGAATAAATAAGTATTATGTGTGGTGTTATGTACATGAGGTAGGTGGATTTGGTATACAGTATATATAATATAATTGTGAACAGTATGAACAGCTCTGAAATAGAGAATGATGAATTTATGGTGTGGTAGCCAGTAAACAGGTGGCTGATTAGAGACTGAGTCACTGGGTTATTGCACAGGAATGGTTCCTGCCCTGAAGCTACCTTGTAGGAAGCCCTCTAGAAGGAAGTGCTTTCACATTTATCGTGTATCTCTTTTAAATGATGCTCTTTTGGTACTAAGGGGCCACATGTGCACCTAGATTATGTCCCTCACACCATTACACCACCAGCCTGAACAGTTGGTACGAGGCAGGATGGATCCACGCTTTATTGTTGTTTACACCAAATCCTGACCCTACCATCTGAATGTCGCAGCTGAACTCGAGACTCATCAGGCCAGGCAAGGTTTTTCTAGTCTTCAGCTGTCCAATGTGGGTGAGCCTGTGTGAATTGTTGCCTCAGTTTCCTGTTCGTAGCTGACAGGAGTGGCCCCCAGTGTGGTCTTATGCTGCTGCAGCCCATCTGCTTCAAGGTTTGACGTGTTGTGCGTTCAGAGATGGTATTCTGCATACCTTGGTTGTAACGAGTGGTTATTTGAGTTACTGTTGCCTTTCTGTCATCTTGAACCAGTCTGCCCATTCTCCTCTGATATCAATAAGGCGTTTTCGTCCACACAACTAACGCTCATTGGATATTTTTTCTTTTTCAGACCATTCTCTGTAAACTCTAGAGATGGCTGTGCATGAAAATCCCAGCAGAACAGCACTTGTCACCTGTCTGGCACCAACAACCATGCCATGTTCAAAGTCAAATCCCCTTTCTTCCCCATTCTGATACTCAGTTTGAACTTCAGCAAGTTGTCTTGACCACGTCTACCTACCTAAATGCATTGAGTTGCTGCCATGTTATTGGCTGATTAGCTATTTGTGTTAACAAGCAATTAAAACTGGTGTACCTAATAAAGAGGCCGGTTAGTGTATATGTGTGTATTTCCCATCAATTCTATTTTTCTGGCCTTCATATGGTTCCTCCCTGTTTCCCCTATAGTCTACCACTTTTTGCCTTCATACCTGTTAAGGTATACAAGTGAATATCTTAACTAATTACCTTTTGGGTGGGGGCTTCACAGACACTCGCACACAAATATGCATGTGCGCACACACACACCCTTCAGGGCTTTGTGTTGTAGATTTAGGTCAGGTCTCAACTATCCTCTAAGGCAAGTTGTCCACAAGGTTCACTCAGCTCATGAAGATTTTTTTGTCCTGTGTTGACAAGTGACAGAGTAACAGGTTTATTTGCAGCGCTGAAAATACTGTGGAGGTTGATTCCCATAAACCAGTTTAAGAGGCAAAAGTTGAGAGCTATCACTGAGGTTAGCCGAGACTGAGATTTTGCAGTCCATAACATGCTGAACACTGATAGTGCGGTCCCCCCCCCCCCATCTCTAAAATAAATCTTTTACACACTAAAGCCACCTGTGTTCATTATAACTCATCTAATTTGTCCAGCTTTTTCAATCGGGGGAGGACACAATTAGTTGTTGCCACTAAAAGGAAAATTAGAGTTTCATTGTCCTTTGAATAGTGTTGAATTACTCAAGTTTACCAGCAGAAAGCAAGGCTTTGCTTGTGAATGTTTGGAAAAAAGAGAGAAAAGACTCAAAATGTTTCCTCCAAGAGAGCTATAATTCTTTCATTAAACACAAATAGCGCAGTAGACACACTCTGCATGGCAGGCTAACGAATAACATCTCAACTTTTTAGTCAAGGTGTGCGTACAGAATCGTTAATATTCACACCATTACTGAGGGGTACTCAAACCATCAAGTCAAAATTTCCACAGAATACTTCAACACTTTAAGAGATGTTAACAGTAATGTTAAAGCATATGAAAAAATATGACGTTTGTGTGTTTACTGCTCTTTTATTACTTACAAATACTATAACATTTGTTTCCTCATTAGAACGATCCCCAGGGCTAAACACACGTGCTTCCTTACTATTTCAATGTGTCACATGCTTCTAACCAGATAAGCAGGTTATATATAAAAAAAATAAATAAACACAACAGCCCATCAGTCCAATTTGCAAACAGTCACTGTGGACCCTACACGTTCCCAAAACCTGATCCCTGGGTACAGTGGGCCAGTGAACTGGGTCTGGTGACAGTAGATGAGATTCGCCTGGTTACTGGTGACGCGGTAAAAAGCCAGAATCCCTGCATGCTGGTCCAGATAGACGCCAATCCGTCGAGCCTTAGAGGAGCCCAGTAGTTTTTCTTGGCCATTGTGCCAGAAGGAGAAGCCGGTTCCAGACCAGTACAAACTCCAGGACAGAGCATTGTGGCCCAAACGGCTTTTATCATCAGAACTTTTACGTTCCATCTCCCTGTAGGCCACGCCAATGGTGATCTGTATGGTGGAACAGGGGAAAAAAAAAATTAATAAAAAAAACAGCACGGAGGGGGTAAAATTTCATTTCATACATAAAAACAATATGTAGAGGGATGTCGGTACTGATGTTTTCCAAGTTTTTGAAGGTTATACCTAGGGCTTTTTGTATTTATTAAGAAGAGCTCTGTGAGGATCTTTCCAAAAGTTGTGAGATTCAGTCTGGACCAAAGTAGTGGACTGACCGACCTACATTTTTGGTGAACTTATACACCCTCAGTGAACTTAAAAACAGGGACTGGTACATAGAGAGACAGGAAACGCCGACGGGTGAGCTAGATAACAGTTCCTGTCTTTGTGACGTGGATGAAGGTTCAGCTACCTTGTAATGACATGGAAAACAATGGGGGTAACCAACTGTTTAAAAGCAGAATGTCAAGCCTTTCTCATCAGTCAGTTCTGTGGTCATTGCAGTGCATGTATTGGCTCCTTGCAAGTAAAGATCATTAATTAAATCTCCATTGACTGTCATTCTTTGGTAAAGATTCCAACATTGTCTATCCTAAAACCAAGTAGTGATGTGAGTGTTTGATATGAACAACTCTTTTTACTGATTCGGGAGTCACAACTCCTCATTTCCATCAACTAGTTCACCAAGTCAGTCTGGGGCAAGCCTGGTGAGCATGCTCTATGGGCGCTGGGGCTGGCAGTGGATTCACCAAGGTCTGTGTGACTTGACTGCCTTGAAAACCTGACTCTCTTTACTGCCTCGTATAAACTCAAGTCAGTAAAAAGAGCCGAACCTCCCATCTCTAAAACAAAACTGCAAGCGTGGCCAAAATAAAAATAAGAGAATGTATGTCAGTGTATATTTTAAACACAGGTTTTTGCTTAGAGGGAAAGTGGTGCATAATCAGCCACTCATTTGCATTTTTCTCCTGACTTCTTAATGAAAGGATTTTCTGAGTTGTGCTCATTACATTAGGGCTTGCCTTACAGTACAATGGCTTCAATGGTGACCTCTTGTAGCAAGAAGATGCAGCCTTTAGGTTTATTTTGGTTAAAACCTGTTAATAAAGTATTTTCATATCCAAGATTAGCAAAGGGATGAGAGATAATATTCACGGCCAACTTTCTGCTTATTTTTGTGACACTGTTTTGAGTCAACGGGTCTCAGTTGCTGTCTGCTTTAAGTTCATTTAAAATAATTTTAAAGTCAGCAAAGATTTCCAATAATTTACTGTATGAAGCATAGACCTCACTGAAACCACCCATTTCCCCCACTGATGTACAAGGACTCACCTTCTGGCCAGTCCACTCCACCTCCCAGTAGTATGGGCTCCCTGCCAGGGGCTCTCTGCAGAGAAGCTGTCTCCAGAAGTGGAAGCGTTCAGGATGGTCTGGTGGGTTCAGGTTCTCAGCCCGCATCGTGGCCTTATGATCTCCATCTGACAGCTGCACATGGCGATACGCAGTGTTGGGGTCCATGGTGGGTTCAAAGCGAACTGAAGGGAGAACATGCATTATGCATCAAAACTGCCCCCCCCCCTCACCCCCAGATCCCCATTTGACACCGATACTCATTAATATTTCATTTTGTGGTGTATGATGAACTCACATTTGAGCAATTCTCCTCTTGTCTTTGGTTCCGGATTAAGTCCCACTGTGGTTACAGGAGGTGCTAGGGAAAAAAAAAAAAATTATACTATACAAGTCATTTGATATGTACAGGTAGTGTGAATGCTTTTGAATTTACCTTCAGGTTGAGGAGATGGGGAGGGTTGAGCGGGGGCTGAAGCTTCATGTCCAGAGAGATGGGAAGAGAGGAAACAAAAAGGAACAGGTAAACCAAAATAACTCCATCACAACTAACATCCCTCAGACTTTTTTCATGTGCTGTAGCAGGCTCTCTTTTTCTAACATTCGGGACATATAGATGGAGGGATTTTCTAACGGCCACATTTAAATGTTCTCAGGTCCAAAAGAATTAGATTTATGAGCCAGAGACATATAGCATCAATTTCTAAAGTAACTTACCTTGAGGCTGTAAAGGTGGTAGAGGGTCTGTCATCTCATACACTACAGAAAAGAGTGGACAACGTGTGAGATCCACATCTGAAGGTGTCCTCATCTTCAGTTTATAATTGTAGAAACAAACTTGCTCTCAGCTTGTGCATATGCTGTGCTTGTATCGCAATGAGTGATATTACTGTACCTGTGTTTTGTACAGTGGCCTGACCACTGTTATAAGTTCCTGTAGTGCCTGCTGGTACAGTTGCAGCGTTGTGTGTTGAAGCTACAGCATCATGATTCACTACAAAGAAAGAAGAAGTTGTGACTCCCTGAAGAAGAAGAGAGAAGAGAAGACAAGACAAGACAGACCTAATGTGACGATCTTGGCCAGGCTGGCTTTGCAGAGGTCCTGAATCGAGTCTTGTAGTTCTTTCACTGCTGAGCGGACAGAGGCTAGCACTGCTTCCTCCTGACTCAGTATTGACTCTTCTGTGGCACCCATCTGATCCAGCGGCTCCATGCTGAGGAAATTCTTGAGAATGGATGATGACACAAAGCATGACAATTAAAATAAAATAGCTGTTCTCATTTTATTAACACCTGAATCTTATTCTTTATTTAGCCAATTAAATACCAACTACAAATCGATTTCCAGCAACACCCTGCCTCACACTAATTACCTTCAAAAAACAAACGTCGTCCTGCATGTTAGCCAGCCTGTTCAGCTCTTCATTCTTCCAGTGCAGCTGTGCCACCTCCTGCTCCAGTCTGTGGATCTGCCCCTCAACCTGGCTGCCTAAGGAGGTCTCATGGTTGCTGAGGAGCTCACTAACCTGGATGCCTGTTTGATTCACATTCTTGACAAGGTCCGAGAATACATCGGTGCTCTCATGCTCTACAGCCTGTACCAAGGCCTGGGAGAGCACAGAGAGGAACAGAAGGATAAAGGGTACAAATAATTTAAATCAGAAACAGGACCACAAGCTAAACATTAGAAATGGTGACTTCATATCTAAACAATCATATCTGTCACTTGCCTTGTGTTGGCGAGCAACACTTGGGACTTCTTTAAGCTTCTTGTCAGTCTCCTGGATTCTCTTCTGTATGTCTATCTGCATCTGAACAAACTCTTTCTAGACATGTACACACACAGACAAGCATACACAAACACTTAGTATAGAAAAGACGCTGGATTGTACTTGGTGATGAATCATTTGTAAAATATTTTGGCCAGAAAATCCCCTTGAATAAGAGAAAGACCATTTCCACACATTTGACAGAAGTGCACAGTAAAGGCTGCCGTTTTACAGGTACTTCAGGTTTAGCTACATTTTGGAATGTGACAAAATTTCTTGATTCACCTGCACCTCATCTCTCCACCCCCACAAAAATCAGCACTTGTCCATTCCATACCTGTCTCTCCTTCCTCTCCTCCTGTGGTTTGAGCACACGATGTCCATGGTGTCCTTCTTGACAACAGACCTCACACACGCTCTCTTTGTCTTCATGGCAAAACAGGTCCAGGGGTCGGTTGTGTTGAGGGCAAAGTCTCGGGTCCATTGTTGGAAGCTGCGGGTACAAGCTGCCCTGGCGTGGACCTCTATCTGGTAGGACCTCCAGGTATGTAGGTATCGATGGTGGTGCAGAGGAGACAGCTGTGGAGAGGCTTTGCTTGAGGCTGTTGGTTCTCAGTTTCTCCATAGCCTGCACTAGCACAGTGCTCTTGGCCAGTGAGGGTCGAGGGTTAAAGACCTGCCTACACTGGGGGCAGCTGTACTGACCCTTGCGGTCTCTCTTGTCCCAGTGACTCTGGATACAAGCCAAGCAGTATGAATGTCCGCAGGGTAGAGTGGCCGGGTCCTTCAGCGTATCCAGGCATACTGAGCAGACAAAGGTCTCCTCTTCAGACCAGGCTGATGCCATATGGTGCTGGGTGGAACGAAGAAGGCTGAGCTAGATTTCTTGGAAGTCAGACCTAGATGTATGGACAGCCGCAAGGTTCCCTGTTTGAATAGGCTACAGAACTAGAAATAATGGTAGTAAGTCTTTTAAATTAAAGCAAAGACACCCGTGGATGGCAAGACTGAAATGCCAGTTCACATGAGTCACATGCTGCTTAAAAACTGAGGCAACATGGGCTCAGGGTGGGGCTGGTAAAACAGGTGGGGTGAGGGAGTTTCTCTTCCTCATGTCACAGGTGCTTCCAAGTTTGTCAAATGAAATTCAGTAGGCCTCATGAACTAATGGCAAGTTGATGGAATGAAAATTAATTAATTAATGACCAACAATGTCATCGTATAGTCTATTGCTCAGAATTTGAGCCTTACAGGGGTGTTAGTCTCATTAGAAACTAAAATTACAATGAAGTCTAGAGGAGACCTGGTTAATACATCCAATGAGGGCAGACTGGTTTTTCACCTGTGAGGACGTGACTAATGATGTCAATTGCAAAAAATGGGCTGAGATGGGAAGTTCCATAATGATATCATCAGTAAATAATGCAAAACGTCTGTCTCACCTCCACCCTCCTATTTTTTTGCAGTAAATACACGCTAAATGGAGAATGTGAAATGAGTTGGGCGTCCTCACAGCGCAGTGAGGGCAACACTGACGTGCCTGAAGCTGCTCAGCGCCATATTGACTAGTGGCAGGACGCCGGACAGCTAGGCGAGAGGCCAGCTGTCTTTGATTCAACTATTAAGGTGAGTGTTTAACGATTTCACTAATATTAAAACCTGAAATGGGTTACCCGCGTGTTTTTCGGGTGCGTGTAGGACACATCGGATGTTGACATTGACAACCTTTTAATGTTAGCGTCGGGATAAGACATTAACGCTGCTTTGTTTTTGTTTTGTTGTTGCCAGTTTTATGCTAATGTATTAGCAGGCTAATTAGCCTGGGTACACTTCAGCAGCTGATATACGACCCAAAGAAAATCTTGACAACGTTACTAAGGCGACTGTTCGGCATAAACCCGACACCCCAGATGTGACTTAACTGTTAAATTGTCAGTGTAGCTAACAAACTGGGCTAGTAGCTAACTGGCAGCTGTAGCTAATAAGTCAAAGTTTGACTACGAAGGAACTCAGCAAACTTGGGGACTAACAGATGAACTTTGTGGGTTTGGAGAATTTAAGCTAAGATGGACGTTTTTCGGATCCGTTGAAGATAATGTCACAGTGGTAAGTTACAGTGGTGTGTTTAGTTTCGGTAAATCTCTGAGCTCATATCAGCTGGGTTTTTACCGAGCCCGTCTGACGGTACGTTTTCACCATGACGTAATCACTGCAGGTGGAGTCAGGCGTGAGATAGACTGAACTTCACATGCTGGGTAATTGTCCGGTGAGCACAATGACCTGAGCCTGGTTGACTGATGCGCGTATGTTTCTTTTTGTAGGATGTTTAGGGGACATCGGATCCTGACTTGGTCTTGTCCCGTAAGGGCATTGCTGCTGCTGAGAGAATCCCAGCTCTCTGCTATCTCTGAGCACGCTGGTGCTGGATGGCAGGCTGTAAGAGCAGCGAAGGAAAAGAGAGATGAAGGGATCCGGGAAAGTAAGGAGGGGTCGTCGGTGTCCACAGAGAGGGGATCCTGTTCAACACAGCTGTTATGCTTGGACTGTGATAATCATCAGCTGAGAGAGGCTTCATCTCAAAACCTCCTGTACAAAGCAGTTTTGTCCAGCCATCATCCACCCCCTCAGGTTTCTCCCTCTGCAAAAGCCAAGCGAGCATCAGATTTGTGGAAATGCACTGTAGTGGAAGATTTGGGTCAAAACCTCAAAGCTGTGAGCACTCACCGGGACTGTTTAAGCAACACAACTTGCCTTCAAACCCAGAGAAGGCCTTGGGAGTTTTGCCAATCTTCACTCAGTTTAACCAATAAGACTCAGTGTAACCTTCTTCAAAGCCATTTATATTACAGGCAGCACTTTGTTAGACCTTTTAGCTTGTCGACGCATAAGGAATGGATTATAAATCAATTTCACAATAGACTGCAACCCTCCAGCCTTTCTTTTCACCAAACCAGAGCTGCTCATCAGGCTGCCCCTCATGTGGCAGACACCTGGAGAGACTGTCTATCCCTGGAAAATGAAAACAGGTGTCGACAAAGCCTGAGGCCCAACTTGAAGCTGTACGAGGTGAACAAGGGAGGAAAGGGGGCCAGTCAAAGCCAGGGAAAGAACCAGGGGAAATGGGCGTCAGTCCTGGTCTCTCTCTGCTCTGTTGAGGGGGAGCCGGTGTTTCTCTTCACTCTGCGCTCCAGCACACTGAAGGGCCGGCACAAGGGAGATGTCAGGTGAGTGGCAGGCGAGAAACGGGTTACGTTGTTTTGTAAACGGGCAGTAGACCACTGTGTCTCATGTCCAATTATTTGTAGTTTTGCAGGAGGAAAGAGTGACCCATCAGACAGAGATGTGGTGGCCACAGCGTTGAGGGAAGCCAGGGAGGAGCTGGGTGTCAATGTGGCGACAGAGAGGGTGTGGGGTATCCTGAAGCCTCTCAGGGACATGGTGAGTGCAAGTGCTGTTAAGATTTTAAACCATGTGATGGTTTATGTGCCATTTGGTGTAATTTTATGAAATGACTTAAAATTTCATATTGAAATATTTGTTATATATATATATTGTTGTTTTTTTTTTTTTCTCTTATGAATCTATGACGGTATTTTAAAACTGGTGAAGCTCCACTGATGGCTTGATTTGATTGGAGAAACACTCCAAACAAAAACACTCACAGGGCTTAAAGTCTTACGTACAGGTGCAACTAACAATAATCTATTAGTCTGTCAATTTTTCTTTTTAGATTGATCACTGTCTAGAAATGTTAGCATAAAATGATAGTAAATAATGCAGAAACATTGTCATTGTTTTGTCAGACCTGCTGTCTAAAACCCTCAAATATTCAATTTACAAATGATGGTGAGAGAAATCACTTCACAGAATTGTTTAATTTTCTGTCAAATGACTACTTGATAAATTCTCAAGTTGTTCCGGCACTACGTTTTTAAATTTAGCATAATTAGGCCCGTAGACACTTATGTTTATGTCTACTGCTGTACAGACTCGTTGTTGCAATAAAGTTTGGCCACAGCTGAATCTATCTTCATTATTAATAAAATATCAGTTTCATTTTTAAACTGTTTGTTATACTTGTCTAATGTGTTCTAAATTTCAGAGCATTGATCATAATGTGATCATTATGAATACTAAATCTGTGTCTCTGTCTGATTCTGACACTGATTTGTCTCCCACTAGTCAGGGATGGTGATTGCTCCTGTGCTGGCTAACCTTGGTCCCCTAGAGGAGATGTCCTTCAAACCAAACCCTGGAGAGGTATAGTCATCCTATTTTTAGCACATGTATTTTATATCTACTTGAAATGGGCAGGTTTCCGCGTGTTTAAATGGCTGGAGGTTTTATTTTGGACACGGTGAAGATGGTGGTTATGTATTTATTAACTAAAATTTTATACAGCTTAGTCAGTGATTTTATTTTTTTTCAGCAGCAGCAGATGACCAATCACAGGCATGAACAAGTCCACTGGCATCAGCGTATCAATGACGGGTCGGTTGTCCGTGTTTGCGAGCGAGAGAGAGCGACCGAGTGAGACGATGTGCGGAGCGAATATGCGCTGCGCAGCGCTGCAATCAAGAACGATTTTAAAATGGGTCGCCAAATTTACTTGGGTGGCTGTTAATCTACCTGGGCAGCCCGCCAAAGTAAAACCTATGTATGGGAAACACTGAATTGAATGGTTGGTATCAAACACCGCTACACAAATCTGTCCAACACAACGCTGTCAATGTCAGAGACCCATCTTCAAAACAGTTATTAGCAAGCATGTAAGGAGCCTAGATAATAAGGAGAGCTATGTTAATTTTGGAAAACAGCTGTCGAAGTTACCATGCTGTATAACTGGTAGTCTCCAGGTGCGTTCGAGATAACTGGCTGACTTTCGCTGACTTTCGCTGACTTGATAGATAGGGGAATAAAAACGGCACCGTCATGTCAGACACAATCTACCTCCGGTAGACTGCGTGAGCTTACTGAGGTCTAGTGACATTTTGCAGCGCAGGTGTTGTGCCGAATTCTGCATGCCTGCCGTGAATTGCATACACCTCGAGGTGGATGCAAATTTTGGTAGGCAGCCTACAATATCTGTTTTGCTGAATTATACAATTCACTTCTTAAGGTCCTTTCAGGACACTTTGCTGTTTTGAACGCAGTTAACGCAAAGTGTTTTTGCTGAATCTCAAGAAATGGTACTTTTACTAAGTGTAATAATATATTAACATTCATAAAATATATATATACTGATCATTTATCACTATTGATGAACCCCACAAAGAATAGTATAGTGTTTAAAAGCAGAACTTTAATGCATTTTCCTACAATTCTTGGCAGGCATGCAAAATTCAGCATAACACCTGTGACAGTCACACCCCCCCACGCCACAGTTACGCTGTCAATCTGTGGGAAACACTGAGCCTACAAGAGTTTATCCGTATCACCGTAGCAAACATAGCAACCTATAAAACAGTCTGCAGGATCTCCTACAGATGGTGATGTCATTTTCCAAGAGAGCTGATTGGTGAGTAGGCAGCGTTTCTATAGAGTTGATCTCTTCTCTGGAACATGACCTGCTCTGGAGCAGGTTAGCTGTGGTAACTTACGATGAGTAAGTAACCATAGCGATCTACCCCAGTAAGAAGTGAACCACCGTTGTGGTACTGAAAACCCAGGGTTAACCCGAAGTTACTTGGATAAACTCAAATCCTGCTTCGTGGTACAGGCCCCAGGTCATACCTGGCCCTAATATACACTACTGAGATATTATGGTTTACTTACAGTATTGTACTTTCACCAAATTATCTACTGTGGTGACTTGGTATCATATCTACCCAAACATTTTAGCCTACAGCTTCTTATAATCAGTTCTTTTCTTTTTTTAATTGGCATCATAATAGTATACAAATGAATAGATAAGCAAACAAATAACTTAAAGGTGCTGTAGAATGCTCATTGTCAGGTTCATATGCTTTAAGTGGGGCTACCAGCAGAGTTTCAGGAGCAGGACCACACATCAATGACGTCACTCCTGGCTTTCCATAAATACCCACACAACGCACTCCCTCTTCTTCGCTCTTGAATTCCGCAACCCTCCCGCCCACCCCTTTCTCTGTCCGGTCTCCTCATCTCCTTCCTCTACATAGGGTTATATGGGGGTCTGTCATGCCCGGGCGCTACGGCGGATTTCCCTATCGTAGCTTCCGTACAACGCTTTCGAATGTCTATTCAGCTACCGCAAGCATCATACATCTTCAGTTTGTTTATCAATAAATCATTTAATCGTATCTGTTGATTGTGGTCAACTAGTGAATGTTAAAAACAAATCTTGTATTTCTCATAATGTTCACTGCTCCAGCACCTCTTTTTTCATCCTATTTCTGAACACTGTTTTAGCTCCTGTCTCTTTATGAACCCCCTTCCTAAAAAGCCCACTTGCTTCTGATTGGCACATCAGAAGCTATGGGAAAATAGGCCTCACTGATTACTGTACAAAAACGCAACTTTACTCTCTGGTTTTATTGAAACTGGATCAGAGTATATATTGTCAGGTTTTCCTCTGATGTCCTCCGGCTGCTCTGCTTCCACTGTTGCCGATTACGAAGTTCTACTTGTTGCTGATTCTGCTTCGACTGGGAGCTTGGTGCTCTGGGGTTGTGTTGGTCTTTACACCTGTAACATTACTACAGAAGCTTTGGACCGCTGGTTCAGAGTCAGCTGATAAGAGGAGCTACAGCTAGCGGTTAGCAACCTGTTCCGTTAGCAACAATTAAAGCTATCTGTCCATCGGGAAACTTCCTAAATCACAAAGTTGAGGCAGAGCAGCCAGAGGACATCAGCACTTTGTATGAGACACACTCCGCTGCACTACCTACATCTGTGGCTCTGAGAGTTTGTATGATCGCTAACTCTGGAACATGGGCTGGTCTATGTAACTTTGGTGGTGTGAACGTCCCAGATGTTACGTAAAGTCTAGCACATGTTGGCATTCCCTGGTTTTTTGGGGGGGATTTTGGATGCGCGAGATTTACATATGAAGAAGGAAACAATGGACATTGAGGCTCAAGGTATGTCAGTTACAATGGTGGATGGGTCACAGAGGGAATCGAACCCGTGTCTCTCACACCAAAGCCATGTGTCTTGTCCATTGCTCCATCGCCACCCAAAACACAAGTTTCAGACTGTGCTTCCTTTGTCTGTTTCCGTCCCAGGTGGAGGAGATTTTCACCCTGTCCTTGTCCCACTTGTGCAACCCTCAGAACCGTGGCTACACACACTTCCGCACCGGTGACAAGTACGGATACACCCTGCCAGTGTTTCGTAACGGGAAGCATCGAGTGTGGGGCCTGACAGCCGTCGCCCTAGACCATACCCTGAAACTCATTGTCCCTCCTTAGCAGCTCAATCACGGTTACCTGTAAAGTTTACAACGCACGCATACGCACAGCACTCAAAGATTTGATTATGACAAATGTGCAATCAAGCTTTGTGTAGCAAAATCATGGCATGAATCGGAGTTAAATATTTTCATTCTCCTTTCTGGGAGAATGAAAAGTATCACAGTCAGGAAAAAGATTTTTCTGCTTGTGCACTTTCTGACCTTCGGGTGTATAAGAATCTATTGAATTGATCAGGTGTGTTGATGACCCTGATAAAGAGCATTAATTTGTGGAAAAGCTATGGAGTAACAACATCAGAAAGCAGATTCTCACCAAACACTATCTGCGTGTGTGTGTGTTTGTGAGCTTGAATGCGTGTGTATGTATGTTTATCTAGATAGAATGTACTGCTTTATTTTTAACTGTTTCTAAATCCTTCCACCAGTTATCTTTACCACCAGTTACCAATTAAATTGATTTTTAACAAGTTCAATCAATGAGTCATGTCTGCTTAGCGAAGTGCAGCTAAAACAGAGTTCATGTGATTCAGCTCGTGCCCATTTTATCACTCACTAGCTCAAACCTGGACTGTTATAAACACTGAAATGTTGTAAGCACACTTCATGTGGTCTGTTGATGAACAATGCAATAAAGGTTGTTTTAAAGGTTTTCTCTATATTCAGTCTTTCTTCATAGGTGGTGTCTGTTTTACATGATTGACATAAAAGCAATAAATAGTGCAAAAAGACAGTTTACAACAGTGATTGTGACGATTTCTACTGGAGAGGGACACTCATTTCACTAACTTAGTATCTGAATTACACAAACGTCTTCATCTAAGCTTACTATATAAGCTTTACTTTAAAACCAGCTACTGTATCACAATTTTCTGCGCACCACAAGCTTTACAGGGTGAGGGTCAAACCACTTTCTACAACACTTTTCTTTAATGTGTGAATCTGCTGGTCCAAGTCCAGAAAATTAGTCTCCAGCTCTGTAAAATTCAGTCTCTTTTTTTCGGTCCTCAAATACCACTGCAAATCTGGTCTGAAATGTCTTCTGAAAAAGTATGCTGGGGCTGAGGTGATCATCAACGCAACAGAAACTTCAAACTCTTGATCAAGCATCAAGGCAGCGAGCACTCCATGGGGTCCTGGGAGTCCGGCAGGAGGTGGCAGTTGAAGGGCCAGCTGAAGGAGAAGAGATCCAGGGCTTGGCTGCATTGCTGTTCAGCAGAGGAGCAGACTGAGCGGCAGGGCTGGAGGACGCCACCCTGAGGACTGCACTGGGGCAAAAACATGCCACACACCAGCCTCCGCAACGGCTCGAAGCATGCCAGCTCCATCAGCACCTGACGAAAAAAAGGAGTTTGTGAGGTTGACTGTTGCGCTTGTAGAGCTAAAAGAAACTATATCCGTCAGTTTGCGTGCGTTTGTGCCACCCAATTTTTTAAGCTTATACAGCAGGAACAAGAAAATACAGGTAATTCAGGTAAATGATGAATACCCGGTACTGCCGCAGGAGTGTGGCAGCTTCTCTCTGATCAGCGATGGACAGCCAGATGTTTGGGAATGAGGTGAGGTTGTAGCTGAGCCCTTGACACATCTCCACCTCTATGAACTCACAGGATGAAGCTGAGGGCATGGAGAAAATAAATCATTTGTATTGTTATTTTACATTAAACATTAGCACTAATATTTGGCATTTTGGGAACCACACCTTCCAGTAATACACAATTATGATATAATCAAAGATACATGCTTCTGTTTTGTTGAGTTTGCTTATGACAAATCATCTCTGTCCTGCAAAGATAAGTGAGTGATTTCAACATCAAAACTCTGGCTCTGAAAACAAAAGCCACCGTGTCTATGACTCTCTACTGGGACTCTGATTGGGGTCAGAGATAACTCACTGAAGGGAGGGTAGGTGGAGTTGCCACAGCCCTGTTCATCTGCTCCATCAGGGCAGTCGTTCCATCCATCACACAACCACTGCTGCTGAAGACACACCCCTGTCGAGCAGGCAAACTGTCTGGGACCACATGTCCCTTTAAATATAATAAAGATGAAAACACACAGGGGAGGTTTAAAGAAAGCAAAAAGTGACGTGAAGAGCAAAGGAAGAGGCATAGGGAAAGGGAGAAAGTGCTGGAATAGGATACGAATTTGGGCCTTCATATGACAAAGCGTCAGGTATAAGATGCCAGTTTTTGAACAGTAAATGTAGGTCAGAGGAGAAAGAAAAGATGGTCATAAGAGGTAAAACTTGAAGGAATGAGGAAGGAAAGCAATTAAAGAGGGAAGGAGCAAAGTAAGAAGGGTCAGAGGCAGGGGAAAAACCAAAGGCACCCGTAATACTTTGGTTGAACATGAATTGGCTTTATAAGAAAGCAAGAACTCACTGTTTAGTACAGACACAGCCTGGTATGTTGCGTTGAAGCCGCTGTCGGCCACTCCCTCGTCAGCTACAAACACCACAGTCATGTGGGGGCCGGAGGAGGTTAGGTCCGGAGGGAGGGTGGTACCACAAAACCTGAGACAGTGGGAGAAAACAAAAGCTGCTTCAGAACATGTTTTTTTATATATAACTCACACAAGTTCTTGAAGGTATAGTGATTGTAAATTTGTATTTAACATTAAGATTAAGGCTTTGGTGGGTCTCACCTTCCCAGCACTCTCCCATTTCCAGTATCGACGTTGTCGTGCACCTCCACGTAATCAAACTCACACACATCCTGAGTTTCCAGGCTGAAGTTCCTGAAGTGCAGTGTGATTATGTGACCCTCCTTAACAGATATATACCAAATGCACAACTGATAGGAAACAAGGGACAAGGGGTTACTGAAAACCACGAGTTTCACATCACCGTAATAGCCAATTTGGAGTTTGTTTTGCAGTCTAATGTGTTTAAGAAGAAAAATAATACCTGCTGGTGGGGATAAGGCCTGGGGTGGTTTGGACTTGACAGGTAACCATACGGCCCGGTCTTCTGCCCTCCACATTCTGTGAGGACAAACCATGTCAGCGAGTTCACTCTTATGTCCTCTGTAAGTGTGTTTACCTTTTGTTTCTAACTTTGTCATGCTCGCACCTTTGTGTTTATGGCTGCAGTTTGCTTCATCTGTTCGGTCATGGCAGTTCGGATGACCGTCACACACAGACACAGGCAGCAGACAGCGACCGCTGTCACACATGAACTCTTCCCTGGAGCAGCTCTCTGAGAAAACACACAGTAGATGGACATAAATTTAAATGGGCATGAGCGCAAGGTGCATGTATTTGCAAATGCGCATGCCCACTACTGACTGTGTGCAGGCAGAATGGCCCTGTACTGTGCAGTGAAGCCGCTGCCTGCGATGCTGCCATCAGAGCGGAAGGTGACCCACACTGTGCTGCTGTTTGTGTTGACTGTTGGTGGTGCTACGTTACCACAGAACCTGCAGGAGAGAAGGATAGACCTTGTAATAATCTTAACCTTTTGTTTGGATAATCAGTTTTTTACCCTCCTTATTGCAGGTTTTGGAGTTGCCACTTCAGTCTGAACTTTGCACTGTAAATTCTTTAAAAGATTTGTGAGAACGTTACATAACATTTTGAGAATTTCACAAATTCATATTACGCCATTTTCCATGAATGCAAGCAAGCAGAAAGGTCAAAGTATTCACATGTATAAATATATGTATAAAAATTCCAAGAAGCCTTCAGTACCCAGAGGTGCAATGCACAGACCTTTAGTGCCATCTACCAACAATTTAAGGTAATGACATGAACCCTAGGGACGTAGAGAAATGAAAAGTTAGTTTCACATAACTGTCTAAGTGAGACAAGCATTTAGTTTAATTTGAGTTTAGAATTTCAGGCTATTTGTGCCATTTTTGTACACTGATGTGTATTTGCCAGAACACACAGTTATGTATTGCCTGCCCTTCAATAGTTAAGTCCTTCAAACACTTATACTTCTTGGGTGAGATACCTTTACAGAAACACTGTAGGTGTTTTTGTTATTCTTCTCAAGAGTGACAGTGAGTGCAACAGAAAACTTTACAAGCAACCAAAAATGTGGCATGCAAAGTTCAAGGTCTTCTTGCAACATAAGCAAACACTTTTAAAACACCGCACTGGGCACTGTAGTATGAAAATAACATCTGCCAAGGGACTCCACTGTTGTGTCTGGAGGGAAAAGTATTTTATTCATGGGGGTAGTCCGGGTCTGACTGACCTGGTGACCACAGAGCGCTGTTCGATCTGCTCCTGGACCTCAAGCCAGTCAAACAGACAAGGAGACGGTCCCTCTACAGTCAGAGAGGAAATGTGGATCTGGACCACGGAGGGGGTTGGGATTTGGATCACCCACACACACAGCAAGTTGGGGGGGTAGGAGCCGGGGTGGTTTGGAGAACTGAAACTGCCCTCTGAGTCATTCAGAACCCCTCCACAACCTGAGAGACAGAAAGGAACGCCTCGTAGTTACACAAAAAGGAAAGAAAGGGCCTCAAAATGAAGAAAAGATTACAGAATAAGATAGACATGGAACTGGTGGTGCAAATTTTTGGATATTAAATTATATAAATGGCCATTTTGCTTGAATATCTTACGTGTTTCAGATGGAGAGATCCTGGTGGTCTGGAGTGTGGCGGTGCTGTCCACTTGACTTCTGTTGGCAGAGGTTGTGGGTAAAGTATGGGACGCTCCATCTCCTGTACTCGGCAGGTCTGCAGGGCTGGTGGAGACCAGCTGATCCTCCACTGCCTGGCCTTTTATCTCTAAATCAGGGACAGAAAATAAAGACACAGGGATTAATCAGAGATGAGGCTCATTTTAGATGATTATAGTGTCTGAGAAAAAAGAATAAAGAAAGAAAATAGATACAAGTAACAGGTCAAATTGTTGGTGGTTATAAAACCACTTGATTGATAATAAACCCTTTAAATCAGTTTTAGGGATTTAGGGACTTTTTCATTGTGATGACTGATCTGGGGGCGTCAGTGACTCACGTGTGAGAATAAGGGCCAGCGCCAGTCCAAGGGCTGCCAACAGGAGCAGGGCAGCAGCAAAGACCACCACCACCCCCCAACCACAACCCGGGCCCCGCAGACGCATAACACACACCCCAAACAGACCCCAGCCTGGGCCTGAAAGACACATCACACACACACACACACACACACACACACACACACACACAAGTAAACATATATGTAACAGGTCAGAGGAGATACTTTAATGATTTAAAATTTCTGGTTTATTTGAAGTTTTTGCATGTTGTATAGATGTAATTCTCGTTCTCCCTTTCAATTAACACCTGATTTGTCGTAAAACGGCATCACATGTAAAGAATTGTCTTAAATTGAATTCTCCAAAGCTTAGAGAAAACCTGCCAAACCATGACCAGCAAACTGACCGTTGGTCAAAATTGGTGAATATCTCCTTTAATCCTTAACCATAATAACCATGTTTGGTACACACTTCCTCACTTTTCTTTAATGTTACAAATCCAATGCACATACGCAGCATTATACAATTCAAGTTTAGTCACAGAAAGCAGCAAGCTGATTGGCTGACTCACTAGCAGGCGGTTTGATAGGTTCAGGGGTGGACGAGGATGTCCTGAATCCCTCCACCCTCTCCTCTTGCTCCCCCTCCAGCTCAAAGGCAGGGTTGCAGAACACATTCTGTGGAAAGCAGAACAGAAAGAAGTGGAAACAAAACTATCAATTAAAAAAACCTCAGTGTTTGTTACAGACAAAAGAATGTATAAGCAGCACTATGTAATATTTGGAAATAATAAAAATTATATTTTTTCTTTTTCAAATAAACAAATTCATAAGCAATAAAAGACACATTTACTCATTTGAACACAATCACACCACAGCTTTACTTGGTCTGGTACGACCAGTAGCCCTGGGTTGCTACTGTTAACTAATGTTGTCAAAAAATGTGTAGATATTACTGAATTAACGTACATTACTGAGTCAGTTTGCATTCTTTATTTTCACTTTATAGTCCAATTCAACTCACTTTCAGTAAGGTCACCTAATAATGGTGACTAAATCTGCAATAGCTGATTCTTTTTGGCCACTTGGGGGCAGTATAAACAACAATATTGACATATCATCACCTTTTAAGTTTAAAAGGGCAAACATGTTAGCAAATAGTTTAATCCAGTAGTTATGTCCACCTGGTGAATATAAATCCAGTATTCACTCCGTTTTAGCTTCTGGCTCTTTACCTGCTAAATGCTCCACTGTGTGAGCAGCGATAAGAGTGAAGCAAAACAGCAAAGTTGGCTGGACAGCTAAACAATGAAAAATAATATAACAATATAATGTAAAATAATTTAAATATATATTAATATATAATATATTCTCTGTAGGTTCATTTCTATGAGGGACCACTTTCACACTGTCCCTTCTTAACACTGTCATTTGATAATTTGTTGCCATACAATTATCAATTACAGCCGCTTTAAAGCAACTGACTGAAGAAAATCTTGAGGGGAAATCCAATAAGTTAATCGTGTAATTGCTGCTGCAAAAGTTACATGGTCTCGTTTTAAATACTAACCCAGAAACTACTGTTACATTTACACTGATAATGCGCAAATGCCTGGTAGAAGAAGCAGGATTGCACAATGCAAGACAATAACTCAGTACTACGCACAAATAGATCTGGAATGGAAGATTTCCAGGTCCATAAGGCTTGAAATTAAGTATACATTTTCCATAAGCAAAAAACAATGCTATGTCAAGTGGAAGAACCTTTAACTTCATGTCAAATATATGTATCTATAGCCAGCTATTCAGAAAAAAAGTCAGTTTCTTTGATGATCTCAATGGGCCTTAAACAGAGCCTGGTTTGCAAGTCAATTGCCAACCAATCTAACCACCATCTTTACTCACCTTATAAATATCTGAAGAGTCTGAGTAAACTGCAACTTGGCTGAGGTCAGACATCTTTAGTATGCTGTCACTCTGTCAGGGCTCCTCTTCTTAAAGAGTCTGATGTTGTGATAAACACATCTGTGGTGACATTGTGAAGAGAGCTGTTTCTATATGAAGGAAAGTTAAAGATGTTTCCCTGGGTTTTCTTAACATTGTTCACTTTTTGGTCCGCCAACAGTAAACTTCCACTGAAGTGTAATAGTAAAAGTGCCTTCACTCCTCCAGCACAGCAGAGCCCTTGGTTGGACATCCATCAACGTATTCCAGATAAAAACGGAAAAAACCCCAACACAAATTATAATTCACAGTTCAAACCCCACCTATCAAAACATCCATGTTTGCTGCTATTCTTCGGCCTTTTGTCTGTTTTAGCAGTATCGACATGTATTTCTCTTGTTTTTTGATGGTGTGAGAGTGGTGACAAAATACTTCTAGAAATTCCTTCGCAGTGCTGAACAAAGCCGAGTCAGCTGAGTGGACTGAGCCCCTAGGAGAAGGAGGGAGGACAGGGCCTTCCCTGTCCTCCCTCCTTCTCCTAGGGGTGAAGGGGTAAGGAATGGCGGTGGGGGGCCCTGTTAAATCACTATATAATCCCCATTATGATCTTTTAAGCTCCTAAAAAGTTTTATTCCAAACCTGAGTGATCAGGTGCACGAACACACAAATACAAATACATGAGAGCACTACACACCATTTTAAGCCCCAAAACACTCACACAAAGACACAGTGCAGTCATTTAGCAGTAATTCTGGGTAATTAGACATCAAAACAACAACAGTGTTAGGACAGGGTTATGTTTTTGGTGCAAAATAGCAAGATGTGCTGAAGAGATTGTGAGATTTGAAATTGCAGTAGTCGCCCAAAGTTGGCTGTCTTAATAGATTTTTATTTAAAAGCTTTGGAGCAGCTTTTATGAGGCCACTCTTGGCTTTAAATAAATAAGTAATGTCAATGTAAAAATGTCACCAAAGAATATCCTAAAACAAGAGAAACAGATCAAATGAGTGCTGTACTAAATTGCTCAATCCCTCCTTCTGTGTTAATGGGTAATCAGTCATCAAATAAAGCAGTTGACTGCAGGTCGATACAGACACTCTCACTGTGGTTTCTGTCACTCAAAGACACAAACACCACTGATACAGAGTCTGGTCATGTATATCAAGTCCATACTTTGGATCCTTCTATTCATCTCTGTCCAGGAGGGTGAGCTTTTCAATGTTTTGTTGCACTTACTGAACTATACATTTAAGTGTGATTACGTCAAAATGTATATTTATATGGCTGTGTTGACGCATGTGTCTGTGTACTGCCCCTTGCTTGTGCGTGCATGCAGAGGTGAATGTTTATCCCAATACTTCTAAATGTTTGCGCTCCAGTTTCCCCGCAGGACCATGATGTTTATTATTATTATGATGAGGAAATAGAGTCTCTGAAATGCTCAACCACAGAGAGCATCAGAGGTGGACACGTCACCTACTCACAGGTAAAAATAATACACTGCAGATTAGGGCAAAAATTAGATTAGAATTATAAATAGATTGATACTTTTCAGTTTAACAGGCTGATAATAAATATATATAAAACTCTGCAAAACAGAAGTTACAAGGTGCAAACCAGCCAAGAGTCCAGGGACAAAATGGAGGATGGAATTAAAAATAATATAGTAATAAGATTGATGAACAATTAAGTAAAGAAATAAATATTTGTATGAATCACGCAAGTAATGCTGAATTAGCAAGGTCTTTTTCCGATCATGATAATAAGGAACTAGAAAGTCTAAAAAAAAACAACAACAAGCAAGCAAGCCTCTCTTTACTGGAAAGCTTCATTACGTAATTTAACTCCATAAGTGATCATGTGTTTCCTCTACAGGGAGGGCTGGAGGGCAGTGTGCTGACCTATCACTGCAGCCAGGGGCAATACCCTTTCCCAGTCAGCCACAGGCACTGTACTGAGGGGGAGTGGTCGCTCATGAGATCAGCCAATGGCAGGCCGGTGTCACGGGCCATATGCAAAGGTAATGTTTTGGATGGTGATGCATTATACTTCACATGTACACAAACCCACTGTCTGTTTTCACCCTTCCCTTCCGTCCTGCATCCTCTTGTCTGTCCGTCCATCTCCCTCCCGCTCCCAGACGTGTTGTGTCCGGCTCAGCTCCAGCTGGATCACGGTGACATCTGGCCCAGGGACCAGTGGCTCCGGGTTGGGATGACGCAGAACTTCTCCTGCCAAGAAGGGTTCACCCTCTACGGGTCAGCCCAGAGGAACTGCACCCTCTCTGGGGACTGGACAGGAACCAGTCCTGTCTGTGACAACCATGGTGATGACGAACGGCATTACAATGAAAAAGCATAAATCATGTGTATCATGAAATTATGTAAAATGCATGTCTATATCTTCCCCCTCTTACATCAGGGCAATAGAGAATTACTGAGCGAATATGAGACCCTCAGCCACATTCATCAGGTGTATTACAGCCTCTGGTAGAGTGAGCATGCACTGACTAAGCTAACACATAGGTTTATATTGTAAAGCAGCTTTTGAATATGATCCCCATAAACTGATTTTAATTCTATACAGTTGTTTACTGAGGCTTTGTGTGGTGACAGAAAACAGGTCAGTGGCATAATTTTGGATTTACTCTGCTTACTCTTTATGATTCAGTGTTTGACGGCTTTTGTGCTTCTTTTCAAAATTCTCATCATTCTGAACATTTCTGTATAAGCCTAAACACCACTATCCTTTAAAAAAAAATGGTTTTAACCTCAAAAATCACTTATCCTGACCTATCCCATTATGTCTACCGTTCTCCCTTTTGTCTTTAAATGCAGCTGATGACTGTAATGACCCAGGGGTCCCACCAGGGGCCCAGAGGTCAGCGGGCCGGTTTCACACTGGAGAGAAGGTTATCTACCGGTGTCAGACTGGTCTGGATCTGCTCGGGTCAGCTGAAAGGGTTTGCCTTGAGAACAAGGAGTGGAGTGGCTCAACACCACGGTGCCAAGGTGCAGAGTGACAGTTTTTATACTGTAATTACAATTTTAGATTTAGTTGTTTTTTCTTTAAAACAACAGATTTTTTTTATTGCAATTAGGCATATTAGGATAAAACATCAACACAAGATATCTTTGTGCTTTACTGCAGGTCCAAATACCTTTGACTCTCCCAGCATGGTGGCAGAAGCCATGGCAGGGTCTCTTGCAGGAGTCATGGATGTGCTCACACCAGAATCCAAAAAGAAATGTGTGCATAACTTTATGCGCAATCTGTTCCTCATGAACACAACATATTGATAGTGTTGCAGCACAAACATGCATGTACATAAACTTGCTTATACAAATGCTCAGTGCAAGAAATCAACTGCAATAAAATAAATAAGTACTGTGTGTGTGTTTGTGTGTGTGTGTGTGTGTGTGTAAGCTGGCAGGGTGTCCTATGGCCGAACAATCCGTGTGGCTGAAGGCAGTCGTATAAATGTTTACATTTTACTTGACACATCAGGAAGCATCCGAGAGCAGGAATTTGAAAGATCCAGGAACGCCACCATTGCTCTAATTGAAAAGGTCTGTGCCATATGAGCTTACTTGATTCAACAGGGTAATTGGGTGAAAGACAAAGACACCAAAACAACAACAAAAATGTATTCACATTTATTCCCATTGGTCTATTAGTTTGTGTGATGGAAATTATATATCTGTCATCCTGTCTCAGTGGGTGTGAAACCTACATGTCCTCTTCATTTTCTCTCTAGTTGGACAGCTACGAGGTGCAGCTGAAGTTCCATGTGTTGTCATTTGCCAGCGAGGCTATAGACATCGTTGACATTAGAGACTCGGATGCAAGTGGAGACATAGACAACGTCATATGGAAACTGATGGAGTTCGACTACAGTAGTAGGACTCCGCTTGTTATCCCTTTATTCGTTTTTATTCATTAATTTAATAGCTTTATCTTTTTATCTCCTACAGTGTGATCTCCTCAAATGGGCTTTAATCATTATGGTACGACTGTGTCGCACCAATGTGTTAATTAAGTTCATTAATTTACTTTTTTTCATCTGCAGGCCATGGGAGTAAGACGGGCACCAACCTACACGCTGCCTTGCACCGTGTCAGTGAGCTAATCAACTTCTTGAAGCAAAGCAGTGCCAAGAACCATTTTAATGAGACTCAGAACATCATCATCATAGAAACAGATGGTAAAGACACAGGAAATGTCTCACAAACTCACGCTAAAAAAAGCATGTGTTGAGCACGAATTGTTTCTATCTTTAGCTTCATTCCCTCTTCGTCTTTCTGCCTGCAGGTTTCTCTAACACAGGAAACAAACCTCAGATTGCCTTGGCCAGGATCCGGAATCTGCTGGGCTACCGCAACACATCCCCCGATCACACAGACGAGTCATTGCTTGGTATCATGATAAAAATTATTTCAAACCAAAATGTTCTAATACACTATGTAAAGTACATTTTAGCCACTGTACTTTCACTAAGTGCAAGTCAAGGTATCATGAATCTGGCATGCAAAGCCAAGTTTGTTTTAATGTGTTTAATATGTGTGGACGTGGTTGTGTATGAGTTCATTTTTGTGTGTGTTTTCAGATGTCTATGTTTTTGGTATTGGGGAAGAAGTGAAGAAAGATCAGTTGAACGCCTTAGCTTCACAGAAACGTAATGAGATGCACGTCTTCATTCTGAAAAACTTCAAGACACTGGGACAGGTTTTCAACAGCATTATTAGTAAGGAGATCACCCTCAACTCTAAGACACAAAAGCTTGTGTGTTTTCTGTTTTCAGCTGTCAAATATGTCAGCAGAAAATTTAATTTTGAGAATACAAAAAATAACTTGCTTTCTAAAAATCTAAATGTAAAAAAAATGTGAATAGTTTTCTCGCTAGATTAAACATTTAAGAATGCAGAATGTAGAAGTTACTGAACTGTAAAATTGTCATGTTTCATAATACAGGTGACAAGAGTGTGACCATGTGTGGGGTGGCTCAGGAAGCAACCTCAGATGAAAAGAGCACGACAGTCTTCCCCAATCCATGGCACGTTACTCTGCAAATGACTTCAGATTCGTGTTTTGGATCCATTGTGAGCCAGAACTGGGTGCTGACAGCTGCTCACTGCTTTGTCAGAACGAGCAAAGACCCAGTCCGTCAGAAGCCGCTCATACAACATGGTCAGTGTCAGCACAGGAAATTGTTTCGGAGATTGAGATTCATGAAAGAAAAGTGGTAAAGAGTTCTGTTGAAAAATATCTGTGTTGGGCAGTACTTTTTTTGAGATCAAAAGATTGGTGTCCATTTGAGGATTTGAGGTGCTTGGATGACGACATACCTGCTTGCAGGTCTAGTAGTAAGTGGTGTGTTGAAAAAGCATTTAGTTATAATACCAACCACATTAAAGTACAACAACAGCCCATTTCTATCAGAAGTTCTCATTTTAGGAATCAAAGCTCTGAAAGTGTTAGTTCCTCACTCAGTTCACTTAGCTACCGCACTATGATGTTGAAAACAGTGGGTATAGATGAGTTCTTTCTATTAACCATGTTTTTGGCTTCACACTCTTTAATGTTGAAATAACAATCACCTCCTTTGGTTCCCAGGTGAGGGCACGGTGTCTTCACAGAATGTGATCATTCACCCCAAGTACAACATCAGGGCACTCAAAACCAGAAACGTTTCGGAGTTCTATGACTACGATGTAGCTCTGGTACAGGTAGCCAAGAGCATCCCGCTCTCCTGGAAAGCCAGGTGAGACACCCGGAAGAAAAGATGCTTAACTGTTAGCCACCAGAGAGACATCTAAACTAAGAGCTAACCTTAAAAACACTGACTTTAATCTAGTTGCGTCTTTAAAACATTTGACATTTGTTTTGTCATGAAAAAGATGAATTTAGAAAATGGACTGTGCTTGTCTTCCAACCACACAAGCACTTAAATACTTATCACATTCAACCCATTCACACACGGATGGCAGTGGCTACCATGCAAGGTGCCAACAGAGAGAAAGTAATCTAATGCTACTAACATAAATGTTCCTGGGTATAAGTGTAAAGTGTGTATATACTGTATGCCATCCAACAGACCTATCTGCTTGCCATGTACTGTTCCAGCCAGCCGAGCCATGAAGAAAGTCAACGCTACCTGTCAGCAGCACCGTATGTGACTTTTTGACCTTTATCTTTAAAAGTATGCAAAGAGTATTTTTCATAAAGTTTCCCTGTTAACATAGTGATAATTTATTTATTGGAACTGAGACTTATAATAATATACTAAATACTCATGCATTCTCAGTAAAATAAATGTGTGTAAACAGGAAAGGAACTGCTACCACACACGGAGACTTCTGCCTTTTTCATCCATAAGAACTTGAGACGCAAACAAACACATATTCACACAGAGAGTCAGGTGAGTGATAGTTGGTAGGATTTTCAGACTCTGCTCTGTTTTATTACAAGAATGTTGAACTGTCACTGATCTGCTGTCTCCAGAGGCCTAGCTGTGTGGAGAAGGCAAGGCAAGTACTCAATGAGCCCACCAATGTGACTTTGGATGAGTACATACCTGACAGATTACTCTGTTCTGGGGGATCCTCTAAATACCAGGATGCTATCGTCTGTAAAGGTCTGGACTCTGCACTTATTGTATAATAGCCACCACAGTTTGACCAACATGGGATTCACATTACAGTCGTGTCTCTTTTTATATAGGTGACTCTGGTGGATCCCTGTTTCTGCAAAAAAAAAAACGCTACTTTCAGGTCAGCAAGTTTCACTTAATTTTCACTAATTCAAACTACAAATAATTAACAGTCAAGTTGCAGTTTTAGTTCGCATTAATTTCTGTCCAGACTCACACAGTCCTCTCCAAAAGTATTGAAGTATTGAAGACATTTATGGGTTTAAGATCAAAAGATGAGTATGAGACAAGAGTTCAGTTTCTCAGCTTTCATTTCCTGGTATTCACATCTAGATGTGTTAAACAACTCAGGACATATCACCGTTTGTATTAGACCACAGCATTCTTAGGTGAGCAAAAGTAATGGAACAAATAGTCTTAAAATAAATAACATGTAATATTTGCTGGCATAACCCTTTGCTTGCAGTAACTGCCTCAAGCCTGCGACCCATCGACATCACCAAACTGTTGCATTCTTCATTTGTGATGCTATTCCAGGCTTTTACCGCAGCTTCTTTCAGTTCTTGTTTGTTTCGGGATGTTTCTCCCTTCAGTCTCCTCTTAAGGAGGTGAAATGCAGCTCTGTTGGGTTAATGTCAGCTGATTGACTTGGCCAGTCTAAAACCTTCCACTTTTTCCCCCCGATGAAGTCCTTTGTTTTGTTGGCAGTGTGTTTTGGCTCATTGTCCTGCTGCATGATAAACTTCCTCCCCATTAGTTTCAATGCATTTCTCCGTAAATTGGCAGACAAAATGTTTCTGTCCACTTCTGAATTCATTCTGCTGCTACCATCATCAGTTCCATCATCAATAAATATTAATGAGCCTGTTCCAGAAGCAGCCATGCTCGCCCAAGCAATGACATTTCCTCCACCATGCTTCACAGATGAGCTTGGATGCTTCGGATCATAAGCAGTTCCTTTCTTTCTCCACACTTTGGCCTTTCCGTCACTTTGCTAGAGATTAATCTTGGTCTCATCAGTCCAGAAGATTGTGTTGCAGAACTTTTGCAGCTCATCTCTGTACTTCTTTGCAAATTTCAATCTGGCCTTCGGATTCTTCCTGCTGATGAGTGGTTTGCATCTTGTGGTGTGGCCTCTATATTTCTGCTCTCTGAGTCTTCTTCCAACAGTGGATTGTGACACCTTCATCCTGCACTGTGGAGGTCGTTGCTGATGTCACTTACTGATGTTTTAGGGGGTTTTCTTTACAGCTCTCACCATATTTCTGTCATCAACTACTGTTGTTTTCCTTGGCCGACCTGTTGGACGTCTGTTGCTCAGCACACCAGTAGTTTCTTTCTTTTTCAGGACATTCCAAATTGTTTTGCTTGCTCTGCCCGATGTTTGTCCAATGGCTCTGGTCGATTTTCCTTCTTTTCTCAGCTTGACAGTGGCTTGCTTTTCTCCCATAGACAGCTCTCTGGTCTTCATATTGGTTTATCCTCTTTAACAGGAAATGCAGTCATTATAGGTTTGAAGCAAGGATGAAAACTTAGACTAGTCATGCAGAGCTATCTAATGTTTGGACAATCAACCTAAAAGGCAACACCTGGACAACAAGAAACATCTGTCAGCCACATGATCCAATAGTTTTGCTCACTTTAAAAATGGGTGGGTTCAAACAAACGGTGGTATGTCCTGAGTTGTTTAACACATCTAGATGTGAATACCAGGAAATGAGAGCTGAAATTCTAAACTCTCGTCTCATTCTCATCTTTTGATCTTAAACCCAAATGTCTTCAGTGAACAACAAAAACAAAGGAATTTGCCTTACTGTTTCAATACTTTTGGAGGGGACTGTAGCTACACAAACCATGCTTAAACTTACTCACAAGATGCTGAATTTAGCTTCTGATTCGGCAGTTAAGGGGAAAGTTATGTCTAGAGCTGTCAAGTCTGGATTATAATGTCCCTGAGAGGCAAAAATTTCTTTGAAACACAGTTTCAGATTTCTTAAACATTTATTCTATTTGTGAAAATGTAAAAAAAGGCGCACTTGATTAAAAACCACTATGCCTAGAGCTGTCAAAACTGGACTATATTCATCCAGAGAGGCTAAAGTTTCTTTAAAACATTTTTTAATTCAGATTTATCAACCCTTTTAAAAAAATTTGTTTTTTGACACATTAGACCACATAAATTACAAATTTTTCATTTTCATAGAATAAAGGCGTCACAAATTGAAACTATGTTTTAAAGAAACTTTAGTCTTTTACTCAGATTTTACAGCTTTAGGCATAATGGATTTTCATAATTGGTTTAATGTGGTCTTCATGCAAATTCAGATTAAGGCAGAAAGTGAAAGGCAGGTATTGTTTACACATCGTGTTGTCTGAGTAGCTATCGCAGGTGTGGAGGTATAGAAAGCTTTGTTACCCACAGTGCAATTAGCATCACATAGACATTTCTCCTGCTTTCATCTCCAGGTGGGAGTAGTGAGCTTTGGCACCATCAACGTATGTGACCTAAGTAACCCAGAGATGAGACGGTACAGCAGTGACAGGCCACCTCCTGATGCTCGAGACTTTCACATCGACCTGTTTAAGATAATGCCGTGGCTGAAACAGCATCTGGGTGCAGAGATCCAGTTCCTGCCTGAGTTTGACTGAGAATAATCAATCAGTCAATCAATCCGAGATCTCTTTGGATTAAACCATAATAATGGCATGCAGAATTCAAAAGAGATTTCCAAAACTTTATTTTCAAATGGAATACCATAGTCATGTTGCAGTAAACTTACCTGTAAAATGGAGATGTTTTTAATCATCAAATCATACAAAACATAAAAAAGTAATTATTCTTATTTTCACACTGTATTCTTTCTAAACTCAACGTGGTTAACACTTGAATAATCGGTTCCTGAGGTGCGTATATAATTGAAATATATTTTTGTACATTCAACTGTGTACGTTTAATTGTTTGAAAAAACACTTCTTGAAAGAAAGTATCTGAATCAGAGCTGCGAGTCTAGCTAACATCACTGGTCTTACTTTGAAGTTAGAGGCCCTTAGCCACACAGTATGCATACAAGCTAGAACATACAAGCCCAGCACAGAGGATCCCATTCACCAGACAGTCCATCAGCTGAAACAGAAAAACATGTCAGTGTCTACTGACTAACATGCACCCCAGCTGCTTCACTGGCTGTCATCTGTATTTTTTCATGTGTCGGTGTGAAATTAAAAGTTGAAGATGTCAGAAAGGCAGCTGTCCAATCAGCCCTCAGAAAACTGCCGGAACAGGATTTCTAACAGGATGTCTTTGAATTTCGGGACAAAGTGGATCTGGAGGATCTCGGAGAATCCCTCAGAGAGAGCAGGAGCCACAAAATGTTTCCTGTCCAGAGAGAGAGCAAAATTAGAGTGGTCAGTACCAGAGCTATTACTGGTAAGTGCTTTGATTACCAGAATTCAAAACCCACTTTCATTTTGACATAGTAACAAAGACAAAACTAACGTTTTTGGAAATTTACTAAAATAGAAAGCTAAATCACTTTGGTGGCATGCATTTAGCTGCATTTTGTCAAGCTCTGTGCAGAGGTTTTGGCGTTTTGGCACAAGAAACGTGTTTTATAACCGGTAAGAGCGGTAAGGTTATTCTTTCTTACTTGTAGCTGTGGAAAACCATGTCATTGACCTTAGCGTGTTTGCTGTCTGATGGAGCCATCTCACGGAACTGGGAACAACAATTACGCGTTAAAAAACACTTATCATCACCAGCCAGGATAAAACAAAACAACTGTGTAAAAAGTGCCAGGGAGGAGAGGTGAGTCATACTCTGTTGTTGTGTTTGGCCTGCTCCAGAGAGGCTGAGAAGTGGAAACAGCGACACGGCACTCCCGCAGCCTTGGCCACGTCCACGTATCTGGAAAATTAAAGAAGCAGGCCACAGTAGGAGAATATTCATTCCCCCAAACATGGCAACGGTAGCAAACATTTAGTAGCAACATTATGAAATGCACCCGCTTCGGCCCGTTTAAGCATTCCAGTATCCTGAGCTTATACTCTCAGTAGCTTGAATAACTACTTCTAGATGCTTTGTCTAAACCTAGTTATTACTAGTAATTACTCTTTATTTATGTAGGACTCTCTGTCTGTTTATGCTTTTTGAAGCCTGTTTATATAAAGGTGTACCCAGTGAGGTGGATCCTGAGTATATATGCATATTGAGGACACACACACACACACAGAAATGCATCTGCACAGCATAATAATGATGCAGTTGTTTTACCGTTTACGAGACTCTGGGTCTGGGTTGGTGTTGTCTACAGCGACGCTGCGGCCCTCTTTCAGAGCACGCTCACATGCAGACACGCAATTCTGCCATGAACCAAGTGTATCCTGATACAAAACAGAACACGAAAGGTCGGTGACAACATGTCATGGAAGACTTTAAGGAAAGGGCCCAATAATATATGGGAACATACCAATAATAATAATTATCTTCATCATTGGTAGATCATCATCATTGTTACAATAACGCAATCTTAAAAGCAGTTATTTTAGACATTAAATATATATTTTTGTATATTAAACCAAATGTTCTGGATGCATTTAGAGCTGAGGCAGAAGTGGAACCTTGCTGACAACCCTGTTCATTGAAACTCACCCTGTTGATGTACACGTAGCCTTTTGGAATGATGTGGGTGTGGAAGAAAGAGGATTTACCAGCTGTGGAGAAAGGGAGGGAGGGAAACAAGGTCAGAATGGCATCAGTGGGAGGCGGGGATCATAAAAAGGTGACATTACGTCCATTTTCTCTTACATGCAGGGAAACCCACGGCAACAATGACTTCTGTCTTGCTGGAGATGAGAGAGGCAGAGGGCGGGTCGTACAGCCTTGCAGTGGAGTCAATCTTCCTCTAGCAGTTCAGATAAAGAAAAACATTAACTAAAATACAGACAGACTAAAATGCACAAATGTATTCTCATATACTGTAAGAAAAAAATTGCAAAGTCCACTGCCAGTGTGTTCATTGTACTCACAGGGTCAAAATTTGGCAGGCTATAGGGGGCGCTCTTCCAACCAAGGAAAAACTCCTCTGGGGTGTGGAACTGCAACCCAATGTTCAGAGCAAACTACAAAAACAAGTATGAAGACAGTAGCTGGTACATAATGCTCATATTTTATATGTTTTGTACACTTTTCCCCCAACAAGGCATAATCTAGAAACAATGCCTCATACTTGAGTTCTATTTAATGACATTTAAGATGACACATAAAAACATTTCAAGCAAATTAGCTGATACACAACAAGTCAAGACAAGAGGAACACAAACTGGTAAAAAAAGGTTAACCAGAGTAAAAATCTTAGGTCTTACCAGTCGGTCACTGCAGGAGAAATCCTTCTTCTTCTTGCCTGGAGCCCAGTTCTCTGGCCTACCGGCAGCATCTGTGTGCAGAGGTGGTGTCAGAAGCTGTGTGTGCATGCTTGTGTGTGTGCTCGTGTACTTTCTGGGGATCAACAAAAAGCAAAGCCTCTAAATTAGGTCATTTTTGTTGCATTTTGTTGCACTTTAACGAGATTAAATCTAGAGCATTTCTGGGCTTGGGGCACGGTTCGGACCAGGGCATGCTATTGGCTTTATAGTTAGGTTTAGGTCTAGCATTAAGTTAAGATTTTGGGTCATTTTTGGACTTGGGGGCATAGGATAGAACTAAACATTTGGTTTTCAAAATGTAGATGAATGCTTGTCTATGTGTGCATCTCTGTGATGCCAGGTCAGATAACTGAGAACACATAGGCACATGCAAGTATGAAATATTTATCAATATGGCAACACTACTTCATACTCCACCTCACTCACCTCCTACATAAAAACTCTGTGTCTTGTCAACAGTCACACCATCATTTGCCTGAGCAGGAAACACACATGCAAAGACACAGTTAAAACTAGAATAGACTTTTTATTGTCAAACATGCAAAGACAACAGTAAACAGTGCTGTGAGGAATTGAAAAAGGGCGGCTGCTGTGACTCAGCAAATTTGTGTACTATAATTTGCACTTTGTAACGTCTGCCCATTGCAAATACAGCACATGAGGCGTGGTTCCATGGTGTGTCCATGTATCTTCACTGACATTTACCTTCTCACACAAGTGATTCCACATTCCCATCACTGGCTTCCTGTAGATACCAGGACCGGTTGAAACAAACACCTGAGACACAGCAGAGGAGGGAGTACTAATGTCAGTTGTTTTTGTACAATAGTAAGGAGACAGGGGAGAGTCAACCTCCACCATGACCTACCTGCACAGGTAGCTGCAGCATGGTGAGGATGTCTTCAACTTTAGACTTGAAGACTTCTGGTCTCAGTTTGCCTTTAGCGATCCCCATCTGGTTGGTGAAGAACACCACCTGTATGAAGACAGCGAGGTTAGACTAGGAAATCCAATGACAAACACTAGCAGAGTCACTGGATTTAGACTTGGACATTTCCATAAAACCTGTTGGCAACTGTTGTATTTAGCTCCTTCCCACCTTGTATCCTTTTTTCAGCAAGTTGGCCAGTCTTGGCTGAATCTCAGGGTACAGAATCCTGGCAATTAAACACAAGGACAATTACAACAAACTAATGTAGATATGAAATGTGGTCTACAGAAGCCACTGAGCTGGAAACACTGATGTCAAAATCAGAAATAGTACAGTCATTTGTCACACTTCAGGAGTTCAGGAGTGCAGACATACTTCCAGTCATCTGGAGCGGTGGGAAAGACTTTGCCAGACTTGGTGGTGATGATGCAGCCATCTATGTCAAACCCAGCAATCTGGAGAGGATGAAAAGCAAAGGAAATCTTTACACATTTACACATGTAGATCCCTAAAGTTGGTCATGTTTATATGAAAATAAAACATGTTAACAGGACTGAAACTGCTCAGACAACTTCTGTTTAGCAGACCGCTGGTTTTTTACTTGTCACTTCCTGTGACCAATCTCAACAACAGAAATCAAAGCTGTACCCACAGTTATTATTGATTAATCTGATGATTATTTCCTTAATTACTCGACTGGTCATTTGGTATGTAAAATATATGTAAAAGATGTCCCAAGCCCGTTTTTGCATTTAAAGGCCTTGTTTAGTCCAACCAACAGTCCAAAAACCTAAAGATATTCAGGTTACAATGGTGTAGAACAGAACAAGCAGGAAATCTTTTCTGAGTCATTTTTGCTTGAGAAATGCTTAACTGATTTTCTGTTGCTCAACTAATCAACTAATAGTTGATGGGTCTGCTGGGGCAGAAATGCATTTGGGGAAAACCTGATAAAACTTCAGGTTCTTAATCAAGGTTTGCGGCGGCTTTTTAACATAAAACACTAACAGCATTTTATTATTTATGCAATAAAACATATTTTATTATGCTATTATATTATATAGTCATTATTATAATCCATTAACCCTGCTAATTTATTTGAAATGATTAAGTTGCACTGAATTAAATAAATAAAGCTGTTCTTTCCCACCTTGTTACTCCCTTTGACACCAGCAGCAGTGTAAAGCAGCAGGTTGCCTATCTGCTGCCAGCTGCTCTTTAGACAGCCCTTTGAAGAAAGTGACGACGATGAAGGCTGGGTGCTCCTCTCTGCCATAGACTTCTCTGCCAACTCCTGCAGCTGCTTGAGCTTTTCCTCTGCCAGTCTCTCTTCCTCATCCTCCTCCTCCACTTCTTCCTTTCTCTGTCTATCGGAAGCCTCTTCATCTCTTTTTTGGCGCTTTTCATCACGGTGCCCCCTCTCTGGGCTCAGTCGTCTTTTAGATGACTGAACAGAAGAATAACAAAAATACACCGTCTCTCAAGTTTAGTAGTTTGATGTCAGCTTCTCTTGATAAATAGTATCTTTGTTGTAAAAAAATACAGCATAAGCAAATAAGATACATGAAATAATACAAGTCAACACAATGACCAAACAAAATGTGGTACCTTCATGGGAGAGGTAGAAAAGAAATCCATGATACTGCGCTTGGGATTTGGACTCGACCGTGCCTCTGTTTCTTTCCCATTTCTTCCCCCCTTTGTCTTATCCGTGGCTTTTAGTCCTTTAGGTGGAGCGCTGGAGGCTGATCCGTTTGAGCTCAGGGAGTAGTGCAGTTTAAATGGATAGTTCTGGTTAACCAGATAGAGGGTGCCTCCGTGAGTGAGTTTACCAGACTGGCCACGGCCCAGCTTCTCACCGTCCAGGAAACTGGGATTGGGACCTAGCTGTGGAAGACAATAGGACATGTATGGACATTGGGCTGCAACCTTTACACAGTTACTTTATAGGATTTAAGATAACCGGGGTGGGTCTAGGCAGTAAAGAAAAAAGGTGTGCTGTCACCAAGTTTTCAGAAATAATGACATAACTGATGCTTTGACTGTGCTGTGACAAATATGAACACTCTCTGGTGTTTGATGAGTGTAGCGTGAGAGCTCCACATGGAGACTAACTGAATTAGAAACTGTGTTTTCATACCCGAGTAACAACCACATCCTGGTCTGCATAGCAAGCCACCACCTTCACTGAAAGAAACACAAGGATAATTACCATCATATACACACAGAGACATTTCAAAATGCATTTCATGATTGATTCTGTGCGCTGTATGCTTTGGGAAGAAAAAGCTATTGTTGTTTTTTTTTCATTTCAACAGATTGTATCTGGAGTGGGAAAAAAAAAGTATATCTATTTTTTTTTGTCTGCGGTTCTTCCTGGGATATCAATAAATTGCTTGTTTTGCAACAATACAGAAACCAAAGATATTCAGTGTACAATAATATAAAACAGAGAAAAGCACAAAATCCTCACATTTAAGAAGCCTGGAATTCAAACAGTTTAATTTTTGCTAGAAAAGTGATTTAAACTATTACTCAATTATAAAAAAAAGTACGTGTTGCAAGTTAATTTATCTATCTACTAATTGATCCATCCCCTAATCATTTTAGAGTCTAATCTCTAACACTGATTTATGTATATATATTATAAAAGTCAATACTATGCGTTTCTTTGTAAGGACTTTTGGGGTATAAGGCTAAAACAGCATCCCCCTATGCTGTGTGGAGGTCTTGGATCAGTCCACGTCGAACAAGCAGGGATGACCCACTGTTTTTTAGTCCCACTCGGCAATTTCTTTAAATTATATTCCTGACACAAAGCCACCAGGGCATTTCATATATCATTTACTATTTCAATATGAATTAAAACGGTTTGCCAGTCAACGCATCAGTTTTCTTGCGCATGCGTTTGAGACCTCGCACTGGAGCACCGGTGAGCTGACGGGTCTCGTGGTAAATTCGTCAATAAAAGACTAAAATGACCCGCATGTGCAGCATCATGAAAAGCGCCAAAGTGTTTGTGCCGGGCTTCTCCTCACCCTGGTACCTGGAGCACTTCTTGTCGGCGACCCCGGTGTCAGGACCCCGGCCCAGAATCACAGCTCGTCCATCCTCCAGAGGGACCACTGGGCCCCCAGAGGCGCTTACCAGCATACACGACATCTTAGCGGGCGACCGCAGCGAGATTGCTTTACTTGGAGCCCTAACGTTACAGTGTGTTTATGAACGACTCGTTTCATCAGATTACGAGCAGAAATACAGAAATAAAATGGTTATCCCGCGATGGTGCCTGCGTTTATTTACAGTTTGTAATGTTACTACGTTTGTCGCAACTTCTTTGTATCTGACACGGTTGCTTAAGTACAACAAGAGTAACACAAACCGTACGGGGACTTGTTTTCGCAGCGCACTCGCGGTCGGTCAGGAAAATACGCTCGTTTAGAAACGTGAACCCCTCAAAGGTTCCGCTCATACGGACTTTTCTGAGATTTCCAGTTATCCGGCATGATTTTATAAATCGTTGACTCTTGAAATCTCACGGAAGACCGCGTGGTAAACGAGCCTTTCACATTAATTTATTTTTTTGCTAATAAAAAGGTAATTTCTTGTACATTTGAAGAAGCGTCGGGTTGATTGTTGCGTAGAACAGTAAATAGGAGTTTCCTGGTTGTTGCCTCCTCTCCTACTCCTCCTGTCAGCCAGTCAGACAAGAACCAAAGATAAAGCTAAGATCAAGACACAGGCTAAGGGATATAGGACAAGAAGAGTTTAGGCTAAGGGAGAAAAACCTGTTCTTCATCTTTCCCTTTTATTACACTGTCTTATGAAGAGTTAAATGTTTTGACGAATAGCTTCCTCCATAACAGGCGTGACAGGATTTCTTACTCGTGTAGGCTCGTTGGTTAGAGAAATCCTTTTTGTTTAGAAGTGTACTTTTGGAGGTTTGTTTATTTTAGAGGCATCATAGAAGATGTTGAAACCATATTCCAGTAAAGCATAGGCTGCATGTTACTTTCACATTGTTATAAAAGTTTCTATTCACAACATTTATGTAATGTTACAATATGTTAATTGTCTAAAAAGTAAGATATGCCTACACAACACTAGCCCTTAAAGAAGTGGTGGTGACTTGTTATACTTTGAAGTTCTCTGTGATGTAGCCAGGTCAAAATTGTATTTCATCCCACGGTTTATTTTCTAATAAACATATGTTGGTTTGACCGCTCTCAGCCCCTAAAAGTCTTGGTCTTGTCTCGGTCAACTCTTGGCGATCTTGACTACAACACTATTATATATGTCAGAGGTTGCACACCTCTGGAGCAACTAGGCATTGTCTTCAGTGTGTCTTGCAAGTGTCTTGCTCAGGGACACACTGGTGCATGTGTCACAGTGGGAATTAAACCCAGGTCTCTCACACCAAAGGTTTGCGTCTTAGCCACTACACCATCGCCACCCCGGGGTTTCTGTCTGACTTGCAACACACACGTAAACAGAGTACAACACACAATGAAAACACAGATTTTCCAAGGTCTCTATAAAACAACGTATCTTTTTTTCTGTTCGAAACAAAGACACATATGTGCTAATTGGTTTATTTCACAGTGAAAATGTTGTGTTGTGCTCTCAACATCCACAAATATTGAATTACACAGACAGGATAAGCAGGTTTCTTAACAGTCTCAGCCAGGATGTAGTGCTGTCCAAAACCACATGTGTAAGTAGTGAATTATTGACACACTGAGAATGTTGACAAGTGTTACCGTGCACTAATGTTTGATCTTGACCATCATTAATAGCCTGTCACTGGGTTGTACACACTGAAGTCCCTCCTCTTATTGTAATTTCCCCTAAAATAGTCTCTCCTGTTCTTGTTCTCATTTATATTCTATCTTCTGTCCTGTCAGATTGTGCTCTCGGTGGATTACCTGCCTGGAAAAGTTCCAGTCTCATTAGACAGTCAGAAAGACAACTTAACCTTCAGGTAAAAAGGTCACTTGGTGCTTTTAGGTAGTGTTTGGCTGTACTGGCAGCCTGCAAAAAAGTGTAACACATCAGTATTACACTGTATTTTGTTCATGTTTGTCAGCTCTGTTTTTTTCCTACAGGACAACCGACTGCCACGAAAAGCATCTAGGTGGAACTGTGGTGCAACTCAGTCACTAATGCAATTTGCACCTGACTTTACACACGTTTTTCTGCCATCCACCCTCTTCATTCAATATTTACAGCATTGATCCTTCATTCCCACATCATGTCCAACCAACCCACACAAACCCAACACCATGGGGACTACATGTCCCTGATGAGAGGCTTGAAAGAGCTGGACTTCCGGGGTCCTTGTGTTCCCAGTGACCTGGTGCTGATTGGAGACCATGCCTTTCCTTTAGCAATGAACAGCCAAGGCCAGGTCCTGATGGCTGCCTCTCTGTACGGCAGTGGAAGGATCGTGGTCCTGGGTCATGAAGGCTACCTGACCGCCTTTCCTGCTCTGGTAGAGAACACTGTGACCTGGCTGAGAGGAGATGGATCTGAAAACTTGTCTGTGAGGGTTCACAAAAACGTCAAGTCAGTCTCTGATAATCTCATCAAATCCAGCTTCCAAGCAGAAGTTGTGGGGGCCTTTAGTGGCAACGTGGGGGTGTATGTGACTGATGCCTACAGCGTGGGTGCAGACGTAAAGGACCTGGTGGCCTTTCTGAAAGCTGGAGGAGGAGTGCTGATAGCAGGGCAGGCATGGAACTGGGCTGCAGATCACCCCAAGGAGAACACGCTGCTTCAGTTTGAAGGCAACAAGGTTTCTGGTGTGGCGGGGATCTATATCTCTGAGCGCAAGTGTGAAGTAGAGTGCCTTCCTGTCTACCCTCAGATCCCATCTTCCTGGATGGCTATAGTGTGAGTGTATACTTTACTTCTCTTTTATTGCACATTTAGAAAGGCTCCACTTTGCAAGGTGACAACTTTTAATCTGAATTATATAATACTGTATCAGTCATACTTGACATCCATCTTTTCTCTTCCTCTTCACTCTTTAAAGAACTGGGAAGGATTTTGAGGATGACTTGGAGTTCTTACTCCAGGGAGTTTCAGAGTTTGACCTCAACCCTGGACTATTACCTTCTGAGGTTCTGGTCCATGGCCCGCTAGCCTTTCCCATTGGGACCACAGACGATGGACGTGCGTTCCTAGCAGGAGCCTACTATGGGCAGGGGCGAGTCATTGTGGTCTCACATGAAGGATTTATGGGACAAGAGGTACAGTTTAAATTAAAGTTTTTTTAGGCATTCACTTGCCTTCATAAGTCAAACTGAGCATATAATAAGGTTTTGCTCAAATGAAATGTTTTATACCTTAACAACAGTATATGAGCAAATTGTCATGATGTTCTCAATTTGACTTATGAAGATAGACATTTTAAAACCAATATTTAATGTAAATGTTTACTTTGTTTATTTATTTTGTTATATATTAAATGATAATTTTGGTATTTTTAAACCAGGGCCCCTTTTTCGCATATTTTGGTGTCAAAATGACTAGTAGGTGGAGGATATGACTAGATTTTGCGATATTAAAACCTGACGATATTTCTCGCAGAGGTAAAAAGGTCTCTCACGATATCAGACAGTTTGTAGCCAACAGTTTTTGACAGACTGGTAACATAACTGGTAGAATTTTGCAATATAAAAATCTATAAACTGTGGCGCAGACTGGTTCTGTTTGGGACTGTGAGCTGCAGTTTATTGGAGGTGCTGAAGTTAATATATGTGTGGATTTGTGGTGAGATTTCTGCCTGTTAGTTTCGGTTTCCACCTCTTTTTCTCATCCTAAACGATTCTGTGTCTGTCACGTGGTCTGTAGGGGATACTACCATATCAACAGAGTAATAACCTAATGCACAGCAAAGTACAGGGCACATAGTTATAAAAACTATTATGATGACGTTATTCTCATAATATTGTGACTTTTTTCTTGACATTTCAGAGAACACACATTTGTGGGATAGATTTATGTGCAGAAAATTTTGAACATGACCAGAAAACTTGCTGAAACAGAGGAGCTATTAAAGTTCAGGAGTTTATAACTGAATTAAAATGAATTAATTTATAATTGAGGTGAAAATGTGCCACAAAGCGAATTTTCCACCATAAATGAATGAAGAAAAGTTCACTAGAATGCAGGAAATGTGTAAGTGCTTAATGCTGGTAGGAGCCTAGACCCTCCCCTCATATATTTCATCATTGAAGTTTTGATAAAAATGTTGTGTTAAAATATCATCTTGTTCTTGTGAGCTAGGTGTATCATCACACCCCTACTTGGTACAAAATGTTTTGGAATCCGTGCAGTAGATAGCTTCAGCCGGCAGCTGTGAACCAGTTGCAGAGGCTTTAATGTATTATTTTTGGGGAATTGTGCCTGTCAAAATAACGTCCACAAGTGTTTGTTTTTACCACTGACAGGCTCAGACTGTTATACGAGGTGTCTAACAACATCAGGGAAAGGATCACTAAGAGTGACTTCCGGTGACACCCTTTGTTTTGAACAAGAAACAGAAGTGTCACTCCAGGACACTTGAAACTCTAAAATTTCATGAGAGGAGATTTGTTGCAGGAAGATGACAGTGGAAACGTCAGTCTCCAGAGGTGGAGAGAGGACTTTGTCATGTTTGAATAATGTTCGGAAATAAAGTGCACAACAAACTCCTCTCCCTCGTTTCACCCGGCATTTCCTTCAACTACTCACCTTTCACGAGATGTCTCTTTCTTGTTCATTTTGCTGAATAATGAGATGTGTGCTGATGTGCCAAATCTTTTTGTGTTATTAACATACTACTGCCTTTATCACAGACATTTGCTCCATTTTGGAACAATGCCCTTCATTGGTTGGATGAAGGCCGGCAGGGGATCATTGGAGTTGCGCAAGGCCCTGCACTCCAAGTTCTCAGCAAGTCAGGGTTACAGTGTGAGAAGACAGACTTCAGGGAAGACCTGAGTGTATTTGTGTGCACGGCGTACAGCGATAATCATGTGGAGGAAATCCAACACTTCGTGGCAGAGGGAGGAGGCCTGCTGATTGGTGGACATGCCTGGTACTGGGCACAGACGCACCACGGGCAAAACGCAATGACAGAGTTCTCAGGTATGATAATACACCACAAGAGTGTGATTATATTCCGGCCTACTTCACCCCATAATAATCCCATAACATAATGCATGCTACATGCATAATGGAAATTACTCCAGCTGACGCTTTTATCCAAAACGACTTACAGTTGCTTTAGGTTGCACACCTCTGATGAATATGTTGCAGTGGCATGTGTCTTTTCCACTGCAGCATTGCCACA